AAACCACTTCTATACTCGCTTCGAGGCAACCAACACTCAAACATGCATGAGAGCACCAGCTGTTCCGGATGACTATGTGATCACGCTCTCCGTAGCCGATGTGAGTAAGACTTTTAAGCAGGTCAACCTTCACAAGGCCGCAGGGCCAGACGGATTACCAGGACGTGTACTCCGAGCATCTGCTGACCAACTGGCAAGTGTCTTCACCGACATTTTCAGCATGTCCCTGACTGAGTCTGTAATACCAACATGTTTCAAGCAGACCACCATAGTCCCCGTGCCCAAGGACACTAAGATAACCTGCCTAAATGACTACCGACCCATAGCACTGACGTCTGTAGCCATGAAGTGCTTTGAAAGGCTGGTCATGGCTCACATCAACACCGTTATCCCAGAAACCCTAGACCCACTCCAATTTGCATACCGCCCCAACAGATCCACAGATGATGCAATCTCTATTGCACTCCACACTGCCCTTTCCCACCTGGACAAGAGGAACACCTACGTGACAATGCTATTCATTGACTACAGCTCAGCGTTCAACACCATAGTGCCCTCCAAGCTCATCACTAAGCTAAGGATCCTGGGACTAAACACCTCCCTCTGCAACTGGATCCTGGACTTCCTGACGGGCCGCCCCCAGGTGGTAAGGGTAGGTAACAACACATCTGCCACGCTGATCCTCAACACGGGGGCCCCTCAGGGGTGCGTGCTCAGTCCCCTCCTGTACTCCCTGTTCACCCATGACTGCATGGCCAGGCACAACTCCAACACCATCATTAAGTTTGCCGACGACACAACAGTGGTAGGCCTGATCACAGACAACGATGAGACAGCCTATAGGGAGGAGGTCAGAGACCTGGCCGTGTGGTGCCAGGATAACAACCTCTCCCTCAATGTGACCAAGACAAAGGAGATGATTGTGGACTACAGGAAAAAAAAGAGGACTGAGCACGCCCCCATTCTCATCGACGGGGCTGTAGTGGAACAGGTTGAGAGCTTCAAGTTCCTTGGTGTCCACATCACCAACAAACTATCATGGTCCAAACACACCAAGACAGTCGTGAAGAGGGCACGACAAAGCCTATTCCCCCTCAGGAGACTGAAAAGATTTGGCATGGGTCCTCAGATCCTCAAAAAGTTATACAGCTGCACCATCGAGAGCATCCTGACTGGTTGCATCACCGCCTGGTATGGCAACTGCTCGGCCTCCGACCGCAAGGCACTACAGAGGTTAGTGCGTACGGCGCAGTACATCACTGGGGCCAAGCTCTATACCAGGCGGTGTCAGAGGAAGGCCCTCAAAATTGTCAAAGACTCCAGCCACCCTAGTCATAGACTGTTCTCTCTGCTACCCCCAAGCCAAAAGGCTTCTCAACAGCTTCTACCCCCAAGCCATAAGACTCCTGAACAGCTAATCATGGCTACCCGGACTATTTGCACTGCCCCCCCACCCCCACCCCATATATTTACACTGCTGCTACTCTGTTAATTATTTATGCATAGTCACTTTAACTCTACCCACATGTACATATTACCTCAACTACGCATGTGGCAAATAAAATTTGATTTGATTTGAGATTTATATTTTGTCTGCCAGCTAGCATCGCCATTGCATCCAATGTAATAGCAGAGAAATAAGAGCAAAATGAAGCAAATTGACATTTATGAGTATTGAATGTTTCAGAGCATACATGTCCAATTTGTCAATGCTCCCCAGCAGCCTAGTGATGCACTTCTGTACAAATTCAACTTCCAGGACCTTTCTAAATGGAGCACTTAATTAGGATAAACTCACAGAGTCTGTCAGCGCACCTCTAGAGACCTGAGACACATGGGGAATGGGGGAATGTAGTAACTATTGCAGCACAGCTCTCACTATACAAGGATAGTACATCAAAGAGGTTTAAACTCAACAGAGTTAGGAAAATGTTAAATGATAATAGAGCATAATGTAGAACTGCAGTCATAAAGCAGTTATCAGATCAACTTTGTTCAGAAACCCAGAGGACAACAGAGAGGATAATATGAGCATCTTCATGCTTCATGCATCTTTTAGCATTCTGCTAAGGTTCCTCTGGGAGAGATTCAAACCATGGGCAGGCTCAATAAAGGCTGGATGCTACTGATAATGGCAACCTGCGGATTAAGGAAGTGTTTCTACTATTTCCTATTCCTGAGGCAATTGTAGCAGGACACTTTGAGCACTGACGTGAATCAATGTAGGTCCTACAGCTATGGAGGTTTGTTTGTTTTCTCGGCACAGGAATGCAGATGCCGAGCATGCTTGTGCATCAGAATTAGGCCTACATTTTTTGAATAATTTTCTGGCCTAGGCTGCACCGGACCCTTCTTCCCAACAGCTAAAGGTCCCGAAGCTTTTGCGCATGTGCGGGATTCTCACTGGCGAATGCCTCTAGTTTAATAAAGTTAGATCAAAGCTGAATCAACGTCTGCAAGATCACATTATGATCTACATTATGCACACACTTTTGTGGCCTCCCTTTACATTTATCACTGCCAGTTTTACTGGTGAAACGTCCATGCAGCATCTGCATGCCAACCATTTCATCTCAATCAGTTTCATGGGGATATGCATTTAGATCATGTAGCCTACAGTGAGTGAATTGTAGAGTAGATGGTGTTAACAAACTGTAACATACCTGTGTTTTGTTTCAATCAAAGCACATATTTTGCCTAGTGCTGCGCACTGTTGAGTTGTGGCCACATGAGAGAAAAATGTGACAATTCGCACAATCATCCTAAAATCTCATAAGAAATTAGTTGGTGTTTTTTGTCTTACAGTAACGTCATACTATGCTATTATATTCGGTTCTGTTATGTAGAACACTATCATTAAGTGATCTTGCAGACATCGATTCAGCTTTGATCTAACTAATTAACGAGAGCCATTTGCCAGAGTAGCCTGTTCTCTGAGCAGCCGAACGAGTAGAGCAGAGACTGTGCATAAAGTAGAGAATCCTTCTCTAGCTGTTGGGAAGAAGGATCCGGAAAAGTCGGATCTGTGGCCACTCCGATTAATTTAACACTGCCTTAGTGTAACACATATACAGTACCAGTCAAAAGTTTTAGAACACCTACTCATTCAAGGGGTTTTCTTTATTTTTTACTATTTTCTACATTGTAGAATAATAGTGAAGAGATCAAAACTATGAAATAATGCATATGTAATCATGTAGTAACCAAAAAAGTGTTAAACAAATCAAAATATATTTTATATTTGAGATTCTTCAAAGTAGCCACCCTTTGCCTTGGTGACAGCTTTGCACACTCTTGGCATTCTCTCAACCAGCTTCACCTGGAATGCTTTTCCAACAGTCTTGAAGGAGTTCCCACATATGCTGAGCACTTGTTGGCTGCTTTTCCTTCACTCTGCAGACCAACTCATCCCAAACATTTACATTTACATTTTAGTCATTTAGCAGACGCTCTTATCCAGAGCGACTTACAGTTAAGTGAGTGCATACATTTTCATACTGGCCCCCCGTGGAAATCGAACCCACAACCCTGGCGTTGCAAACGCCATGCTCTACCAACTGAGCTACATCCCTGCCGGCCATTCCCAAGTTCCATATGTGTTATTTCATAGTTTTGATGTCTTCACTATTATTCTACAATGTAGAAAATAGTAAAAAATAAAGAAAAACCCTTGAATGAGTAGGTGCGTCCAAACTTTTGACTGGTACTGTATATATATTTAACACACATCTTAGGCTACAGTTTCCCATTAGTAATAGGCTATTATGCAAAAAAGAGAATCCATCTAGAAAAACTGTTTTGCTTGTATTTATCCATGACTAATGGTGAAATAAATTAATCACATTCCCTCCAAACCCTTTATTTCACCATCACTAACTCTTTTTTGTTGTTGTTTGTTGCAAGTATCAATAAGATCTGCCTATTCTCAGCCTAGGCTACTCAGTGTTGTAATAACCTCCAACCCTATAATAATGCAGTATGAAGAACAGAACTAAAACAAACCTTTTCAAGCAGTAAATAAGGTAAAAGTATGGTCATTAAAGGGTACATCATTCACCTCCTCCCCTCAGCGTTAAGTCGCTGATCATTTCAGACACTTCCGTGCAGAAGTGGCGGAAATACGTCAGTTGTTCAGGGTACTAGGATATACTGTACAAACGAAAATGCAATGTAGGGCGAAGTGGGCTTTAAATCTAACGTGTGTTTTAACACCATTTACCCAACGTTTTACTCAAGATCAACGGGCCATTCGAACCAACCATATCAACCAAGGAAAGAAGCATTCGAGGCTGGATTTATTTAGAAACAACACCGACTCAGGAAAGGCGAATCGTTGGGGTTTGCTTACTTTGGCGTGAATATTGACAAGCTTTGAACAAATAACGTTAGCCTGTGAATGAATGATTCTACAAATCACGGAATTCATTGAGTTGTGTGGATTATTCATGTATCTCTCTTTTGCATATCTAAGGCCAGAGTAACAATCAATCAATCGGCCAAACACCATCAAAGTGAGAGGTTGTTTAGGCTATTTTACTTAAACAAACTGGATCCCTCTAGCCAAGCACAATCGTTTTTTATTAAGATATCGCAGTGGACTGACCATAGATTTGTCCGGGCGGTGATGGAAGAAGAACAGTCCGACATGATACAGCGTTGTAGCTTTGTCTGACAGGTCGCTCTGTCGCAGCCTGGAAACAATCCAAGCAAAAAAGTTGCAAACCAAGTTAATATTATTGTAAGAGTTACACTCTAGGCGCAACAAAGTAACAATCTGCTGTCGTGGTGGTGCCATTAGAAAGGCAGCCACGGTTCGCATTCTAGTCGAAACCATCCTTCGAAAATGTTCTTGTCTGTTATTGTTGGATCGAGGATTCTCTCAGATCGTTTATTTAATTTGTAAAACAAAGTAAGTGCTGTTCTGCACACTGCTACTTCACATGGACAAAGAACGAATTTCGCTCTGTCGTGTGGTATTCGCCTCGGCTCTGAGTTCTAAAATGGACGGGAAAATAAAGCGCAGCCGGAGGTCAAGATCTCAACGAGACCGCGTGCGAAGAGGGGATGCGATTGACAGGAATTACCAAAACCGGAGTCCATCATCTGGCTCTGACCGAGGGCAAAGCACGGTCAAGAATAAGGCCCTGTGTAAATATAGAAAAATTACCAACTTGCATTATGTCCGGCCCCCGCGCCCCTCTCGGAGAAAGAGACGAGGGTCAGTGTCACAGGAGGAGGACATTATTGATGGATTTGCCATAGCCAGCTTTCTCAGTCTGGATGCTTTAGAGGTAAGAACGTTGGCCTACAGTATGTATGTTGTTTTTGACACACTTTTGTATGTTTGGGCATGATGCACATAAGTCGATAAGTCGATTAAATCTTCCTGTGTGGCCCTCGTGGCTCAATATGATCTCTGCCAGGGTTATGTGCAGTTGACCAGGTTATCTCCATTGTGATTTTGTGTAAGTTATAAACCATTTTATGTAACACTGTATAGGCTATCTACAATGTAAATATACTGTACCTGCCTTGTAACAAGGTTTTCAGGACATTGCTGTAAACACACATTGGTTGGTTTGCAGGGCCAATATGCTGAGAGGCTGATGACTGAACATATGCTGTTAGGTTACTATTGATTTATTCCAACAACAGCCATTATGATGCTTTGAGGTGTCACTCAGTCCATGTATTTCTATAGATCAGACTTACTTCCATTACAGAAGAATGGTTTTTATTGATTCACAACTGCACACTGGATGGTTTGGTCAATGTCATGATAATTCCTGGTGTTTGTCAGAGAGAACTGGTAGATGTCACACATTTTGAATATGTTCTGATTTGCTGATGGTCCACAAATGGGCCTATGCTTGACCCATTTTTAAAGAAAGCTCCTCTCTTTCTCTTAAATGCTTCCGAGTGCAGTGTTCATCAGCAGGAGTTTTAGTGTATATGATTTTTTCCACCTTGCCAGTTCGGGGATTCAAACCAGCGACCTTTCGGGTTACTGGCCCAACGCTCTTAACCGCTAGGCTACCACAGGGACATATGTCAAAAGAGATACAAAATAGACAATAATAAAGGCATTGGATACTTCTATGTTCAAGAAAACCAAGTGCTTGAAATGCTTGAAAATGACCTTTTCCTCTTAATGCTTCCCGCCAGATGGTGACTAACAGTAAACATGATAAATGGTATCAAAGTGACACTGTGTGAAAGACAACCCGGCAGTAAAAAGCCAGAGCTGACTCAGTGAGTGGTGCATATGGCCCTGACAGAAGACTCATTATCATTCTGATTCATTTACTGTCTAGAAAGAGAAACTTATTGTTATACCAAATGTCAGGGGCGCAAAACAAGACGGGACTCAACAGAATCTTCTCTCATCGATAATGATGATCATTATCTATTCCTGTCAACCCTTGCTTCTCAGAAGTAACTCATGGAATTGCTTTGCTATATGGATACACAGTAGTCGGCTAACTGTACATTAATCACTGTAGAAACAGCTGCTGCATACAGCTGTTGCATATTGTCAACATCATTTCCAGTATATTCTGGATGAGGATGACTGATGATGACTCCAGCGCAACATGACCCTGGCCTGGATTGTAATAAAGGAGGCCTGCATAATTGTATAATGATTGTTGCAGTGAGTGCTGTAACTTAGATGGTGTAACTCACCAGGACATGACTCTGGTTTGTTTGCACAGGGTTAGTTTCATTAGCTCTGTAACCAGCTAGTCTGGCTTTGTCACTAGTCTAAATGTATGTATGAATGAGGGACGCCTGCAGCAGCTCTACCCTTTAAACGGCGAAACGCTTCTCTGTTATACAGTCTGTTCTCTTCTCTAGCTCTGCTCTGCCAGCAGAGAGAATCTCTCCCTGCTCTCCCTCTTTTATGATGACTGAGCTCCTAGGATTTCACCAGATAGAATTACATTAATACTAAATCTAGGATTAGTCATTTGTAAAGCGAGCTGTCAGACTGTTACAAGTGTTTAATATCCTACTGCAGTAGGGCCCCCAAGCAGACATTTCGACATCCTATTTGCAGAAATAAAAGGATATGTTTGATGTGTTCTCGGAGTCCACCCTCCCAGTCAGGTGTGTACTGTACACCCCAGAGGTGATGCCATCTAAGTAACTGTTTGATAAACACTACCAGTGTGTCAAAAGCTAAAGGTTAATTGAATAGGCAGCAACACGTGAGAAACACTGTCGCAGAGCATTCTACACACACTGCTCTCGGTGTATTTTTGTTGTTGTTGCTATATTCAAGATTATTTCTGTGGCGGAACTTGTACAGGCAGTGGTCTTATTTTATCAAGAAGCATATCATTGAAATATTCCAGCTATTGGTTGGTAAATCTCTAGTGCTTCTTTATTACAGCCATGGCCCTGCTGCATAGTTAATGTGCACCAGCCTCCCAGATCTCTGGCCCATCTGTCCAGCTGAGAGCTCTCCAGGCAGTCAAGAGGGGGAAAGGCTGCTGCTCCACAGCTCCTCGTCTCTTTGTGGTGTGTGTCTGTCTGTTCGGAGAATGCTTTTTACAAGCTCCTTGTGTGGACAAGATTGAGAAAGTGCTTGGGTTTCAGGGGACCTGCAAGGACTTTAAACAAGCAGGTGTCACTTGTCTGTGTATGTGAATGTGTTCACTGACAGCTGATAATATGGTGTGCTTTCAGGAAAGCCGTGCTTTTGCTTTCATCCTTTTTTCAGTAGAATCAATCTTCTAGTTCTAGGAACACTGAAAATACCTCTCTGTGGCCATATTTCTGTGGCCTGTTCAGTTTGCCTGAATATAGTCCCACAACTAGGTTAGTGTGTTACTCCCTCAGGCCCTCATTGATTTACCCTCCTCTATGTTATCTGTCCTTGCCACCCCCCTTAGTCTCCAGCTAGACTCTTATGTCCAAGGATTACATTCTCCTCTCTTAAGCATGGTGGTAGCACAATGATTTCACTCAGCCAAATAATGCTGAACGTTTCATGTTTTACCCCTGTTCGTCACAGTTCCACATAATGGACAACTTGCAGGGCCGCAGGCCGCAGTTGTAAAAGTGTGTGTGTGTGTGTGTCCATCTCTCCCTGGGCCCACCGCCCAGCCAGGCTGTGAGACAGGAAACAGGCTGACTCTCCCTGCCATAAACCCCCTCTGTGATTTCCTAGCCTTTGTTCTGCTGCTGTCGGCTTGTGCTGTAAATAAACCATCAGTCGCCCTGAACGGCCTGGAACTGACATGGAACACCATTATGTCTGTCTGTTGCAGTGCGCTGACAGACTGACAGACAGAGAGAGACGGCTAGTTTTATTTAGAAAATGAAAATGTAGAATGTACTGCTACTGCATGACCTCAATCCACTGGTTTAATAATGACTGTTGGCCCCATTTTGTGGATATATACTATTTAGCCCTGATAAGTAGGGCTATCTGCCGAATATGGTACAGTGCCAAATTTAGAGTTCCAGGGCGTAGTGCAAACACTCTCTTGTTTAACTCTTTCTCTCTCTCGCTCTCTCGCTCTCTCTTTTTTTTTGGTCACCCCTGTGTGTCTGCCTGTGTTGGGTTTTCAGCTCTACTGCTTTGCAGTTAGGTTAGGGTTCCACTACAATGCCCAAAGCTGAGGAGATGATCCCAGTGTAATGTCAGGAGGCCATTGTGAATAGGCTCTCTGAGGAAAAGTCATCATTAGGTACTGATGGTGTGTAATCTAATTGTCTTAGTACCTGGCAGAAGAGGGGAGCAGAGGCATTAATCAAGCCACTATAAACAGCCATCAAGGATAGCACAGTTATGTTTTACTCTAGCCTATGTCTGTATTGCCTAAACATACACTGAGTGTACAAAACATTAAGAACACCTTCCTAATATTGAGTTGCCCTCAGAACAGCCTCAATTTGTCAGGGCATGGACTCTACAAGGTGTCGAAAGCGTTCAATGTTCCAATGCTTCCCACAGTTGTGTCAAGTTGGCTGGATGTCCTTTGGATGGTGGACCATTCTTGATACACACGGGAAACTGTTGAGCGTGAAAAACCCAGCAGCGTTGCAGTTCTTGACACAAACCGGTGCACCTGGCACATACTACCATACCCTGTTCAAAGGCACTGAAATCTTTTGTCTTGCCCATTCACCCTCTTAATGGCACACATACACAATCCATGCCTCAATTGTCTCAAGGCTTAAAAATCCTTCTTTAACCTGCCATCTCCACATCTATACTGATTGAAGTGGATTTAACAGGTGACATCAATAAGGGATCATAGACTGACCAGGTGAATCCAGGTGAAAGCTATGTCATGTACAGTTGAAGTCGTAAGTTTACATACACCTTAGCCAAATACATTTAAACTCAGTTTTTCACAATTCCTGACATTTAATCCTAGTACAAATTCCCTGTTTTAGGTCAGTTAGGATCACCACTTTATTGAAATGTCAGAATAATAGTAGAGATAATTATTTATTTTAGCTTTTATTTCTTTCATCACATTCCCAGTGGGTCAGAAGTTTACATACACTCAATTAGTATTTGGTAGCATTGCCTTTAAATTGTTTAACTTGGGTCAAACGTTTCGGGTAGCCTTCCACAAGCTTCCCACAATAAGTTGAGTGAATTTTGGCCCATTCCTCCTGACAGAGCTGGTGTAACTGAGTCAGGTTTGTAGGCCTCCTTGCTCGCACACGCTTTTTCAGTTCTGCCCGCAAATGTTCTATAGGATGAGGTCAGGGCTTTGTGATGACCACTCCAATACCTTGACTTTGTTGTCCTTAAGCCATTTTGCCTCAACTTTGGAAGTATGCTTGGGGTCATTTGGAAGACCATTTGCGACCAAGCTTTAACTTCCTGACTGATGTCTTGAGATGTTGCTTCAATATATCCACATAATTTTGCTTCCTCATGATGCCATCTATTTTGTGAAGTGCACCAGTCCCTCCTGCAGCAAAGCACCCCCACAGCATGATGCTGCCACCCCGTGCTTCGCGGTTGGGATGGTGTTCTTCGGCTTGCAAGCAATCCCCTTTTTCCTCCAAACATAACGATGGCCATTATGGCCAAACAGTTCTATTTTTGTTTCATCAGACCAGAGGACATTTCTCAAAAAGTACGATCTTTGTCCCCGTGTGCAGTTGCAAATGGTAGTCTGGCTTTTTTATGGCAGTTTTGGAGCAGTGGCTTCTTCCTTGCTGAGCGGCCTTTCAGGTTATGTCGATATAGGACTCATTTTACTGTTGATATATATACTTTTGTACCTGTTTCCTCCAGCATCTTCACAAGGTCCTTTGCTGTTGTTCTGGGATTGATTTGCACTTTTCGCACCAAAGTACGTTCATCTCTAGGAGACAGAACGCGTCTCCTTCCTGAGCGGTATGACAGATGCGTGGTCCCATGGTGTTTATACTTGCATACTATTGTTTGTACAGATGAACGTGGTACCTTCAGGCATTTGGAAATTGCTCCCAAGGATGAACCAGACTTGTGGAGGTCTACCATTCTTTTTCTGAGTTCTTGGCTGATTTATTTTGATTTTCCCATGATGTCAAGCAAAGAGGTTTGTTGTCTGTCTGCTTTTGTCAGCAGGAACATCTAATCAAAGTTCTGATTATGATCACTTGTCAGTGTCTGTCTTTTATCTGATTCACCTGAGCTGGCAGTGCAGATAATGTGTTGAGTCGATGAACAGTAAGTCAGACATGATTCTGTATGATACTGATATCACTCTTATGAATGACAACATCAGTCTATAAAAGCACTGAATGTCCTTGAATATATCTGTACTTGGCAGAAGCGTTGTAGCTGTGTTGTACTGCACAGAGAAAGAGAAGCTCCACGTTGAAATCACTCATTGTTTCACACAGTTATGTGTCATTGTGTTTCTCCACCTCCCTGGACAGTTACCAAGCATGTCTGATCAAAACAATCACTGCTAGCTTGGCTCTGAATTAGCATCAGGCATACACATCTGTGGAGAGGCAGAGGGGGAGAAACTAAACTAACCCAAAGACCAAACAAGGGCTGAATGAGAGAGAGTGGGTGAAAATAATCTGGGATAGATCTGTTTTTCCAGCTACACTGAATACAATAGGCATGTATCCTCTAAGAATAAAGACAACAGCCATCCAGGGACTGTAGATAGTCTAGATACTGTGATATGTGGACAGAATGTACAGTAGTGTTTACATATAGATCTAGGTGATAATAAACTGGCTCCATTTTCAGCTCTTGTGTTTATCATTACTGTAGGTTGTGAGACAAGAAAAGTGACATTATGTTCTATTACAATTTCATAATGTTTATTTTTTGCCCACCAGTACCTCCTTAAAATATGTTTGACAGTTGATGTGACAAAGTAGCCTACACATTTACACTTGTAAGGCAAAGCCATGGCAGTGTCAGAATATTTATGACTTGTCTCCAGTCCATTACTGGTGTATAAATTGCAATCAGTCAGTGCAGGTCCAGTAATTCAGTAGCAGGACCTGTGACCTTAGGCTGTTGGATGTGTCATGGGAAATAGAGTTTTAAGTGTCTAATTACCACTACCACTTAATTATGTGTCACAAGCACTGTGGGAAATGACATGCCAACTCCATTTCAGCATTCAAATAATCAAGTGATTATGAACCTAGTGTACCTATAGCCACTCTCAGTGGTGTAAAGTACTTCAGTAAAAATACTTTAAAGTACTACTTTAGTAGTTTTTTGGGGTATCTGTACTTTACTTTACTATTTATATTTTTGACTACTTTAACTTTTATTACATTCCTAAAGAAAATAATGTACCTTTTACTCCATACATTTTCCCTGACACCCAAAAGTACTCGTTATATTTTGAATGCTTAGTAGGACAGGAAAATGGTCTAATTCACACACTTATCAAGAGAACATCTCTGGTCATTCCTACTGCCTCTGACCTGGTGGGCTCATGAAACACATGCTTCATTTGTAAACGATGTCTGAGTGTTAGCATGGCCCTGGCTAGCCATAAATTAAAAAAACAAGAAAATGGTGTCGCCTGGTTTGCTTAATATAAGGAATTTGAAAAGATTTATACTTTTAATACTTAAGTCTATTTTTGCAATTACATTTACTTTTGATACTTATGAATATTTAATCCAAATACTTTTAGACTTTGACTCAAGTAGGATTTTACTGGGTGACTTTCACTTTTACTTGAGTCATTTTCTATTAAGGTATCTTTACTTTTACTCAAGTATGACAATTGGGTACTTTTTCCACCACTGGCCACACTACAGATGGCATCTTTAAAAGTCACAGGCATTTAAAGTGAACCTTGTACCAGAAGATGTTGGCCTATAGTGGCATGTGATCGAACAGTTCCTAATGACAGAAAGCGGTCTAGCTGGGGATGTTGGGATGGATGGAGTGCTTGATCTATGGACAGGCTGTTAACACTATTATCTCTGTCGTGGTCAGGAGGATAAAGACAAATAATCATGCATATAAATGCAGATGATCTACAGTGTGTACATGAGGTAGAGCCATGGACTGTATCTCCTCAGGCATCTAGGACTTAAGCTGTTAAACAGCTAAGCAGCAGCTGTGTTATCTGTAGACCTGTAGCTTTACACACAGCTTAGGAATCCATCATGAATCTAATGGTGCAATGCCCAGGAACATCAGATCTGCTAGGTCCACGCTCCTACAGTGCAGTGCTTTAATAAATGAACATAGGAAGGAATAACTGTAGGCATAGTAACTGATCTTTCCAGATATCTAGAAGGAACTGTGCACTACTGTCTTGTATGATATCGTGTCATGGGAAAATTGCTCTCTGAAATTAGCTATCTATTACTCTGGTAAAGACATGTTAGCGGATGCTATTAGCTTTATACTGTTAACTGACTGACTCTGTTGTACCCCTGCTTGCGTTGCACCTTTGAAATCTATGTCACATCAATAGAGTTAGTGATTTACAGAGCAGTTAATGGAGGCTGAAGCAGCACTTACTGTGCCATTGGCTGATTGGACGTAAATTGGATTTGAATAGAATACTGTAACCTCCCCCTTGTTTCCCTGGCCTCTTCTATCTCATGTCTTTTGTGGAACGTTTGCAGGCCAGGTTATGTTCAGCTACCTGGTGAGAGCTGATATGTGAGGTCTGATTGCAGAAGCTGTGGCACATGAGCTGTTAATAGCTTGATTTTCATGTCTTCTGTTCACCGAGGAGAGACCGTGTTATAACATGCATGTTACTGCCATTCACTTTTGGCTTCATGGATGGTGAGAGTGACTGGATGGAGGTACATATGTGATAGTGGAACTTGATGAGAGCATTCCATCCACTGAATCCTTTGTAAGCCGCTGGGCTTTACCTGGGATTTAGATCCAATGTTCGCTCTCAAAGCCATTCTCACTGCAAACCCTAACCTGGATTTAGCTGGTTTCACCCTATTCTATTCATTGTAGCTGGCAAAACGGATCTACGCCAGATTATTTTCACCCACTCTCTCTCATTCAGCCCTTGTTTGGTTTTTGGGTTAGTTTAGTTTCTCCCCCTCTCCCCCTCTGCCTCTCCACAGATGTGAATGCCTGATGCTAATTCAGAGCCAAGCTAGCAGTGATTGTTTTGATCAGACATGCTTGGTAACTGTCCAGGGAGGTGGAGAAACACAATGACACATAATTTACCACACGCCGCTAGTCTTTTAGCAGTGCCATGAATATTAATATCACTATGGCAATGGTTGTGGAGATTAGCTCACGGTAGTGCTTTACACTTGTACCATTAGATCACTTGTTTTCATGGATAGCTGAAGCTGTAGGCAGGGGGACGCTGAGCAGGGAATGCTCACAGTTCACACTCGTTGGCTAAGTGAGATTAGTTGTGCTTGCATTGAACAATACCCCAAAAGCCATCGGGGCAGGGGAGTATTTATTGCATTGCTCCTTTCCAAGTTCTCATAGACATCTGTGTCTTAGATGACCTGTAACTGATTATTGTTCATGTTCATTGCTTGCCTCCACTGTGCTTGATAGTATGTACACTACCAGTCAAAAGTTTGGGCACACCTACTCATTCAAGGGTTTTTCTTTATTTTCTTAATTTTTTACATTGTAGAATAATAGTGAAGACATCAAAACTATGAAATAACACATATGGAATCATGTAGTAACCAAAAAAGTGTAGCCACCCTTTGCCTTGCTGACAGTGTTGCACACGCTTGGCATTCTCTCAACCAGCTTCATGAGGTAGTCACCTGGAATGCCTTTCAATTAACAGGTGTGCCTTGTTAAAAGTTAATTTGTGGAATTTCTTTCCTTCTTAATGCATTTGAGCCAATCAGTTGTGTTGTGACAAGGTGGGGGGGGGGGGGGGGGTATACAGAAGATAGCCCTATTTGGCAAAAGGCCAAGTACATTGTCTTGATGACAACTTTGCACACTCTTGGCATTCTCTCAACTAGCTTCATGAGGTAGTCAGCTGGAATGCATTTCAATTAACAGGCGTGCCTTCTTCAAAGTTAATTTGTGGAATTTATTTCCTTCTTTCAGCCAATCAGTTGTGTTGTGACAAGGTAAGGGGGGGTATACAGAAGATAGCCCTATTTGGTAAATGACCAAGTCCATATTATGGCAAGAACAGCTCAAATAAGCAAAGAGAAATGACAGTCCATCATTACTTTAAGACCTTAAGGACAGTCAATCCGGAAAATTTCAAGAACTTTCTTCAAGTGCAGTCGCAAAAACCATCAAGCGCTATGATGAAACTGTCTCTCATGAGGACCGCCACAGGAATGGAAGACCCAGAGTTCCCTCTGCTGCAGAAGATGTTCATTACAGTTACCAGCCTCAGAAATTACAGCCCAAATAAATGCTTCACAGAGTTCAAGTCACAGACACATCTCAACAACAACTGTTCAGAGGGGACTGTGTGAATCAGGCCTTCATGGTCGATTTGCTGCAAAGAAACCACTACTAAAGGACACCAATAAGAAGAAGAGACCTGCTTGGGCCAAGAAATATGAACAATGGACATTAGACCGGTGGAAATGTGTCCTTTAGTCTGGAGTCCAAATTGGAGATTTTTGGTTCCAACCGCCGTGTCTTTGTGAGACGCGGTGTGGGTGAACGGATGATCTCTGCATGTGTAGTTCCCACCATAAAGCATGGAGGAGGAGGTGTTATGGTGTGGGGGTGCTTTGCTGGTGACACTGTCTGTGATTTATTTAGAATTCAAGGCACACTTAACCAGCATGGCTACCACAGCATTCTGCAGCGATACGCCATCCCATCTGGTTTGCGCTTAGTGGGACTATCATTTGTTTTTCAACAGGACATTGACCCAACACACCTCCAGGCTGTGTAAAGGGCTATTTTACCAAGAAGGAGAGTGATGGAGTGCTGCATCAGATGACCTGGCCTCCACAATCCCCCGATCTCAACCCAATTGAGATGGTTTGGGATGAGTCGGACCGCAGAGTGAAGGAAAAGCAGCCAACAAGTGCTCAGCATATGTGGGAACTCCTTCAAGACTGTTGGAAAAGCATTCCAGGTGAAGCTGGTTGAGAGAATGCCAAGAGTGTGCAAAGATGTCAAGGCAAAGGGTGGCTATTTTAAAGAATCTCAAATATAAAATATATTTTGATTTGTTTAACACTTACTACATGATTCCATATGTGTTATTTCAACGTTTTGATGTCTTCACTATTATTCTACAATGTAGAAAATAGTAAAAATAAAGAAAAGCCGTTGAATGAGTAGATGTGTCCAAACTTTTGACTGGTACTGTATATCAACACCACTGACAACCCCCTCACAGGCCACTGGCATGGTTAGTCCAGGGGCATTTAGCCCAGACTGCCAAACGCCACAGCCTGACAATGGGCAGCAGCTGGCCGCCCATATTCTAGTCTCACAGGCCTGCCTCATAGGATATGACCTCAATACACAACCATGCCCAGAAGTATCATGAGCTTTGGCTTTTGTTCAATTCTCTTTTTCTTTAAGATGGGTTTTTATTTATTTATTAGAGGTTTTGGATGGATTCCCTTGTCATATTGCTCCCGAGTGGCGCAGCGGTCTAAGGCACTGCATCTCAGTGCTTGATGGTGTTCTTGGGGTCATAGGCAGCATTCCTCCTCCTCCAAACACGGCGAGTTGAGTTGATGCCAAAGAGCTATATTTTGGTCTCATCTGACCACAACACTTTCACCCAGTTCTCCTCTGAATCATTCAGATGTTCATTGGCAAACTTCAGATGGCCCTGTATATGTGCTTTCTTGAGCAGGGGGACCTTGCGGGCGCTGCAGGATTTCAGTCCTTCACGGCGTAGTGTGTTATCAATTGTTTTCTTGGTGACTATGGTCCCAGCTGCCTTGAGATCATTGACAAGATCCGCCTGTGTAGTTCTGGGCTGATTCCTCACTGTTCTCATGATGATTGCAACTCCACGAGGTAAGATCTTGCATGGAGCCCCTGGCCGAGGGAGATTGACAGTTATTTTGTGTTTCTTCCATTTGCGAATAATCGCACCAATTGTTGTCATCTTCTCACCAAGCTGCTTGGCGATGGTCTTGTAGCCCATTCCAGCCTTGTGTAGGTCTACAATCTTGTCCCTGACATCCTTGGAGAGCTCTTTGGTCTTGGCCATGGTGGAGAGTTTGGAATCTGATTGATTCCATATGTGGACAGGTGTCTTTTATACAGGTAACAAACTGAGATTAGGAGCACTCCCTTTAAGAGTGTGTTTATAATCTCAGCACGTTACCTGTATAAAAGACACCTGGGAGCCAGAAATCTTTCTGATTTAGAGGGGGTCAAATACTTATTTCCCTCATTAAAATGCAAATCAATTTATAACATTTTTGACATGCGTTTTTCTGGATTTTGTTGTTGTTATTCTGTCTCTCACTGTTCAAATAAACCTACCATTAAAATTATAGACTGATCATTTCTTTGTCAGTGGGCAAACATACAAAATCAGCAGGGGATCAAATACCTTTTTCCCTCACTGTATGTGTATATATATATATATATATTGACTCATTGTAAGCATTATCATCATCCATACTGAGGTGGCTCTCCTTCTGTGCTGTAGATATTAAGCCTCTTCTGTGTTTGCTCTTTCGTAGGTGGCTCTGAGGAAGAGCACAAAGAGCCTGAGGTCGCAGGAGGGCAAGGAGAAGTGGGAGAGCCAGGTGCTGAAGAAACGGAAGACTGAACAGACTGCTGAGGGGGATGTGATCCCTATGAATGGATTCACTGACAATCGAGCTGACTTTGAGCAGGATGGAGAGAAGGAGCGAGGGAAGGTGAAAAACAGATCAAAGAAGAACAAGCAGGTAGTCTATGGATCAATTAACCTTCATTCTATTTTAATGAATATGCTCTCCTACACACCAAAACCTGTCTACCTCCTAATGTGTGTGGGCATTTTGCCCAGTGAAGTAAAAGAGGTCTTACAGTTTGTCTTCTTAATGGGTTGTTTACCTAGCTAAGAACCTATATGTTAATCTGGAGTTCTTCCTTAGCTGTTTCAAGTCATTCACTTTCAATCCCACAGATATTTTTCTAATGGTGATACGGCTTTTGTCCTGTAAATTTTTTTAATAAAATAGAAAACGTCTCCGTCATGAGGTGTTAATTGTCGGCACCAGACAGTCAATGAACTGTGTAATCGGGTTCATTTCCGAATCTTCTCATCCTGGTCTAGTAATTGCCTCACACAAGCCTCTCTGCTTTGCAGGAAGTTAGGAGGGAGCCACACAGGAAACGAGGGCCAATAAAAAGATGAGATAAGGTGCTTTGTGAAGAGGTTCCTCCTCAGCGCAGGATGTGTCTGTGTTTGTAACAGAGAGCACACCAGGCAAACACACACTTATACCTACTCCATATCAGTCCCTGGCCTAGCCAATTCCTGCACCTCAATCTGTATGTGTCGATCAGATACTACTTGTTGTAAGGTATCGCCTAGACGACCCCTTGTGGATCTCTCGTGTTCTGAATAGTATGCAAAACAGTATGTTGGGTGGTAGCCTCCTATGCAATACAGGAGAGAGCTATTATCAGGTTTGTTTCTAAATGTATTTTGTTCCTTGAATTTACTGTTTATCTTAGCACACTGTAGGTAAATGGGATCTACTCTACGAAATGGATGAATCCTACTCACACTTGTTCAATCGAGCAGTTTAATTGTGTCACTGAAGCAACCTCCAGAGTGCTCTAGGGAGTAGAATGACCTCAGAACATCCTTTCTTCTGTTTCACCTGACTACCAGGAAGAGCATGTACTTTGCTGCAGCACGTTGCACATTGACACAGCACATTCACTGTGTCAAATCAAGTCATGAGACTAGCTGGAAGATGGCTGTTTGACATGTTCACTGCCGCTGTAAAATCCCACCTATGCTATTTAATCATTTTTACACGAACACACACACACACACACACACACACACACACACACACAGGAGATAGACATACAGTGTTCTGTGCCTGCCTGTCAAAGCAGTGAAGTGTAGCAGTCAAATTAACACTGCAGGATGGGCTGAACATTATGGAACGGTAGCTTTAAACCATGAAACCCCAGATCAACACCACATTATTATACTGTTCCTGTGTCATGAAACAACTTGCTCTCTCCTGAATCAATATCTGTATAAAATCTGCATTATGCTGCATGGATCATTCAAGGTCTCCATTCCAACCTAATGTTGGTGTGTGTGTGTGTGTGTGTGTGTGTGTGTGTGTGTGTGTGTGTGTGTGTGTGTGTGTGTGTGTGTGTGTGTGTGTGTGTGTGTGTGTGTGTGTGTGTGTGTGTGTGTGTGTGTGTGTGTGTGCACGCGCGCGCCCATTTATGCATGCACTGCATTGATCTTGCCTTTAAAGAAAAGCCACCTCCGGCTCTGAGATGGGTCAGGGCTAGGGCTAATTGCCCATCACGGTCAGTGAATGAGTCTGGACATGAACTCTGCTTATTTTAAATCGGGTTAACTGTGTCATTGAAATGGATGTCCTCACTGATGTGTAGTCAATCACTCCTGTAATACACCAGTGCCCTCTGGTGGGCCAAATTCTCTTCTGGGCAGAGGGGCTATGAGCTGGTAAATTCCCTGTCTACCAACTCAATGTTATGTAGATAAACCTGGACTCAAAGAAATTATGATAATTAGTTAAATTGGAAGCCTTTGAGTGAGGGATTGATCTGTCCTCTGGGTCTGTCCCTCAGGTGAAGGGGCTTCTGGGAAGGCAAGACAGAGCTGAGGTCACCAGAACACAGGGCACGCCTCAGAGAAGCAACTCTAAAGAACACCACAGTGAGGTATGAACAGTATTGTCTGGATAAAGGGATTTTTTTGTGCCAACAACAACCTAATGACTGATTACAGAAGGCATTTATCACAGTCTTTTATAAGCCCTTGCTCATGAACGTTATAATTTATTTCCACAGAGTTCATTCTCTGGTCGGGGCTATTCGGTGAGTGACTTCAATCCTTTCTGACAGAATTAATGTCAGTGATCTGCCTATGGTACTGCTCAGAGTATGAGGACAAAACCGGGTCAGTGATTAGCGCATGCATACTGAGAAGAACAGTCTGTAACAAAATGTCCTCAGAAGCTAACAGGCTGATATTTAGTAATGCAGCTAAACAGGTGTCACGTCAACATGGATTAGTGATTTGTATATCTGAGTAATCTTGACACGTTGACAGTGAGCAGGACTTGAGGGAGGGACTGACACATGATTTATCAGTGGTTTCAGTAGAAATTGACCGGCTGATATAGTAGCTCGCAGCTGTGTTGCTGTGTCACCTGGCGTGATGATTCCCTTAAAGCAAACGGTTCAGTACACACAGCCGTTAAACACACGTCTGTCACTTGGAACGAGGCGACAGACCTAATGGATAATAATGTCCCTTTTCTCTCTCTCTCTCTCTCTCTCTCTCTCTCTCTCTCTCTCTCTCTCTCTCTCTCTCTCTCTCTCTCTCTCTCTCTCTCTCTCTCTCTCTCTCTCTCTCTCTCTCTCTCTCTCTCTCGATATGTAAACAGACTGGTTTTGCCATATTACTCCAAGCATAAACACATTTCTACTAGACATAACCACAGCTTTTAGTCCTAATCTAACCATGATACGTTTCTCAATGGATCTCAAGGTTTTTTTAATGCATTATTTATAGATAGATTTGATAGAGTTTCAGTTTGAGTGTTGGTGATGGATGAAGCTGTTCTCATGAATTAATGCAGCACTTTACTTCCTTTCTCACGCAGTGTGACAGTGAGAGTGACATCGATGACAAGGTCAGATAAACATTCTCACTTTTCAGAACTGTTAACTTATCAGTGCTTTACATGTTCTGTTATGTATTGATGTATTTCCATCGGTGCTGTCAGCTGGCCAGGCTGTATTGTACTGAGAGGGAGGGGGGTCCTCCAAAGAGTTGTGATGGGGTCAGGTTTTTTAGCTGACCTTTTTATTTAATAGGTCAGGGCAGCGTAAACAGTGTGTGGGGTGTCTTTGGTCTCAGTGGTGGTCCTCCTCCGTCCTGACCAGACTATTTTTGGGAGATAGTTGACGTCAAGGAGGGTAAATGGCCACAAACTCTAACTTGTGTTTTGGTACTGGTTTGTGAGTGTGAGGTTCAGTCTGTGTGTCTTATGGATATTATACTCATTTAACCCTGTTTAAAATGTCTACATGTTAATAATGCCAGCCCTCTTTGATTTCATTATTGGATTTGATCTAAGGAATGCGCTGAAGCTAACTTGATTACACTGTGAATATCATTAGGGCTTCTTACGAAAGTAAGGACGTTCTGATAATCACAACAAGTCTCTTATTTCCTCCATATGATCTATTTTTGTCAGCAACCTCCTGTTAAATATGGAAGCTCCAATACTGAAATTAAACTCATGACAAGGGTCATATGAACCAGATTACGGTAATGTGGCATTTTGCAAGGTTGTTAATCAACTGATGGATTCCAGGAATATCTGGAACTAAGGTCCTTACATTTGCAACACCAAAGGAACCTCATGATGGTTTACCACAGCTGAATTTCAGCTGAGTTCAGAGCCAGTAAATCAACAATTTCATTTAGCTATTGAATCTGGTCAGTTTGATGTCTATTTGATGTCATTAGTCTATAATCATGCGCTTTCCCAGCATCCATATGATTTACACTTTACAAAGGACATAATGCTTAAAGATGAGGAATACACAGGAGAACATCAGATATAATATCACTACATAGCTTATTTTAAATGGTTGAGTACTCTAGTCTGTGTGTGTGTGAGTCCTCTGCTGCCTGGTATGAGAATCTGGCCAATATTAAGCAGTGTAATTAGAAACAGACTGTTTTAAATGTAATTTATGGATTGTAATATGATACTTGGCTACTAACTTAATTTGTGTCATCCACTTTCTAATTTGTTTTTCACAAGATAAATGTCATGGGCATTTACGTATTTCTAGTGAGTGCTCTTACATGAAAGATATGACTGATTACATTAATTGCCTCTTAGTGTGTAATCGATGTTGTGATGCTTTTTATTATCCGGTCAAAAAGATGCATTCATGGAGCTGTCACATACTACATGAAATTAGAATGGTTTCGATTTAATCTCATTCAGAAAACGTTCCTTCTCATGTCATTGGACTGGGTTCACCAAGAGTTATGCCTCACCTTTGGTTCCTCTGATCTCATTTCCATTCATTTTCCATTTTAGTCATTTAGCAGACGCTCTTATCCAGAGCGACTTACAGTAGTAGTGAGTGGATACTTTTTCATACTGGTCCCCGTGGGAATCGAACCCACAACCCTGGCGTTGCAAGCGCCATGCTCTACCAACTGAGGCACACGGGACCATACATTTATTGGGAACTTGAACACACCCCCCTTGAGTGTGGAGCTCACGTCGAGTCTGGGAGTGGAGCAAGAGCCAGCATACCGGATGGTCCTGTTAAAGATTACCATGGAAAAGCAATCACTTTTGGGGACAGTTCCACCACTTACAAAATCCAAATTTAGCCTCTAACTAGGCTAACATTTTTATTTTCTCATTTTTACTCAGGTTTCAGGGCTTGAGTCTGAAAAGCTCTTCACACTAAGGACAACTAATGGTAAGAATATTTTCATTCTCTATGTTTTTGTACTTGACTCTCTGTCCTTGCTTAGCTGTTGCTATAGAGAATAGATATATTTGTCTCTCTTAGTGACGTGCTCTTATATGCTTTTTCTGACATTCCATTTCTGTTCCCTGGAATAAGGGCAACATCCTTATTCAAACCACACAATTATCAAGTATTACCAAATTGTTGTCAAGGTGTTGTGGCCATTGTAATTTAAGGATACCCACACACTCTTAATTGCACAACGTGGGTATGACACTGAATGTTACTCTACCCTGTGGAAAGTCTCTAAGCTAGAGGGATTTATGTTGAAGTAAAACAGAATAATGATGCAAGTGTTTTGACAGAGATATGTGTGCATTTGAATGTGTTGAGTTGTGTGAAATAGTTGATAAATGTTTTCTACACAATCTTTTAGCTATAAATTGGATTGAACCTCCACTTTCAGTGGCTTAGCTGCTTCGTTGTGGCTAGCAAGAAGTGATGCTTGGAGTCACACGTCATTCTTAATGAGACTACTGGCTCAAGCAATTTTGTAATCTACTGCAATGTTCCCTATTATCATCCTTAGCGTCTCCATCAATTCCATATTGTGATCTAACTATAGCTGAAATTCACCCAATTTTCACCCAAGAGAATGCTGCTCAAAGCAACATCACTGAATGGTATTTTTCCCATTCAGTATTCTTTACCCGACTGAGGTGTTGTTGCCTTATATGGGCAGCTTGATAGATTGTGTTCCCTTCACAACCCACGATTTCTTAAACTCAAAGCTCATTAGAACTAACGTGGTCACATTTGGCCTCATTTGGCCTGTAAGAGCCAAGCGGAGACGCGCATCCAGGGCCAGGCAGCATAAAGCATGCTCTAATCCCACTGGCTGGCGGTGAGAACCTTTTAGAGCTGAGCCAGGGGTTTAATATGCCTTGTGAAAGTGATTAGGAGGTCTCCATTTAACTCTCCCTACCTCCAAGCTGCTTGTGGTGGGCTTTGGAGAGGGCATTTGTTGTTTGCTTTGGATGTCTTTCATTGAGTCTTCCAATGAGCCGTCTGGACTTCAGCCTATTGAATGTTATGATTACAAAGAATGCTAAACACACCACTAGTCTCTCCCCAGGGCCCTCGGCTTTTGTCAGAGCTCAAAGACTGCAGGGAATAGAGACTAGTGTTGTTTGGTGCTGGGAAAATAGGCTGTTTGTTGAATTTACACTTACATTTTCTTACACTGTCTGGCGGTGAATGGAAAATATAATGGTGCAACTAACAAATTGTAAGCACTTTGTAAAATGAACATGCTCATTTGCCCAAGACTTGAACCCGTTAGTTGCCTCATTGTTTCTAGATGTAGGCCTAGTGTTCAGTATTGGAGGCCACAGGACTAGGGCTTTTATCATTTTTTACATTTTACATTTTAGTCATTTAGCAGACGCTCTTATCCAGAGCGACTTACAGTTAGTGAATACAATTTTTTTTTTTTTTTTTTATACTGGCCCCCCGTGGGAATCGAAGCCACAACCCTGGCGTTGCAAACGCCATGCTCTATCAACTGAGCTATATCCCTCCCCTCCCCTCCCCTCCCCTCCCCTCCCCTACCCTACCCTACCCTACCCTACCCTGGACGACGCTGGGCCAATTGTGCGCCGCCCATGAGTCTCCCGGTCGCGGCCGGCTGCGACAGAGCCTGGATTCGAACCAGGATCTCTAGTGTTACAGTTAGCACTGCGATGCAGTGCCTTAGACCACTGCGCCACTCAGGAGATCTCATTCAGAAAACCAGACAACACAGATTAGGAGCTATTCACCACTACATGACCAAAAGTATGTGGACACCTGCTCGTCGAACATCTCATTCCAAAATCATGGGCATTAATATGGAGTTGGTCACCCCTTTGCTGCTATAACAGCCTCCAATCCTCTGGGAAGACGTTCCACTAGATGTTGGAAAATTGCTGCAGGGACTTGCTTCCATTCAGCCACAAAAGCAGTAGTGAGCACGGGGGCATTGTCATGCTGAAACAGGAAAGGGCCTTCCCAAACTGTTGCCACAAAGTTGGAAGCACAGAATCGTCTAGAATGTAATTTTATGCTATAGCATTAAGATTTCCCTTCACTGGAACTAAGGGGCCTAGCCCGAACCATGAAAAACAGCCCCAGATCATTATTCCTCCTCCACCAAACTTTATAGTTGGCACTATGCATTGGGGCAGGTAGCGTTCTCCTGGCATCCGCCAACCCCAGATTCGTCCGTCGGACTGCCAGATGGTGAAGCGTGATTCATCACTCCAGAGAACGCGTTTCCACTGCTCCAGAGTCCAATTACGGCGAGCTTTACACCACTCCAGCTGATGCTTGGCATTGCGCATGGTGATCTTAGGCTTGTGTGCAGCTGCTTGGCCATGGAAACCCATTTCATTAAGCTCCCGAAGAACAGTTCTTACATTTTACATTTTAGTCATTTAGCAGACGCTCTTATCCAGAGCGACTTACAGTTAGTGAGTGCATACATTGTTTTCATACTAGTCCCCTGTGGGAATCGAACCCACAACCCTGGCGTTGCAAGCGCCATGCCCTACCAACTGAGCTACACGGGACTGAGCTTCTTGTGCTGACATTGCTTCCAGAGGCTGTTTGGAACTCGGTAGTGAGTGTTGCAACCAAGGACACGCGATTTTTACGCGCTTCAGCATTCGGCGGTCCTGTTCTGTGAGCTTGTGTGGCCTACCACTTCGCGGCTGAGCTGTTGTTGCTTTTAGACGTTTCCACTTCACAATAACAGCACTTACAGTTGACTGGGGCAGCTCTAGCAGGGCAGACATTTTACGAACTAACTTGTTGAAAAGGTGGCATCCTATGACAGTGCGACTTTAAAAGTCACTGAGCTCTTCAGTAAGGCCATTCTACTGCCAATGTTTGTCTATGGAGATTGTATGGCTGTGTGCTTGATTTGATACACCAGTCAGCAACGGGTGTGGCTGAAATAGCCGAATCCACTAATTTTGAAGTGGTGTCCACATACTTTTGTATATATAGTGTATAATCAGTTTCAGTATTTATCTGAAGTGTGAAAGAATATTAAAGATGCACAATGCAGAAATCACTCCACCATTTCCTGGTTGCAATTTTTTTAATAGTTTGCCTAATTTCAGTTTATGTGACAAAACAAGCAAGCAAGTATAGTGTAGAGAATAATTGTTCCATAACTGTTTTAAGCTGGTGTACAAAACCGAAAGTAAAAGACACAAAAAAACGAAACTTAAGAACGGGAAGCATAGAAATAGCGCAAATAGACTTTCTTTCAATGAGAATGACAGATCTATAACAACATTTCTATGTGAATTTGGTCGGGTCGCCCCAAAAAGTTACATATTGCAGCTTTAAATGACTGTCAGTTCTGTCAAACTGTGGTTGGTAACCAATGTTCTCTGGTTGCTCATAGACATAGGTGTTGATGAGGTGGACGAGGAGAAGGTGTGCTGCGCTGCCACAGTGTCAGGTCTACAACGCAGCCAGGAGCAGAGCAGCGACACACCCCTCGATCTGCCTGCTGCCAGCCCCGCCCCTGGCTCTCAGCCTGCAGGCAGCCCTGCCCCTGCAGCCCCTCTCACCAGCCCACTTCCTGCTGTGTGTGTGAAGAAGGAGAGGACGTCCCCTCACAACCCGACCACCCCAACTCTGCCAGGGCCAGGCCTATCCCAAGTCAAGAGAGAACCATCGTCACATCACCAGGGCCATCCCCTGTACATTGGTCTCCACAACAGGTAGGACATGGCATTGAAAGTACTTGTTCAAACCATTTAATAATACTGATATCCTAGATGAGGTGCTATTTATTTACAACCTTGCCTTTCTCCTCCCTACAGCAGCAGCATAGAGGGGTCCCACAAGCGAACCCTCCCACCATCCCTCCACCTCGGGCGCCATTCTTCTCCCTTGCCGGCCCTCCCCCTGTCCATCTCGGCGCTGCCCGCACCCCACTTCTTCCTGCCAGGTCACGGGCATCGCCGCCCGGCCATGTTCACAAGCCCTCTGGGATTACCAACCAATGTCATCGTAGGACACTCCACTGAAGCAGGCTACTCAGGTAAGAGTCTTGAACAGTAAAGGAGATAGATATTGAAGGATACATTGGTGTTTAATGTACAACAGGTGTAGGTGGTGATAGGGGTTGTGGGTGAGAAAGAGCAGTTTTCGTCATAGAGTATGACCTTTAACCTCTCACCTCTCCCCCACAACAGAGCACGACCTGCTTCGCCAAGAACTGAACAACCGTTTCCTGGCGCAGACTGCAGAGAGAGGGGCTGGCTCGGGGCCACCTCTGCTGAGGACAGAGTTCCACAAGCACACACACCAGCACCAACATCAGCACCAACACCAGCACCAGCTCACCTTCTCACCCTACCCCAACAGTTTGCCTCCTCCACTAGGCATCCTCTCTACACCCCCAAATATGGGTCGCACAGCTGACCTAAATGTAAGTCCAGCACATGGCCACCACAAACTGCTTCATATGATTTAAAGGGTAACTCTCAACCCCAATTGCAGCATTTGCCCAACCCCTTCAATTAAAAAAAAATGCATTCAGGTGAGAAGTTGTGGGTGGGGGGAATTGCTCATAAATATTCATTTTGGGGGTGGGTAAACATAGTTGAACACTTTTTCACTAAAGCATACTTTCCAGAAGTCCACTAGCACGCTCTGATAATAACATTATGTGCATCATGAGTATATACGATTCTGGACGTTAGCTCACAGTGGTAAGGCGCCGAGTTCCTGACATCTATTGCCAGTTGCGGTGTAAATTCGAATCCCCCATGGGGCGCAAAACAAATAGTTGAAATGTAGAATCACATTTTATTGCGGTATTGTGTTGGGAAGAAAAGTGCAATCATCACCTTGACAATGAAGATTAGGTGCTCAATTCAATCCAACCTGCATTGCAGTATTTACGCAGTAACTATGAGTCTACTGTCTTAGTGGAGTATGCCACCAATAAGTCATAGCAGTTAGGAAAAAAGACAACGAGTTGACATGACCGCCATTGTCATCTATTTCTTGTTATGGTGGATGTAGCTATGAATATAAACATATAATCCTCATAGCCTACTTGTTTTCTTCCTTCGTAAAAGGAGGAATGAAACTGTAAGCAAAAACTTTGAATTTGGTCATATGCGGAAATGTGCCTTCCATTTGAAATTTGTATAACGTCAGTAGTCTAGTCAAGGAAGCATCTTGCTTTTATAGTAAGCCTTGAGGTGGTACCACCGAACACATCTAGAAGGGAGTGTATTTCATACCGATCCCCTCCCTTGAGATGACGTAGAGGCCTCTACATCACGATTTGAATGGTAGAGTTGAAACGCCAGGGGCAAAAATAGCTAGATCTACTACTAAAACACTAAAATATATAACTTTTGCGACGAACTGTCAAAATGAAGACCAGAATTGACGTGTTTCACTATAACTAAGCCTAAAACATCTGGTATGTTTTTTCACAAAAGTTACTCTTTAATGTTATCAAAACCCACATTCATAGTGAGGAACATTTTAGGTCACCCAGAAACGAGAGAGAGATAATGCTGTGCTTTGTTTTAGCTGTTTTCCGAACTCAACCTTCTTAATAGTGTAGCCTCAGGCTCAGCAGCCGCCTCCTTTAATCTGGGGGAAACCTTTATTACAGTATCTCAACAAAACAGAAATACCAGATACAGTCCCTGAGAGACACATTTTCGCTTTCAGCCATTTTAAACTTTTTTCCACCCACCAGGGAACAGTTTGAAATATTTCATCATAGGGGAAAAAAATATATGAGCCCTGAAATGGCTGGCTGTTCCACTGACAGCTTGGTAAAGCCAGTGGAAATCGATCTCATGGCTGTTTTGACACACTCAAAGCCCTACTGTCAGGATAAATGACTGTGCCGCAGCAAAAGGAATGAGGTCATTAGAGTGCTTTTGATCGTGGGTAATTGCTCATGGACGCTTTTGCCAGCATTGGCAGGGCTTCAGTTGGGTTTAAGCAGCCAATATATGGAAACTCTTATCATAGACATCTGAAGTGTGTACATGCATCTGTTAAACAGTCAATGAGCTGAAAAGAATGCACCTTGCTGTGCATAGTCGTTAGCACTAGATCAGGACTTCAAGATTACAAAATGCTCAAAAACAATCATTAGTAGCGTTTTTACATCGATGTTTCTTCTTTGTCTAATATTGTTAATGTTACTAATGTTTTCTTACAACATTTTTCTCTTTCAGTTGGAAAAGTACCCAGCTAATCTGGAAAGCCCCTACCAAAGACATCAAAATGTAAGTGAAAGTACTGCTTTCAGAAAGATGGGATATGTTCCGTTGGATTAGCTTTCAAATGAATTATTTCGTATTATAATATGATTCTCAATGAATTCAGATATTTGCTGTTGTTTTACTCTGTACTCTCTCAGCAGTACAGTCACAGATCTACTCTGAGCATACAAAGTGATTGTTACCCTATTGTTATCCTTTTGTTTACCCTAAAGTCGCACTTCATTTATTCTTATCTTAACCTGTGTGTGGTCTTGCCCAGTTCTTCCCCTCCTATCCCCCAGCGATGCCAGGCATGCAAGCCCTGCACCCCCACTCAGGAGCCCCAGAACCCTTCAGCTCTCTGCAAGGAGCCTTCCAGCCCAAGGTCTATAACACATCACTGACTCCCTCTGTCTGTCTCTCCTTCATTACCCAGTGTTAACCACCCCACACATGCTCTTCCCAATCTAAACATGTGACTTCCCATCTCCCCCTAGTCTAATCCTATGGATGTGGTGACACGGCCAGGAGAAGTCCCTCACAATATCCTACCAAAGGGCCCACGGGTAGGCCTCTGTTCTCTGTACAATAAATCTATCCATCAAAGTATGAATAAAATACTGTAGTGTATGTTCAGATATTAATCCTCTGTTCTTCTTCCGTTCTTGCTCCGTTCACAGATAACTGATCCATTCAGATCATCTGCTAGGGTAAGAATATGCCATTCCCCAGCCTTATGTAAGCTTGTTGACAGAATTCTAGCCCTCAGGTTTAAGACTAATCAAATTATTTTCCTTCTATTTATTCTTGCAGAAGGCTGGCAAATGGTGTGCAATGCATGCACAGATCGCCTGGCAGATTCATCACCACCAACAGAGGATGAAGGTACATAAGATGTGTTCATTTATTTCACTCAATGGAGCGAAGGTTTCAAATATTGATAATCAGTGAAGTTATGCTTTCTGTATCCTCCTCTGTCTCAGCAACTCACCTCTCAATTTCTATTGAGCTTTTTTTTCTTCTCTCTCTCCCTCTGTCCATGTCTCTCCTCCCCATTGTATCTGTCTATCTTTAACAGCACATGCGCTTTGATCCACATAAGCTGAATATGAGTGGGGTGAAGCTGGACTTGTTTAGTCGGCCAGCTGCTCCGGGTCTTCCTCCTGGACTGTCCTATGGCCATGACCTGGCCAGACCTCTCCTGTCCTCCTCAGGTTAGCCAGCCCACTCCATGTCATATTCATTATTGTGGATGTTAAATGAGGATCTACGAGCAGTTATGATGATATTGTACGGTCTGCTTACTGTAGAGATGACACATTTACTCCTTTATGTCAATGTGAGTGTGGTTGATTCGTAGAAAAATAAATTGGCGTGCAACTCAAAAGTCTATAGACTAACAGAAAGTCTTCGGTGCTGGGTGTGAAGAAGGAAAAGGCACATACAGTGCCAGTCAAAAGTTTGGACACCTACTCATTCAAGGGTTTTTCTTTATTTTTACTACTTTCTACATTGTAGAATTTTAGTTATTTTTTATTTTACCTTTATTTAACTAGGCAAGTCAGTTAAGAACAAATTCTTATTTACAATGACGGCCTACACCGGCCAAATCCGGACGACGCTGGGCCAATTGTGCACCGCCCTATAGGACTCCCAATCACGGCCGGTTGTGATACAGCCTGGAATCGAACCAGGGGGTCTGTAGTGACCCCTCAAGCACTGAGATGCAGTGCCTTAGACCGCTGCGCCACTCGGGAATAATAGTGAAGACATCAAAACTATGAAATAACACATATGGAATCATGTAGTAACCAAAAAAGTGTTAAAGAAATCCAAATACATCTTAGATTTTAGATTGTTCAATGTAGCCACCCTTTGCCTTGATGACAGCGCTGCACAATGTTGGAATTCTCTCAACCAGCTTCACCTGGAATGGTTTTCCAACAGTCTTGAAGGAGTTCCCACATATGCTGAGTACTTGTTGGCTGCTTTTCCTTCACTCTGCGGTCCAACTCATCCCAAACCATCTCAATTGGGTTGAGATCGGGTGATTGTGGAGGCCAGGTCATCTGATGCAGCTCTCCATCACTCTCCTTCTTGGTCAAAAAGCCCTTTACACAGCCTGGAGGTGTGTTGGGTCAATGTCCTGTTGAAAAACAAATGATAGTCCCACTAAGCCCAAACCAGATGGGATGGTGTATCGCTGCAGAATGCTGGTTAAGTGTGCCTTGAATTCTAAATAAATCACTGACAGTGTCACCAGCAAAGCACCATCACACCTCCTCCTCCATGCTTCACGGTGGGAACCACACATGCAGAGATCATCCATTCACCTACTCTGCGTCTCACAAAGACATGGCGGTTGGAACCAAAAATCTCACATTTGGACTTACCAAATAGGGCTATCATCTGTATACCACCCCTACCTTGTCACAACACAACTGATTGGCTCAAACCCATTAAGAAGGAAAGAAATTCCACAAATTAACTTTTAACAAGGCACACCTGTTAATTGAAATGCATTCCAGGTGACTACCTCATGAAGCTGGTTGAGAGAATGCCAAGAGTGTGCAAAGCTGTCATAAAGGGTGATTTGTTTAACACTTTTTTGGTTACTACATTATTCCATATGTGTTATTTCATAGTTTTGATGTCTTCACTATTATTCTACAATGTAGAAAATAGTTTTTTTTTTAAATAAAGAAAAACCCTGGAATGAGTAGGTGTCCAAACTTTTGACTGGTACTGTATTAATGTATTTTAGCAGCAGCAGAGGTCAACAAACGGACATGTTTCGGCAACAGCCTTCATCAGTGTGGTTGATTCGCTCACTACTGTCCCTTCACCCCCTACAGGTCATTTGTCTGCATCACCATTCAGCGCCACCACTCATCACGCCCACTATCTACCTGCTAGCCACCTCACTGGTAAGTGCCATAGGCTGCTGGTGCAATGTTGAAATAATGATGTTTAAAGTACAAGACAATTAAGCAATAAGGCACAAGAGGCAGTGCTGTATTATGAATACAGTCACAGGTAAATGGCGTTGTTCGGCCCAACGCGATAGCATCAGCATCCAGGATCCAAACAACCAGTTTTATAACAGACATTAAGACGTGCTCTCCTTGTGATGTTCCTCAGATCCATTTGGTCGAGCCAGTCACTATGGAAACCTTGGACAACTGGCAACTAATGCATTTGGCGGCCTGGGTGCCCCATCTATTGGTAGGTTTTCGCTCTCAAATAATTGCCAACCAAAGGCAACCTACTGTTTCAACTAAATTGGTGAATTGATTGATTTGATTGAAAATACATCAATCCTTCCTCTCTCAGGCCCAGGCAGCATGTTTGGTGGAAGGCAGGGCCATGGGTTGCCAGGTTTTGTCAGCCCCGCTCAGGAAGCCTGGAACCGCCTGCACCAAACGCCCCCCTCCTTCCTCACGCCTCCAGCACTGTCCAGGCCTGCTGATGTGGCCCGCAAGCCCACGGTCCATAGCAGCGAGAGGGAAAGGGAAGCTAAGAAAAGGGATCACTCTGCTACCAAGGAGGAGTCGGAGAGAGACGGGTCAGTGACAGCCTTAGTGTGGAGATGGCATTTCCTATCCATAAAGGCCTTCAAAAGTTGTGATATAATATTTTGAAACAAAATCAAATCACATTTTATTTGTCACATGTGCCGAATACAACAGGTGTAGACCTTACCGTGAAATGCTTACGTACAAGCCCTTAACCAACAATGCAGTTTTAAGAAAAATAAGAGTTAATAAAAATATTTACTAAATAAACTAAATAAAAAAATAAGACCAACAATAAAATAACAATATTGAGGCTATATACAGGGGGTACCGAGTCAATGTGCGGGGGTACAGGTTAGTCGAGGTAATATGTACATGTAGGTAGGGGTAAAGTGACTATGCATAGATAATAGATAATAAACAGCGAGTAGCAGGGGGAGCACCTGATATTCAAAGAATTGCCTATTTTTCAATCCACATAGTCTAGAAATCATATCTACCATCTGTTAACCTCCCCACCTCTGTCCTCTCTATAGGAATGTTCTGGAAAGAAGCCATCAGTCCACCCACACATCCTCAGGCTTTCAGATTAGTAATCTGATTGGCAGCAGCAGCCCAGGGAGGAAGAGGAGCAGCCCAGATCAGGGCCATCAGGCTGAGAGGGAGGGCACCTCTCTTGGGAGAGTCCAGGTGAAGCAGAGCTCCTCTCCAGCGCTGGAGGTGCAGGATAGGGGATCCTCAAACCCTTACACCACAGTGAAGAACCACCAATCCAGCGAGAACACACAAACCCTGAAGGGATCTTTAAACATAAAGCAGGAGCGCAGAGATGAGCCAGAGGTTATGGCCGGGCCACCGGAGATTACCCTCTTACTCTCACCAGGCCACCCTCACTCTCAGGCTCCACAACCCTCATCAAGGCGCAACCACTTCCCCACTGCAGGCATGCTTCAGAGCAGTCATCTACCTCACTCTCTACCCCTCTCCATGAGCCCCGTGCACCCAGTGAGTAGCCTTAGTGCAATGGAGCGAGCCCGTGTCCAGCCCTTCATGGGGGTCAGTCCACTAGCCGCAGGTCGAGACCACCGTGTGTCCCCTCACCTCTCAGGCCCCTGGGACCCACTACGAGACCCCTACAGAGGGCTGTACCTGCAGAGCCAGCAGGTACATATGACCTATGACCCTGAGAGAGGCCACAGACAGCGGGAGCAATACCCCCACCCCACCCCCACTCACAGCAGTACTTACAGGACAGGCACCGGCAGGCAGAGGAGAGGGCCAGGATGCACCAGCTCCAGGGCTCTCCCATGGAGGGCCACCTAGCCCACACACCCACCTTTATGTCCTCTCTGGGTGGGGTGATGTACCCTAGGCTCAGCCCCTCAGCTCCACACAGTGGCCATCAGAACAGGACTCCTCAGACTGCCACTCTCAGTGCCCCACCCCCTCTGGTGCCCACCTCCACCACCACAGCCCCTGGCAGACCTGCCACTCCTCGAAAGACCACACCCACCAGTGCCCCACCCTCTGGGGACCCCACCCCATCCTGCAAACCCAAAGAGGTGGAGGCACAGTAGCATGGAAGTTTCTCAGAAATAAGCGACAAGACTGGGATCCTTTTATGTATACAGTACATACTCAACTTGATGAAATGTCTCGCTTTCTAAAATGAAAAAGCTCTAAGTCAAAATTGTGTATTGTAGATTATATGTTAATAAATCAGAAGTTTAAGTAGTGAGTTTGCATAGAAACTGTTGAATAAGTTGAATAACTGATGTTGGATAATGTTATTTGATAGTAATATATGATGTTTTTTATGTTTGTAAGATTTCTGTGTACAGAAGTAGATTTTATGAATTTGTATATTTTTTATGTTGTGTAATGCATTACATTTTTCTTTATTACACATTTATCAACAGGTAAAACAGAAAATAGATGTTCTCCTCTTGATTGTTCGTTTTAGATGTAACCATGTTTCTTACCTGAAAATGTTATTGACTTTTACCTTCTGTAAATATTCACAAAACCTGTCATTTGTTTCTATAAAGAATGTATATTTAAACAAAAAAAGTAATTACTTGGTCATTCATTCTTATTTCCACTTGCATCAGCAGTGCTCCCTCTTGTGGCAGATTTAGTACACAATGCAGAATGCTGTCCCCTTCTTGGAATTAATAATAATAATATGCCATTTAGCAGACGCTTTTATTTAATTGGCCCAGCGTCGTCCAGGGTATGGGAGGGAATGGCCGGCAGGGATGTAGCTCAGTTGGTAGAGCATGGCGTTTGCAACGGCAGGGTTGTGGGTTCGATTCCCACAGGGGGCCAGTATGAAAAAAATAAAATAATGTATGCACTCACTAACTGTAAGTCACTCTGGATAAGAGTGTCTGCTAAATGACTAAAATTTAAAAATGTATATGATGATGGATGGAGTATGGAAAGCGTGGGTTTCCCCTTTGACATTGTCTTTAATTCAGTACTGTGAACTAAGGACTTAACTTTTCATACCTGTCTGGTTGTCCTCATAAAAAAGTGAATGGATCAGATTTGTGTAGCTTTCAGTAAACTAAAATAGCCTATATGACCATAAAGCTACCTTTTATGAAATCCCCATGTTGCATCAGACAAGCACATACACTACCAGTCAAAAGTCTGGACACACCTACTCATTCAAGGGTTTTTCTTTATTTTTACATTGTAGAATAATAGTGAAGACATCAAAACTATGAAATAACACATGGAATCATGTAGTAACCAAAAAAGTGTTCAACAAATGAGAATATATTTTATATTTGAGATTCCTCAAATAGCAAACCTTTGCCTTGCTGACAGTGTTGCACACGCTTGGCATTCTCTCAACCAGCTTCATGACGTAGTCACCTGGAATGCATTTCAATTAACAGGTGTGCCTTGTTAAAAGTTAATTTGTGGAATTTCTTTCATTCTTAATGTGTTTGAGCCAATCAGTTGTGTTGTGACAAGGTAGGGGGGTATACAGAAGATAGCCCTATTTGGCAAAAGGCCAAGTACATATTATGGCAAGAACAGCTCAAATAAGCAAAAATAAACAACAGTCCATCGTTACTTTAAGACATGAAGGTCAGTCAATACGGAAACTTTCAAGAACTTTGAAAGTTTCTTCAAGTGCAGTCGCAAAAATCATCGAGAGCAGATATGATGAAATTGGCTCTCATGAGGACCACCACAGGAATGGAAGACCCAGAGTTACCTCTGCTGTAGAGGATAGGTTAATTAAAGGTACCAGCCTCAGAAAGTGCAGCCCAAATAATTGCTTCACAGAGTTCAAGTCACAGACACATCTCAACATCAACTGTTCAGAGGGGACTGTGTGAATCAGGCCTTCATGGTCGAATTGCTGCAAAGAAACCACTACTAAAGACACCAATAAGAAGAAGAGACCTGCTTGGGCCAAGAAACACGAGCAATGGACATTAGACCGGTGCAAATGTGTCCTTTGGTCTGGAGTCCACACCGCGTCTCTGCATGTGTAGTTCCCACCGTAAAGCATGGAGAAGGAGGTGTCATGCTGTGGGGGTGCTTTGCTGGTGACACTGTCTGTGATTTATTTAGAATTCAAGGCACACTTAACCAGCATGGCTACCACAGCATTCTGCAGCGATACGCCATCCCATCTGGTTTGGGCTTAGTGGGATTGTCATTTGTTTTTCAACAGGACAATGACCCAACACACCTAATGGAGTGCTGCATCAGATGATCTGGCCTCCACAATCCCCCGACCTCAACCCAATTGAGATGGTTTGGGATGAGTCGGACGGTAGAATGAAGGAAAAGGAGCCAACAAGTGCTAAGCATATTTGGGAACTCCTTCAAGACTATTGGAAAAGCATTCCAGGTGAAGCTGGTTGAGAGAATGCCAATGGTGACTATTTGAAGAATCTAAAATATAACATATTTTGATATGTTTAACACTTTTTTGGTTACTACATGATTCCATGTGTTATTTCATAGTTTTGATGTCTTCACTATTATTCTACAATGTAAAAAAATAGTAAGAATAAAGAAAAACCCTTGAATGAGATGGTGTGTCCAAACCTTTGATTGGTACTGTACAACGGGTGCAGCAAAGAGGAGAGTCTATTTATCAAATTCCATTGTCTGAGGAAAAGACAGCAGCAGGTTCACCTTTATTAGTTTGTTGTGGATATGTTGGCCTCATTTGCTCCAAGCCTTACAGTGTGCCTTTCAACTAATCTATTTTGTGTTTAAAAGTATAAATAGTCATTGAAAGTATATGTACAGTATATGTTGCTGGATGTAACATGTTTATGTATTTTACATTTTCAAATAAAATCTAAGTAAAAAGGGTTAGGGTTAAAAGTAAAATGTTCCTCAATAAAGCAGAAATGATTAGCCTACAAATAAGTATTCACCCCCCTTGGACTTAAAAATAAATAAATAATTCCCCTTGGACCATCAGGGTGGCACGCAGGTAATGTTTATGTAGTAATAATGGCACAGAGTCCGAATTTTGAATAATCTTCAGTCACATCCACATTCATGTTTTATTTTAGAAATTAAAAAAGAGCATTCCATTTCATTCCTGCTAAAGATAAGGAATGCTGATTTAATCTATAATGAATTATGTAATCTTAATTTATCATAATTGTTCTAGTTTTTTTATAGTATAATTTATCATAGCATAGGTTACGTGTCTGTGACTTGTACCCACTGAAGTAGCGCGTACCTCATTATTTTCTTTGGACGTCATCTGCTAAACCGGAAGTTTATGTGCATAACAAAATCTAGCTAGTGGTTTGGTGCCATAGAGATAGATAGAGGACTCATCTGTGTATCTGTGTCATTTAAGCGTCTGTGACAGCATGGGCACTGCCATTGAGGCTATCTCCATTTTGAAGTAGTCCATGTTCTTCTTCACGATTGGCTGACTCCTCCTGATGACCCGGTTGGACATGACTCCAACAGGGTCACCAGGAGGGATTAGCCAATGAAGTTGGCGTTGCCCATGCTAATATAGCCTTTTGGCCACTAGAGGCCTCTGTCATTCTCTATGTTTGGTGCCAACTTTGTTCTTCAAGGCTGACTGACCAAGGGTTCTATGGTAAAAAGAAATACATATGTTATCTAGCTAGGAACTAATCCAGTCGACAATGTAGCTAATGTTATAGTGCACATACGACTAGATATGTGACGTTATATCGACAGGACGGAGGCATATAGCAAGCTAGCGGAATGCATGCCAACCTGTAACAACCGTTCCTAGCAAGTTAGCGTTTATGGCTACAGTCAGTAGCATTCATATGAAGTCAGTTAGCTAGCCAGACCAGAGTTAGAAATTTACATCCAAATAACTAGATAACTATTAAGTAGCTACTACAGCTAGTTAGGATACGTAAATTAACGATATTATAGCTAGTAAGAAAGGATTTAACTCCAGGTTCGACATATTTAAAGAATTTTTTTCCAGAAAATGTCCACAATATATCTGGCACTAATAGTGGAATGATAGTGTTTCACAGTATTACCAAAGTTGTGGTAGTAGCTACTTACCCGCCAGCAGTGTTGTGATTGGCTGTGATATTCGACTATTGATTTCTCGCGCCAGAGCGGCATTTGTTGTCAAAAGGAGAAGGCTGTTCCGACTTTGTGACAGTGTTCTCTAGTGTAAATCTCTCTGTCATTTCCTGGTTAATAAAATTCTACACTGTCATTCATCCCTGTGGAACGCTTTCGACACCTTGTAGTGTATGCCCCGACGAATTGAAGCTGTTCTGAGGGAAAAAAGGGGTGCAACTCAATGTTAGGAAGGCGCTCCTAATGTTTTGTACACTGAGTGTATGTTAAACCTGGAGTTAAGTCCCTTAGCTAGTTAGTATAAGTATTGTTTTCTATGATTAGCTTGCTAATGAACTTTTGATGACTAACGTTAGCTAGTACAGACTTGTCACATTGACCCCATTCTGAGAACCCAGAATAGCTAACTATTTAGCTAGTTTAAGAACAGGTTTTGTTCTGTGTACTTTTCTGCTAGCTATAAACAATGATATAAACAACAAACCAGCTAGATAGTTATTATGCAATTTATTTGGGTTGCCTGATTGATAACATCTGTGAATACCATTGCATTGTCATGACTTCCATTTGGACTGTTTGGATCCACAGGAAGAGATGTCAGGAGTAAGTGCGGTGAGCTCGGCGTTGCCAGCGTCTACAACCCGTACCACCTCCTTCAAGGGCTCCTGCCCCAGCTCGAAGTATGTGAAGCTGAATGTGGGCGGGGCGCTCTACTACACCACCATGCAGACCCTCACCAAGCAGGACACCATGCTCAAGGCCATGTTCAGTGGCAGGATGGAGGTCCTCACAGACAGCGAAGGCAAAGATATTTATAACTAAACCAAGATAGTTCATCTGTGTCGTTTTGGGCACAGCCAAGCACGAGTTAGCGAGATCCTAGTGGCGCATTCTAGCATGTGTTTGCATATTTCCATTAGGGAACACCTTCTCTGTGAAGTGCGCATGTGCAATAACTCAATTTGTCCTTGCACTTCTTGTTAACAACGCAATTTGAAAATGTAAGCTTTGGCAAAGGGGCCACATCTACAAAACGTAGTTCACTCTGTTCGTAACAGATTCTAGTTTTGGGAACTGAAAACTGTATTGAGATCGGGCTTTTCTTAGATGAGAAAATCAGCAGAATGTCGGCCCAGTTCCATCTCGCTCCATACTCTCCCACCGCCGGCCACTGGGCTTCCTCTCCTCACCATATTTGATGGGGAGTGGAAATTTCAACGGGATGTTTCAGATTTATACAGCTCCTTGTTCTATCTGTGGAGAAGGCATTGATGATGACATGGGTTGACTGCAGCCAGGGTTTCCCAAACCTTTTGTCCACTGCAAAGTCTTGAGTCCTGTAAAGTCCATGCTCCATGCTCCCCTTGCATGCCTCCCATCTGATAGCTCCCCTTGCATGCCTCCCATCTGATATGGCTCTAAATGAAGATACACACACAGTCTACTATCTCCACTGTGTTGTCTCTGCCACTTCTCAATGTAATGAATCCTGACCTCTCCTGCAGGTTGGATCCTTATTGACAGGTGTGGAAAGCACTTTGGGACCATTCTGAACTACCTGCGTGATGGTTCTGTACCTCTGCCTGAAATCCGGAGAGAGGTGGAAGAGCTCCTGGCAGAGGCCAAGTACTACCTGGTGCAGGGGCTAGCTGACGAGTGCCACGCTGCCTTGGAGGTATTGTGTCAGTGGAGGCTGGTGAGAAGAGCTATAGGAGGACAGGCTCATTATAATGGCTGGAATGGAATAAATGGACGGTATCAAACATATGGAAACCACATGTTTGACTCCATTCCATTGATTCCATTCCAGCCATTACAATGAGCCTGTCCTCCTATAGCTCCTCCCACCAACCTCCACTGTATTGTGTATTACCTTAACACACTGTAAACACTTACCTGTAATCAATCTCTATCTTGGTGTCTCTCTTTCTCTGCATGCTGGTATGGCCACTGTACTCATTGAATTATTTGGGTCCTGTTTCCTCCATGCTTTCAGAACAAAGATATGTATGAGCCCTTCTGTAAAGTGCCCTTGGTCACATCCTCAAAGGAAGAACAGAGACTCATCTCTACCTCCAAGGTAAAAAATAATATTTCACAATTGACATGTGACATACATGTTTCTCAACCCTGACTACCTCTGTTCTTTTTTTATTTTGGATTACAGCCCACAGTCAAGCTGTTATACAACAGGAGCAACAACAAGTACTCTTACACCAGGTAGGCTAAACATTACATATGATTGTGGTAAAATACTTATAATGAGCTTATACTGTATTTCTTACATGTATGTGTGAATTGGATTGTATCATGGATAGACTGATGTACATAGCGATTTGAACAGATTGACAACTAGACATAAACATCTGGTGTCATTACCTTTTCACAGCAACTCAGATGACAACATGTTGAAGAACATTGAGCTGTTTGACAAGCTCTCTCTGCGGTTCAACGGCCGTGTGCTCTTCATCAAGGATGTGATTGGGGATGAGATCTGCTGCTGGTCATTCTATGGGCAGGGCCGTAAGATCGCTGAGGTGTGCTGCACCTCCATAGTCTATGCCACAGAGAAGAAGCAAACCAAGGTATGCAGTTTCCCACAGCACGACCACAGAAAAGGAAGATATTAATGTTTCTTGCTTTGACCAAATCATAGACTAGCCTGGTTGTCAGTGAGTAGTCTTGTCTTTGTACCTAGAGCAGTGGTCTAAACAGTATTCTCTTTCCTCAGGTGGAGTTCCCAGAGGCTCGTATCTATGAGGAGACGCTTAACATCCTGCTGTATGAGTCTCAGGACGGGCGTGGTCCAGACAACGCTCTACTGGAGGCTACAGGGGGCGCTGCAGGCCGATCCCACCATCTGGACGAGGACGAGGAACGGGAACGCATCGAGAGAGTACGCCGCATCCACATCAAACGCCCTGATGACCGCACCCACCACCACCAGTAACTATAACAGCCAACCAACATTATCAGTCTCCGCAGTCCTCGCCAGTGACCATTACCCATCACTGAGATCACACTACCGGTATACCCACAGGTAATCTTACATCCTTGACATTGACCACAAGCGACTTCTGTGCTTCTGCACCACAGCCACTTACGAACTGTTGCTAGTCTCCTATCATTATAAGTAGAACATGATTTGGGTGTTGGAGTTAATGTGCTGTCCCAAATGGCCGTATCAGTGTTTTCTAAACCCTCCATAAGAGCTCATCTATTTATCAGTGGTCAAAATTTATTTTACCTCCTTTATTTCCAAATGTTTTGTCTTTATATGTAGACATGTTACTTGTGCCCAGTAGAGATCTTGTGCCTTAAGTCTGTGGGTGTAAGTGCTGCTTACAATCTGATTTACTTTATCATGTCACTACAACATTGCTTTGAGGTTCAGGTATGTGTCGCAGTATAGCCAGTTCAGGTCAATTGCATTTAAAGGATTATATACATTATGTACAATGTGGAACAATACCTTTTCCTACCACAGCAGTTTTAGATAAAACATGTATTAAAATATATATTCATTAGTTTGAATAAGTGATATGTAAACTGTATAACAGCATTTTATCATGTGTTTAGAAATTGGGTGCTTCTATTTTCTGTATGTACTCATTTCGTCCATCAGAGGGTGGTATGTACAAAGACACTGAAAGGTGTGATAAATTAGGTTGAAGTTATGCCTAGATGGTGATCTTGGGTCAGCTTTGTATTTCTCCCACTAATGATTAAGGATTGTTGGAGGGGAAGCTGATCCTAGATCTTTACCTAGGGGAACTTAACCCTGAAGTAATACGTTACAACCCACCTCTGAATTGTAAGTGGTGTGAATAAAGCCACCTTTTATACTGTAGTCATGGATTAATGATCTTTTGGCATCCCAAATAACCTTTTGAGATGCTGGATCATGTATGAAATCTGGTTTTCTTCTGTGTGATCAAATTGATGTCATTGCTGCCTGTTACAAGAATTCTTGGAGGGTGACGTGGTTACAAGATGAAGCTTGTTTGGAAGATAGATCACAGCTGAAAAGACAAAGCACCTCCAGACATTGTAAAGAATGTCACCATTTTACGCAATCATTTCACATGTACAAGTGTCTTTTGCACTGTATTTAACACATATTTTTCTTACAATAATAAAGATGTTTATAAATACTTATAGTTGGTTTTAATGTAAATATGGTACAGCATCTTCGTGAGAAAGTATAAAAGTATGACACGTATGGCTTCACAATCACAAAATGTTTGAATGATTTAACCATGTTGTTTATATCTCTATAAAATGGGACATAATATAATAATAATATGCCATTTAGCAGACGCTTTTATCCAAAGCGACTTATAATCATGCGTGCATACATTTCAACGTATGAAAATATACCAAAAGCAAAACCATATTTTACAAATGAGCCCTATTATAATGACAGCTTTGCTTGATAAGTCACAACTGAGCCTATGCATTTGATGTATAGCTTAATAACTGGTGACATTTTCAGAGTAGAACATCAGTAGTCGTTCTTTTGGGGTTTTCTCCACAGGATGAACCATTTGTTGAGATTTCTGTTCATTTCATTATGTCCAACCCTTATTGAGAGGATGCAGGTTCTCATTCATGATGTAAGTCCCAAGATGCCTAAAACCTTGTAGAATCTGATTATTGGCCCAGTCCATTACTTTGATGAGTGTAAGGGGATCCAGTTCAATTTATCATTGACCGGGACTTTGTTCGAGTTGATTCCTGAGTAAATATAAGAGAAGTGTTTATATGTCCTAGCCTACTGTTTATCAATAGTTTAGAAAATGTATTTGTTCATTTGAGAATTAAATGGCCACACAGTCTTTAGTTTCATACTCACCACCATCAGATGGCCATTCTTTGCTCTGTAAATCATGGTCTCCTGGCCACTCTTGAAGTCAACAAACCCCTCTCTGCCCGGCTGGATGTCAAACTTTACACTGCAAATGACCACAGACATAATATATAACATTACGTTAATACCTTTGGCGACAGTTGGTATTTTTTTTAAAGACAAGTAACGAGTTGAACATAGGTCTTACCTGCCCTGGACTACTTTGATAAAATTGTGCTTGTTGGCCACCAGACACAACTTGGTCAAGGCCTCAAACAGGTAGTCACACTGCAGCACCAGGTCCCCCTGAGCAAATAGAAAATGCAACAATGGAAATGCACATGTTCTACTATTCTAGTTCTATCCATTCAGAAAAGAACCGGTGCAAAGCTTAATCATAAAAAAAACATTTGTGCACATCAATGAAAAGCTTTTTGAGCAGCCAACCTTTTGCTTGATATCCTCACATTGGACATGGAGGATCAGGAAGTTGTCACTCAGGTTGCTGACTGACACACCTGGAAGAACACCACCCAGATAATTAGAACAGTGGTTGAATTAACACAGTATACACACACAGACTATTCCATTGAAAGAGAAAAAACTTGACACATGCACACACATCTAGTCAGCTTTAATCCACACTCAGTGGTGCTAACCTTTGAGGTTGTTGAACTCGACCCGCTGTTTGATCTTGGCCTCCTCCACCAGGTAGGCTGCAGTTCCAGTGTAGATCAGCTGTCTGAAACGAGGCCTGAAGCCATTCCTGTCGTACTTCACCACAGGAACACTGTACTGTGGGAAGGTATGGAGCATACTTTAATTTGAACATTCAAGTTTATTTGAACTTTTACATAACTTATTTAGCTCTGTGTGTTTACCTTGATGCGTTCTTGCCTAATCATCTGGTAGACTTTAATGTGGATGTCTTCCTCACCTGACCAGATAACAATGCAACTGGTCAAATGACATAAATGCTGGTCATTATTATAAGAGGCACACAATTGGGCACATCATGCCTTACTTATCCTGGTGTCCATGAATGGTATGCCCACACTGTGAGGGTAGTTCTCTTTTCTTCCTTTGAATAAGGAACTGGTCATTCCTTTGATATGCAACTGTAAATGGGGTAAGCAAACACAATAGAGATATATAGAGGGATCAGTGAGGCCCTATAGTCAAATACAGTACACATATGCATTAAAGCACCCTGGCTTGTAGGGTAGGCCTACCTGTGCTTTCCTCTCTGTCATGATTCCGTGTACGTACTTCCGTACCATGTGCCTGGTGTAGAGTTTCCTCAACATCTGTGAGGCCTACAAGTACAAATGTATGTAATGAGTATACTCATTATACCATGACACACAGGTGTGCAGAACGAGGTTAGTATTCAAATACAGTCAATTCCCTATTGAGACTCACCTCCTGCATAATGGGAGGAGGGGTTAGCCAGGTGTTCTTGTCCAGGACTGTTTTGGGTAGATTCTCCTTGAGCCGTGTGAGGTAGTTTTGCCTGACAAACGCCAGGTACTCTGTGTTGTCAACACAGGCTGGCTGATTTCTAGTCATGAAGCCCTTGATGAACCTACAAAATATAAGTACAAGATATTTGATTGGTGAGTTTTACGTCATTTCATTCTGTGTGGTAGATGTTGGACCTTTGTCTTTGGAAGTCTCTTCAGATTTTTGTCTCTTACCTCTTAATGACCTTGACAGCCCAGGCTCTCTTCTCCCTCTCTCTCCTGGCCTTCATGCCTCTCCAGCATGTCTCAATCTTTGTAGCTAACAAGACAACACAAGCTGATAAAGTTATCATAGACTTATGTATCATATTTGTTATACTAGTTCCAAGGAAGTCAAAGTAGAGGCCTGTTGTGTCTCGTTCAGCAGTTACCTGCTTGCCTCTGTCTCATGTAGTCTCCCTTCACTCTGTAGCCTTTGTACTTTGCCTGGATCCTTGTAGCTTTAAGATAAAGAGGCATTCATAAAACCTGACTTCAGAGGCAAATAGGTTCAATTTCTAACATCTTTGAAATAATCCAACGCCATTTAACAATCCAATTCCATAATTTTTGTAGTGATCTGTTGTTTGAAAGGCTTAAGCTAGAGCCAGGACCCACCCAGCTCATGCTTGCAGACCTCAAAGGCGTCTTCGGTGGCAAACAGAGTCCTGGGATGCCGGATAAAGATCTTGGTCCTTTTTTTGTGTCATGAAAGACAAGCCAGTGAGAAACAGCCAGACTGTGTATTACCAGGTGAACCCAACCCTACAATCCTGGAGAGCACCTCACCTTCCCATCTTGTACTCATCAGGCTTGTAGCCCAGGTGCTTGATCAGGCACTCCACCCCCTCTGCGGCTGTACCTTTCCAGTTAGGCCAGGTGTCTGGACACAGGGGCTTGTACCTGACAGGGACAACAGGAAACACCTGTGTTAAATAATATTGTTTAGAGAGCACCAGATCAACATACTGTAATGCAGCCATGTATCAGAGCAGTTTGTGCTGGACAGAGCAACTGCACATGATCTACAGAACTGTGAAGTGCAGGTTGTGTTGACCTCTGCAGGAAGATCTCATATCTCCGGCGGTAAGCAAAGCCGGCCCGTCTGACCCTCAGGTGCTCCATCAGCCCCAGGTACTTCACCTGGTGTCTCACCAACACATCGTCAAAGCGCCCTGCACGAGGCGAGAGAGAGGTCACAAGGCTACAGGCATCAGGTCATGCACTATGAATGAATGCACCAAGTAACACGTTGTAGGGCATGCATTGGTCAAGTCCATTAGGGAAGGTTCCGTTTGGTGTAATGGCTGTACTGAGTATGTAGGTGTGTAGGGCTTAGGCAAATAGACTACCGTACTGTATGTGTGGGTGGTAGTTAAGGTTTATAGATGAGGCCTCACCTGGCTGCTTGCCTTCATTAGGCTTCATACAGCGGACGTACCAGGGCTCTTTAGACATGAGGATCTCAGTCAGGCCTACCAGACTGCTCTTAAACTGAGTGGCCACCTGAGGAGACAGGGGATTAACATGCAAGCTTATGGGAAGATCAGATCACCATACACACATAACAGTAAAGGATGGGTTTGTTTCTAATTCACTTTGGTGGATCATTTGTCATCAGAAAGTCTCTTTACTGTTTCAGGTCTCTTCTTGCTGTCCGGCTCAGTGGTGGGAAAGCAGTGTTTAACAATGGCATTCTTAGACTGGCGCATAACCTGAAGGTGGAAAATCTCTCAGTTAAATCTCTCAGGATGAAAGATAAAGAACTGGTTTCTTTTCAAAACCAAGAGGCAGTAGAACAAACACTCCCATTGTCCTCCCTCTTAAAAGTCCTGTCAGTCTATCCCAAAGCAATGCTTAACAATCAGCTCCTCTATAATTCACAGGTGTGCTTAACAATGAATAATACAGCAGTTGGCAGGATGTAGATTCCGGACCACAGCAGTGCCAGTGAGAGCCCTGGGCATACTTACCTCTTTAATGTTCCTGTACAGGAGATCATTATTTTTGTCCAGGAATCCTGGAAAACAGAGAGGTATGGTTGAGAGTAAACTGAAAAAGACTGCCAACACTTTATGTCAGTGAGACAGAAAGTGATGAGAACTGGGGGCGACTCTTGAGACATATTTGGCTTACTGAAACAATATCAAAGAGACACATTAGAGAGACAAATATGGAGAGCAGTATACAGAAACTGTGTGAGAGGAAGGGTATATTACGTTGTGGAACTCATTTCTCACCGACCACACAGTATGTGACTTCCCCTGCGTAGTGTAAGAGGCGGAAGTCTCCTCGTTCCAGAGTCTTCCGGGTCTTCTGGTCAGCCAGCTTGTGTCTGCAGGATGTGGACAGAGAGAAGAGGATGTTCTAGTCAGGTGTTACAGAGGCAGACCGTGACCCCTCCATCCTCATCTGTCAGCTGGGGAGCTCAGCTTTATCCAATAGGTCTTGTTTGAAATGTATTACTGTGCTACAGTATCCAAACACTGCCTCACTCACGTGACGAAATGGGGGTGACCTCCCATCTTCTCCTCCAGCTTCTCCAGGAAGGTCATGTCTGTGGCCTCTCCCGGACGTAGACACTCCTCGTCCTAGTGGAAATGAAACTGAACATAAGCGCTAAACCAATCCAAAGATATCGTGTCTGACTACATTTCAATCTGACTGTCAGTAAATCAGTCAACCAGTCAGTCTACAGTATCTACATACTAGCACTGAAATGATGCCTTTGAATTTCTCCTCCACCAGGTCACAGATGATCTTGTTGTTGAAGTATGGCACTGGCTCCCACTGAAAAACAACAATACAAAACGTGAAGCTGTGTAGCCCATTACATCAGATTTGTAGCCCAGTCCAAACCAGATTTGAGTAGAGGAGGAGCATTTACGTCAATCCCCTCCATCTCGTACTCCTCCTGCTCTGACTTCAGGGTGAGCTGGATGAAGAGCTGCTGCAGTTTCTCGTTACAGTAGTTGATGCAGAACTGCTCAAAGCTGAAATATATAGAGACAAGTCATTAGGCTCATCATTTCAGACACTCAAAAATGTCACTGTCAAATCAAATTATATCACATGCGCCGAATACAACAGGTGTTGACCAACTGCGTCTCCCCTCACCTGTTCATTTTGAACACCTCAAACCCATAGATGTCAAGCAGACCAATCACTGTCTTCCTGGAGGAATCCTACATGGACGCACAATATCAGTCAGCCTCCTATATTACTGTCTTCCTACTTACTGTATATCCTATACTTGTTAGCAGTGTCATGATTGGTTAGATGTCGTTTTGGACCAGGACATCATCACTCTTATTGGTGGAACACTGAAAAAGGTCACTCACCTTGTTTGCTAAAGACTCATTGAGCTTGTTAACCAGCCAGGTGAAGGTGCGGCCATAGATGGCTTTGGCTAGAGCGTCCCTGGCGTATACTGCATGGTCAACGGTGAAGGGACTGAGCAACTGACCAGCACAACAGACAAACCACAGAGATTGGCTTTCAAGAGACAGGTTGCACATTTACTGTGATGGTATGAAGTTCTATGAATGAGCCCAAAAATCTTCCTCACCTCTTCTGACCTGGCCTCAATCTTCCTGTGGGTCAAACCCACCTGTATCACCTGTGCAGGAATGCCCAGCAACTACACAGCAGAGAAACAACCAATCACACATCACCAAATACTCTAATTGAAAAGGGATTTAACTTAATCTGAAAAGTTGCCATAATGTCTGAAAAGGGAGAGTACTTAGGTCGTTTTCTGTGATTTGTATACTGCTAAATAGAGTGACTGTCCATTAGTTTGTAGTTTGCTGTCAGAAGTGTCTCACCTTGGACAGCCAATGTATCTCTGGACTGTTGTTGAGAGTGGCGTATCCCTGTGAGTCAGCCACAAACTTAACATTTCCCAGGTGAAGTACGCTAGCAATGATTGCAAACAGGCTCTACATTATGGGCAAGAGAAGACACCGGTCATAAGTGATACATTTTTCTTATGATAAGTGATATGATCTGTTCACTTTTCAGTCTCTGATGGTAGTGTAGAGAGATTAGGACTCACCTCTATATTGCTCTCACTGAACTCTATGACACTGAGGGCTTTCCGTACCATCTTCCAGTCACTCTTGTCGTTGATTGAGCTGACTTTGGCACATTCCCCCTGGGTGAGACAGGAGATAATATCCAGATGATAATGGCCCACTCCATGGAATCACTGATTCTTTGCCTCTTTAATACATACTCATACTGTTCAATTGTAAAGGTCCTGTACCAGGTAACTGTAGCGTTGATAGGTTACCTCTCCCAACTGTACCAGGTAACTGTAGCGTTGATAGGTTACCTCTCCCAACTGTACCAGGTAACTGTAGCGTTGATAGGTTACCTCTCCCAACTGTACCAGGTAACTACAGCGTTGATAGGTTACCTCTCCCAACTGTACCAGGTAACTACAGCATTGATAGGTTACCTCTCCCAACTGTACCAGGTAACTGTAGCGTTGATAGGTTACCTCTCCCAACTGTACCAGGTAACTGTAGCGTTGATAGGTTACCTCTCCCAACTGTACCAGGTAACTGTAGCGTTGATAGGTTACCTCTCCCAACTGTACCAGGTAACTGTAGCGTTGATAGGTTACCTCTCCCAACTGTACCAGGTAACTACAGCATTGATAGGTTACCTCTCCCACCTGTACCAGGTAACTGTAGTGTTGATAGGTTACCTCTCCCAACTGTACCAGGTAACTACAGCATTGATAGGTTACCTCTCCCACCTGTACCAGGTAGCTATAGTGTTGATAGGTTACCTCTCCCACCTGTACCAGGTAACTGTAGTGTTGATAGGTTACCTCTCCCACCTGTACCAGGTAGCTATAGTGTTGATAGGTTACCTCTCCCACCTGTACCAGGTAACTGTAGTGCTGATAGGTTACCTCTCCCACCTGTACCAGGTAACTGTAGTGCTGATAGGTTACCTCTCCCACCTGTACCAGGTAACTGTAGTGTTGATAGGTTACCTCTCCCAACTGTACCAGGTAACTACAGCATTGATAGGTTACCTCTCCCACCTGTACCAGGTAACTGTAGTGTTGATAGGTTACCTCTCCCAACTGTACCAGGTAACTACAGCATTGATAGGTTACCTCTCCCACCTGTACCAGGTACAGTGGGGAAAAAAAGTATTTAGTCAGCCACCAATTGTGCAAGTTCTCCCACTTAAAAAGATGAGAGAGGCCTGTAATTTTCATCATATGTACACGTCAACTATGACAGACAAAATGAGAAAAACAATTCCAGAAAATCACATTGTAGGATTTTTAATGAATTTATTTGCAAATTATGGTGGAAAATAAGTATTTGGTCACCTACAAACAAGCAAGATTTCTGGCTCTCACAGACCTGTAACTTCTTCTTTAAGAGGCTCCTCTGTCCTCCACTCGTTACCTGTATTAATGGCACCTGTTTGAACTTGTTATCAGTATAAAAGACACCTGGTCACAACCTCAAACAGTCACACTCCAAACTCCACTATGGCCAAGACCAAAGAGCTGTCAAAGGACACCAGAAACAAAATTGTAGACCTGCACCAGGCTGGGAAGACTGAATCTACAATAGGTAAGCAGCTTGGTTTGAAGAAATCAACTATGGGAGCAATTATTAGGAAATGGAAGACATACAAGACCACTGATAATGTCCCTCGATCTGGGGCTCCACGCAAGATCTCACCCCGTGGGGTCAAAATGATCACAAGAATGGTGAGCAAAAATCCCAAAACCACACGGGGGGACCTAGTGAATGACCTGCAGAGAGCTGGGACCAAAGTAACAAAGCCTACCATCAGTAACACACTACGCCGCCAGGGACTCAAATCCTGCAGTGTCAGACGGGTCCCCCTGCTTAAGCCAGTACATGTCCAGGCCCGTCTGAAGTTTGCTAGAGTGCATTTGGATGATCCAGAAGAGGATTGGGAGAATGTCATATGGTCAGATGAAACCAAAATATAACTTTTTGGTAAAAACTCAACTCGTCGTGTTTGGAGGACAAAGAATGCTGAGTTGCATCCAAAGAACACCATACCTACTGTGAAGCATGGGGGTGGAAACATCATGCTTTGGGGCTGTTTTTCTGCAAAGGGACCAGGACGACTGATCCGTGTAAAGGAAAGAATGAATGGGGCCATGTATCGTGAGATTTTTTAGTGAAAACCTCCTTCCATCAGCAAGGGCATTGAAGATGAAACGTGGCTGGGTCTTTCAGTATGACAATGATCCCAAACACACCGTCCGGGCATCGAAGGAGTGGCTTCGTAAGAAGCATTTCAAGGTCCTGGAGTGGCCTAGCCAGTCTCCAGATCTCAACTCCATAGAAAATATTTGGAGGGAGTTGAAAGTCCATGTTGCCCAGCGACAGCCCCAAAACATCACTGCTCTAGAGAAGATCTGCATGGAGGAATGGGCCAAAATACCAGCAACAGTGTGTGAAGACCTTGTGAAGACTTACAGAAATCATTTGACCTGTGTCATTGCCAACAAAGGGTATATAACAAAGTATTGAGAAACTTTTGTTATTGACCAAATACTTATTTTCCACCATAATTTGCAAATAAATTCATAAAAAATCCTACAATGTGATTTTCTGGATTTTTTTTTCTCATTTTGTCTGTCATAGTTGACGTGTACCTATGATGAAAATTACAGGCCTCTCTCATCTTTTTAAGTGGGAGAACTTGCACAATTGGTGGCTGACTAAATACTTTTTTTCCCCACTGTAGCTATAGTGTTGATAGGTTACCTCTCCCACCTGTACCAGGTAACTGTAGTGTTGATAGGTTACCTCTCCCACCTGTACCAGGTAGCTATAGTGTTGATAGGTTACCTCTCCCACCTGTACCAGGTAACTGTAGTGCTGATAGGTTACCTCTCCCACCTGTACCAGGTAGCTATAGTGTTGACAGTTCCTCTCCAGACCCAGCCAGCGTAGCATGTCCTCCTCTCCTCCCTCCACTAGCTGGTAGAAGATGTGGAAGTTTCTCTCTCCATGGTTCTGATGTACCACCCGGGACTTCTCCAGTAGATAACTGAGGATGTGGCCACCAACAGCTCCCCCCTAGATCATTAAATATCTAACAGTGATTGACGTACTGATGTTTGATATTCCTCTGATGTTTTACTATGGGAATGCTGTGCTCAACGTCTTGACACTTACCATGTGATCAAACTGAATATCCATGTACTTCCCAAAGCGGCTTGAGTTGTCATTCTTCAGGGTTTTGGCATTTCCGAAAGCCTTAGAGAGGTACAGACTGTATTATCAGTCATTGTATTTGTAAATGGCAGTGTGCAAACAATGTTAATTTCTCATGTCGTGTTTGCTCTACTATGCTATTCACCTCGAGCACAGGGTTGGAGAGCAGCAGTCGGTCTCGGACGTTGTCCAGCAGTTTGGTACTGGGGCAGCTGACAGCGTAGAACTGCAGGATCTTCTTGGAGGCCTCCGTCTTCCCTGCTCCACTCTCCCCTGAGATCAAGATGAAGTGGTTGTTGGTCTCTGTTAACATGGTGCGGTAGACATTGTCTGCCAGGGCGTAGCTGAAAGGGAGGGCAATTGAACAGGTTCAATAACACTGCTGATGGATATAGATAGATTGGCAGCACTCTATTTCATATCTTGTGACGCACACATACAAGCACACACACGTTATACACGTACACAAATGCAACTTACACGTGGGGTGGAAGCTCAAAGAAGTTGACGCCCATGTAAATATCCATCTGCTTCTTGGTGTAGATTCCCAGCTCTTTGTAGGGGTTGACTGACACTAAGAGCGTACCAATGTAGGTCTGTGGGAAATGTATTAGAATTGGATGAGAGATGGATGCCTCACTGCATGGGTGCAACGAGAATGTGCTGTGCTTGTTATCTACAGTGTGAGTAATTATCAGACATGGCCTTACAGAAAGTAAGGTAGCTCACCCTGTGGCTGTACTTACAGCACAGTAGCTGCTGTTTCAGCAGAACAAAGTGCCAGTTCAATTAGGGGAGAAACACTGTGTTCTCCCTGGCGTCTTGAGGTAGGGTGGCTTTTTGGCTGAAAGGAAGGCTATGTGATAGCTCCGGACTGTGTAGGGGATAGACTCACGTAAATGAGGTTCTCGTTGAAGCGTTTCCTCAAGTTGTCCAGGACGGCACTCTCACTGGTGTAGGCGTCCAGCAAAACAAAATCCTGGATGCCCACGCGATCCCGGGCTGTAAGGGTACCCTCCATGTCCCGGAGGATCCGGTTACAGCGCTCCTCCAGGCTCTGACCAATCAGAGACAGGGTCCAGGATGGTTACATTGATATCTTATAGCTGTGCAAATGCCCCAGAAGCACAACACAACAACACTGTCACAAATCTCATCAAGACATGACAGCTGTAAACGTTTATTTACGACAAACCAGATTAGATGTTCCACATCTTCCAGCATAACTTATCTGCTGTATTATTTTCAGATATACACAACATGTTTACAATCGCGTGTTTTTCATATTAGTGGTGTTTTAACAGCAATAACTCAAGGAACCTTTCACTGCCTAATGTCCTGTTCCTCTGTGTCCTGTTTCCTTGTAGTTATCTGCATCTGTCAGGTCTGATGCCGTGCCATGCAGTGCTCACTGACACACACACTCTCACACACACACAGACAATCTAGCCCTAAACCAGTTAATTTACTCTCAATCTGCCCTCATCTCTGGCCCTCCATTCACTTCCACTCAGAGTGTGTGGTGGCCTTGACCACATCCTCTCAGCACAGATAGGAGGTCAGTTTAGGGATCCCTATCTAATCTACTTCCATGTTCCTCAAGGAGCAATCAGTCTCTTGTCACTGATACACACGTCCCCCTCCCCACACATCTATAGGGCAGACTCCACCCTGTCATTTACCCCAACAGCAGGGTCAAAAGACCAACTCTAAAGATGTTGCACTGAAATCAACTCCTAGAAAATGCAAATAATGCTATCCCAATGATAGTGTACAATGCTATTGTGCTTCCATAATGTATATACTGAACAGAAGGCACAGTGTACCGACATGGAATAAAATTGTTGCTGAAGTTTTGTATCCCAAACAAATGAGCTCTTGGACAACAATATGCATCAGGTAACATTATCAGTCAGATCTGTGCTCCTTAATTACAGTGCTATGAAAGTACCATCCATAATATTTGAATGCTCCACCGGTTTGGCTCACAACAGTGCCAAGTTAACCTGGTCCCAAGGTCCCATGGTATCGTAATTGATATCCACAACAATCCACCCTCAGGGTGACTGCAATTTTGAAATGTACAACTTAAACACTGCCATACACAAAATGTATCTTAATATATATTTTTCTTTACAAAGATTTTAAAAGTAGCTAAGTCCCTACCTTGAGTGAAAGAAAGTCCTCTGTCTCAGACTGCTGTGAGCTTCAATCCCTTTTTATACTGAACATCTGGGTTTATTTAGGGAAAGGACAGTATGGCAGGAAACAATGACATATTGCCCCCTCCATTTCCACCAATAGGAAGCCATCAATAATGTAAAAAGTGAGCGAGAAAGGAAGCAGAAGTGATAGTAAGTGTGTACGTGCATGTGTATGTGGAGTCACGTGTATAACTTTATTACTTACTAAGTCTTAAATAAAACTGTCAGCTTACTTTATGACATAAAGGTGAGAAAGACAGCTCCATGTATAGTGATGACTGGACTGTTCTAAGGCTGCTCTCTCCAAATCCCTTTACACCAAATTACCCCGTTGTCCTGCTTAGCAAAGCACTGGATGTCAATCTCCCTCTGGACTCTTATTTATAGGGGAAACAGGGCTATTTTCAGCCCCACTTACAGGAAAGCAACACTACCAGTCCCAGTTACCAGGTGGAAGATGGGCCAAGGGCACCAACACACAAGGCGATTCATCACTTTTTAAATTGTTTTCATCGTGGTTTCCTGATGGCCATTTCCCTAGGGAAGGCCATCTCAGTCTCTGGACTGGAACCCCATTGAAAACCTGTGGTTTGAATTGAAAAGGGCAGTCCATAAGCGCAGACGAAGGATATTAAGGATTTGGAAAGATTTTGTATGAAGGAATGGTCTAAGATCCCTCCCAATGTGTTCTCCAATCTCATAATTTTTTTTAGAAAAAGGCTCTGTGCCATTATCCTCGCAAGGGGAGGGTGCTGGAGTCTTGAAAACAGGGGTGCCAATAATTTTGACCCCTATCCTTTTTGAGATAAAAAAATATTCCTTGTTAAACACAATCTCTTTCTCTGAGCAATTGTATTACTATAAAATAATATCGTTTTCATTTTTTTTTTGCATACAATATAGCTTAGTATTTGTATGATTTCTTTTATACTGTTTTTTTTGCTCATCTTTATCAAGAGTGCCAATCATTTCGGAGGTGACTGTACGTCATGCGTGTCTTCTAAGCTTCAGTGAGCTACAGTGAATAGTTTACTAGGAGCCGTGTGGTAAATGTCCGGGCATGAGTTAAAAGTTCATTTGAGATCCAGAGGCACACACCCAGGCTCCCACCATGCTACCTGAAGACATATCCCACTGTGCACAGACTTCAGTTCGTCTAGTTTTGATATACATTTGGTTGACAACAACTAACGTGAATTCAACGTGAAATCAACCAAGAATGTCACCATGCCATTGGATTTAGGTTAAAAGGTGGTTGAAAAAAAGACTAAATTCCCTTACACTTATTCCTTTTTGCAAATCCAATCAGGTTTCCACATTGATTCAACGTCATCACATTGATTTATTTTGTTGAAATGACGTGGAAACAACGTTGATTGAACCAGTTTTTGTCCAGTGGGATAAGGCTAAAGCTGCCTAAAACTAGCCCTCCATTATGTATTTCTGAAAACACAGGGGGGCGAAGGAGTGCTAAAAACTTCTTCAATCCACTCCTCTGAGAAAAAACTCAAATCTCCTCTTCCAACCCCCATTCTCCCACCCTCTCCCTATGGTTGCCAGCTCTGCAACACTGAAAACCTCTTTTATACAATTCTATAGTACTTTTTTCCCTGAACTGCAAGAAAGGCTTTTTAAATGTTCTGTTAAGTTGAGAAAACATCCATAAAAAGATAATCATTTATATCAAATTATCACACAATGCTCCTCCCGTCCCTCTTGCATGTGAAAAGCATTTTTGGTCGTGTGAATAAAAAGATGGTGGAAAACTTTTTAAAGAGCAGTCTACAATCCATTACACACATTCAGCCAGTATATCTATTCAGTAATTATTCATTAGAACACATTCAACGTCACAGTCAATTTCACACTCGGCAGTCAAAACACAAAAGATATTTGGCCTATTTAATGCAAGGAGGGCAATGCTGGGCGCAACGATGAAGCAAGAGGAAGAGCAACAGGAGATGTGGGTGAGGGTTGGGGGGGGGGGCATGTTAGTCTAATCTGTGAACCCCAAAAGCAAGTCCTTCATAAGACAAGGAACAGACTTTAAAGATAAGTAATGGTCTCTATAGTTATCATGAGGAAAAAAACATGGAAACTCATTTTTTGTCTGATTTAATTACTATTGAATTGTTACTCCAATCCTCAAGGAAAGAGGGTAACTGGGTTAGGGATGTGGAAGGGGTGGGGGGTTGATTTCTCCCACCTCCAAGACACTCTTTATTTTGCACTCTCTTCCCCTCCACCATCCCTCCCTCCAATCTCTGCCCAGTTCATCATGAAGTTAAACCAATGAGACAAGTGAACAATATCATTGAAGGCGCCCCATTTGAGATGTCAGAATCAATCTGACAATACAGAAAGTCCCTTTCTCCCCTCCTTAGCACAAACATTGGAACTGGAGCCTTCTTATCCACACTGAAAGTGAGAATGTCTTCACATTCCATTCTGTGCGTGCGCGAGAAAGAGTTTCTCTAGGCACTTGTGTTTGACACACTCTAAATCGCTGACAACGGAAGAACCATCCAATTATATACAGTTGAAGTCGGAAGTTTACATACACCTTAGCCAAATACATTTAAACTCAGTTTTTCACAATTCCTGACATTTAATCCTACTAAAAATGCCCTGTCTTAGGTCAGTTAGGATCACCACTTTATTATAAGAATGTGAAATGTCAGAATAATAGTAGAGAGAATGATTTATTTCAGCTTTTATTTCTTTCATCACATTCCCAGTGGGTCAGAAGTTTACATACACTCAATTAGTATTTGGTAGCATTGCCTTTAAATTGTTTAACTTGGGTCAAACGTTTCGGGTAGCCTTCCACAAGCTTCCCACAATAAGTTGGGTGAATTCTGGCCCATTCCTCCTGACAGAGCTGGTGTAACTGAGTCAGGTTGTAGGCCTCCTTGCTCGCACACGCTTTTTCAGTTCTGAGAACACATTTTCTATAGGATTGAGGTAAGGGCTTTGTGATGGCCACTCCAATACCTTGACTTTGTTGTCCTTAAGCCATTTTGCCACAACTTTGGAAGTATGCTTGGGGTCATTGTCCATTTGAAAGACTCATTTGCGACCAAGCTTTAACTTCTTGACTGATGTCTTGAGATGTTGCTTCAATATATCCACATAATTTTCCTTCCTCATGATGCCATCTATTTTGTGAAGTGCACCAGTCCCTCCTGCAGCAAAGCACCTCCACAGCATGATGCTGCCACCTCTGTTCTTCACGGTTGGGATGGTGTTCTTGGGCTTGCAAGCGACCCCCTTTTTCCTCCAAACATAACTATGGTCATTATGGCCAAACAGTTCTATTTTTGTTTCATCAGACCAGAGGACATTTCTCCAAAAAGTACGATCTTTGTCCCCATGTACAGTTGCAAACCGTAGTCTGGCTTTTTATGGCGGTTTTGGAGCAGTGGCTTCTTCCTTGCTGACAGGTTATGTCGAAATAGGACTCGTTTTACTGTGGATATAGATTATTTTGTACCTGTTTCCTCCAGCATCTTCACAAGTTGTTCTGGGATTGATTTGCACTTTTCGCACCAAAGTACATTAATCTCTAGGAGACAGAACGCATCTCCTTCCTGAGCGGTAAGACGGCTGTGTGGTCCCATGGTGTTTATACTTGCGTACTATTGTTTGTACAGATGAACGTGGTACCTTCAGGCGTTTGGAAATTGCTCCTAAGGATGAACCAGATTTGTGGACGTCTACATTTTTTTTGTTCGGAGGTCTTGGCTGATTTCTTTTGATTTCCCCATGATGTCAAGCAAAGAGGCACTGAGTTTGAAGGTAGGCCTTGAAATACATCCACAGGTACACCTCCAATTGACTCAAATGATGTAAATTAGCCTATCAGAAGCTTCTAAAGCTATGACATCATTTTCTGGAATTTTCCAAGCTGTTTAAAGGCACAGTGAATTTAGTGTATGTAAACTTCTGACCCACTGGAATTGTGATACAGTGAATTATAAGTGAAATAATCTGTCTGCAAACAATTGTTGGAAATATTAATTGTGTCATGCACAAAGTAGATGTCGTAACCGACTTGCCAAAACGATAGTTTGTTAACAAAAAATGTGTGGAATGGTTGAAAAAAGAGTTTTAATGACTCCAACCTAAGTGTATGTAAACTTCCGACTTCAACTGTACATTAAATTCATTATTTCCTTCCAAAGTGATATCAAGTTCGCACACTGCCCTGCTACACCTGACCACCCTGTACCAGGCCTAAAATACTGAACAGAGACAATTGCCCTGTGGTCAGGTTGCATGCCAGGCCTGACCCTGGCACTCCACCCATTGTTGGTGCTCTGTTGGCATCAGGCTGGGCAGGCCGGTGGCAAGGCAGAGATTACAGCCATTCAGGGGGAATCTGAGCTGAAAATCTGAGAACACTCGGCAGATGAGAAAATAACAACAGGCCAACCAGCATGGCCCAAGGACACGATCCATGTAAACTCATACATAGGAATACACACACACACACACACACACACAGAGAGAGAGATAGATACACTTGCACAACACAGTTCTACTGTAATCTAGGAAACAGTGTCACCTAATGGTAATGGTACACAGGAGTCTTTTTTTTTTTTAAAGGAGAGGATAATGAGAGTGGGAAGAAGTCTGAAACAGGTGATAACACACACAAAGAATGGAAAAGGATGTGGAGAGAAAAGGATGACACTCGTAAAGGCGGAAAATGAGCAACAAGATACCTAAATTTGATGGCAGGCTAAAACGGTACAGGAAAGCCTATCTGACCCAGCGGCCATCACCCGAGAGGCCAGCCCATTGTCCCAGGCTCTCCACTATGGCACAGGATCCTGTTACTCTGTCACAAAGTGGCCGTTAGGCTCCTGAAAGAGATAGCACTCCTCGTGCGTGGGCCACTGACTAACACCACACATCACATCACTCAGGGCAACAAACACACATTTAGGGGGCTCCAGGTGTCTAGAGAAACCTGGTATCACCTGTATCTCTTCATACAATGCTCCCTTTATATAGCTTCAATTATAGAGATTGGATAAAATACAGGGTACTATAATGCGGTAGAAAACAATATGAGTACCGTATATGTATTGCTATTAAAGATTTTAAAAAGTCTGGCAAAGGTTGAACCTTTAGGTGGTGGTCTTCATAACATTGGGTAAAAATATATTTAGCATAAAATACCTTATCAATATGTTGTTCTAAACAGAGGAGAAACAAAAGCCCAGTTTATACCTTGTGCTAACATGGGTCCTTTTACCTGATCTGGTCTAATTTCTGATTGTGCCCACATTTCCAGAAATGTGTCTACACTATGTATGCATTGGTAACCCTGTATAAGTCCCCTGTAGCTCAGTTGGTAGAGCATGGCGCTTGCAACGCCAGGGTTGTGGGTTCGTTTCCCACGGAGGGCTAGTATGAAAATGTATGCACTCACAAACTGTAAGTCGCTCTGGATAAGAGCGTCTGCTAAATGACTAAAATGTAAATGTACCAGATTTCCTGGTCCCTTTCCTTTATGCAAATTATTTCACAACTATTCTTTCAAAAGAATACTTATATATTTATTGTAAGACACATATTTATGTAATCAGTCAATGGTGCCACTTATCAATGATTTTAGTGTCTGACTACCTACGGAGGTGGACAGGATGATCTGATCACAATGTCTTTTGATTGTCTACACCTGTCAAAAAATGTGGGCACAATCAGAATGTGGACACGACAAAGGACGTAAGTTAGAACCAGGTATAAACAGGCTACACAGACACACAAAAAAACACACACCACAGTATTACCTCACTCATCTCCAAAGCCATGTGAGTCATGGTTGAATCGGTCTTGTAATGGATCAGATAGAATCCAAACAACGTTCAACTATCGTCCCAGAGTATGCAGTAGAGGTGGACTCTCGTCCTGGGGCTAGCAACTGAGCAGCACTCCCATTCTAGAGCCACTTTTAGCCTCTGGCGATTCAGATGCAGGTTTGTCCCTTTGACCGTATCACCTCACCGTCACACTGCTCTACCTCTGCTTTTCCTCTGTCCCTCTGACAGAACTGGCCAGGTTCTGGGGACCAGGGGAGGGGTTCAGTGGGGAGTGCCAATGTGTGGACTAGTACTTCCTGCTAAAGCGTCACTCCTGTCCTGTCCATAATGAGACCATAATGATATAGTTGGCTCTGGGAGCTCTAAGATAGTTAATCATTCATTAAGCCTAGGAAGGTCTCATTCAGCACATCACCTGAGCGTCCACGGACCCACAGAGTGTGTGTGTGTGTGTGTGTGTGTGTGTGTGTGTGTGTGTGTGTGTGTGTGCCTGCGTGAGTAACACAAGGATGCGGAAAGTCGATCTCCTCATCCTCCTCCTCGCACAAAATTACAGCACAGGTATTGTGTTACTGATCTTTGATTAGGCAGATACAATTCTGACTAATTACAAACCACTCATCACTGCCATGCTGAAGCTACAGTATCGGGCCAGTTGGGATGAAACTATTGTCCTTTCAGTGCATCTTACAGCTACTGTCAACACCAGCCTGTGCTGCAGTAAGAGGGCCATACAGTACTATGCTGGCTTTCCTGCTTAACCTTCATGTGTCAGAGAAACTCCTATTATGTATTCTAGTGGCTCTTATGTCATCTAAAAATATATATTTCAAGTTTGTTCTCATTTTCATTCAAACATATCATACATGATTTACCTAACCATAAATGAGTTATTGATCGACATTGCTATCCAGAATGATTATTTAAGAAAAAACAAAGTAGAGATGTTTGTATAACCTTCTCTATATCTTGTAGCTCAGTGCTAAGTGATGTGTTGGGTTGTGAAAGTCTTGCGGGCAGCAAAACATTGCCCTCTCATTCCGCCTGTTTAAAATTTAAAGTCAAGCATCCTGTAAAACATGAACAAAGGCATCTTGCATTACAGCCACATTGATTAAACAGAGAGGAGACATTCACAACAAAGAAGTTATATTTTAAAGCCACATAGCTTTTTAAAAGTAACCACTGCTCCAAATCAGAACAGAAGGGATTATTACCTTTCCAATCAATGTTACAGAGGCTTACATTCCCAGAGACTACTGTAACTTTTAAGTTAATTTATGGGCAACACTGAACCATTTTGAGCAGTTAATTTTCTCTTTGGTAACAGCCCCCTACCAAACACACCCACTAATATACTCACAATCACACCACACGTCCTGTCCCCTTTAGCCTGTGGTGTGGCTTGTCTAGCCTTAACAAGCTTTGTGCTACCTACCCACAGCTCTCTGATTTAGCACGAGTCCCTGTAAAATCCAATTACACCAGAGTCAGCGGGTTGATTTTCCCATTACAGATTTCATGCTGAGTTTGAGGACTACGATTTGAAAACCCCACACATCAGCCCCCTTACCCCTCTCTCACACAAACTCCCTTTCTCTTCCTCCTGACACTTTATGTCTCTGTAATGGGAGGAACAAGAGGTATCCCTTAGTCATCAAAGTCCACTCCAGTCATGCGGTAAGGTCATCATCCAACCTCTCTGACCTTACTCTCATTCTATCATTCAATGAAATGGGATATCCGATTCCATACACAGCAATTTCAATGTTCTACCTTAACCTCATCAATAGGGGTGGCAGTAGCCTCAAGGTTAGAGAGGCTGGCCTATAACCAAAGGGTTGCCGGTTTAATTCCCAGGGCTATATGGCATTGTGCCCTTGAGCAAGGCACTTAACCACTAACTTTCTCCAAGCAATACACACACACACACACAAAACTAGATATACCAGCCTATTAGGTAATATGTGCATTGGGGAAAACAGTGACCCCTTAACCTCTCAGAACATCATGAGTAAACGATCTGACCAATTACAGCACAACTCTGCCTCCAGAGGGAATCACAGGATAGACAAATGAATATGCACAGGCTCAATTTGTCTTACACAACTCAACATTCAACTAATGCTTTATTTATAGGATCAAATAGATAGCCGAGGACAGAGATGGACACTGAAGGGCAACTCTAGCCAGGTTGCTGTAGTAGCCTTCTGTATCTCTGCCACGTTCTGTGAGCGAGAGACGTTCTGCTAGGATACCATGACCAAATGCATGCGATAGCAATAAAATAAAAGTATTCTAAAACGCAATCATTTAGGTTAAATGCAACTTGACTGAGCTACAATATGGTAACGCTGAAAGATCATTTCAATAGAGGAGTCAATTTCATGATGGCTAATGGCAAATGCATTGTAGAGTTTGGTAACATTTAAATGTAGAGATAGTGGAGGTTATTGTTGTAGATATGGAAAAATAGTTTAGCATGCACTACTGAAAATCGAATGACAAATCAAATTATAAAAATCTTACCGTTGAGAACATGTACATGGTGTTATATAATGTGCATAAAAAATGAGGATTCTTCTGGTCAGGTCGTTCTGACAAATCCAGCCCGGGCCAATAGAAGCTGAATCTGATCTGGATATGACAGAGAAGGGAGACCAGCTCATCTGTGTGTTGAGGGATGCTTGCTGAGAAGTGGGAAGTTGATACAAGGGTGAGAGCATCTCTATAAACATTAATTGTGGACACACATCCTTACCTATAGCACCTGGATTTATGGACAACCCATAATGCAACAGCCCCTGCAAACTTGCTGTCATAGTGTCCTAATTTCCTTCAGTTTTTTTTTTTTAGGTTGGCCTCGTTCCCTGTTCTGTTCATCAGAGATCACAAGACATAATGCCACTAGACCTAGACAAATCCCCAATTTGAGAAAATATTCTTGCAATATACAGAGAATCATACTCTGTGTCGTAAAACGGCACATATCACTGTAATTTTAACACTTTTCTGTCTGGAACTCTTGATAGCAACTAGTTAGGTGACTAAACTCAACTCAGAAACTTCCTTCACCATGGCGTTGAGTTAAGTCAGCTAGATAGAAACTAGTATAGCCTACAACATACTGATAACGATCCAAATAATATACAGTAATCATTTCCTGTTTGCTGCTGTTGATAACATACCATACCTGGGGCAAATTGTACCAACTCTATAGGCAGAGTGTGTTCAGATTATGAATTTATGGGAACGAGGCTATGTGTAACAGTTCTGATGATTGTGGGGGGGATACATTTCAAGAGCAACTAGACGATAAACTTGCCCACTCCATTGGCACGGCTAAAAAGTATTGAAATCGCCTAAAAAAAATTGGGAGGTGGACGGACCTAGGCTAAGTAATTGTTTAGCAGGGACACTCGGCCTATTGAGCAAAATATACGCTAAACATGTTTTATACAAGCAATATAAATATTTGCAAACTGTTGAATAACCTCTCCTTTCAAATAGCATCATCCCCACTTGTCCATGTTGTTTGCTGCTTATTTCACTGCTATCATTGAGCCTGAAAACAGACGCTACTGCTCCTCCTCCCCTCTCCGCGCCTCATCGACCACCTTCCCGCCGCAGCCCATCAAACCGCGCGGCCAAGCGCGCGGGGTCGAAATTCGAACCAAACAGTGCCAGTGGTGCTGATGAACAGCTCCTCGCCAGAGTGGAGTCGACACTGGACAGTCGGAGACAGAAGAGTGAGTTTTAAAACGCTTTGGAAGGTGAATGAATGGAATCAAACTTAACGTTGAAAAGAACACCTTTGGATTCTTTCAGAACATGTTAGCAAGGTGTTGTTAATACAGCTGTTTACATTTCATGTAACGTAGCTAGCTATCTCTGATAACTATCTCTGCTATCTCTGATAACTAGCTGGCACAGTAACGTTAAATACTTGTCCCATACTATTGTAGTAGCATTGGGAGCTAGCTTGCAACGTTAATTAGCTAACTAGACAGTCAGGTATGGGTCAGGTAACTAAGCGGGATAGCTAAATGTTAACTAGCTAGCTGTATCTGTCAGTATGCCAGTTTTGTCAACTAACCACAAATAGAACATTGAAAATCTTTGAACTAACGTTAGCTAGCTAGCTACAGTAACAGTGGCTATTTATCTTTCAGGAGAGGATACCACCCCCAGAATGACGGCAATTCTCAGAAATTCTGGAAGTAACGTTAACGTTAATCATCACACCTCATCACAGGATTTCAGGTAGAGCTAGCTAACGTTAATCACATCATCAGGCTGTCACTTGTCTGAACTAGCTAACTCTGGAAAGCTTGGCAGGCAAACCTTATGGTTTAGGTTAACGTTATGGTTTGCTAAGAGCCTACCCCCCCTCTCTCTCTCTTTCACTCCATCACCCCCCCCCCCCCCCCCCTCCTCCCCTGTGTGTGTGTGCGTGTGCGTGCGTGCGCGCGCGCGCGTGTGTGTGTGTGTGTGTGAAAATATGCACACACAAAAAACATTACAATGAATAATTTTAGGTCCGAATGGATATGTCAGCGCCCATCAGCTTTGTTTTCAGTCCTGCTGTTGGGGAAAGGGAGGAGAGGGGGATATATATCCCTGGGTGTCTGGTGGTGGGGACTTTGGAGGGGGTGGCCTCAAAAATAGAAAACAAGGGGACAGTGCTTATGGTTACCCCTGGGGGGAGGACTTGCTTCACTGCCTTTCTAATTTGTACTGGTAATCGAAACGGGTGAACACATCGTTCACACATCGAACACTTCTTCCTAGAGTGGACAAGTTAGAGTAAAGAACAGCTTTTTTCCTCGTCAATCAGAGCTTATGTCAGCTAGGTTGTGGCTCAGTGCACTGGACCTGCTTGTCTCTAGTCTTCTCATTGTGTTTATTTGGAGTTCACCTAGCGACATTGTTGTTGTTGAGTAAAGGGACATTTACATCAGAAGGAATCATTATTTTGTGCTAAGCTAAATTGAGGGGTATTATTTTTGGCACAGTTACATGGATGTTTCCCTCCAAAAGGTTGGTGTTTTTTCTGATTTTATGTGAAGTTACTTTTCAAGCAATCATGTTCAGAGATTGTTTGCAGTCAAATTGTCATTGAATGAACTTCAGTCACTTTTATCATGCTGGATATTCTGTTCCCACATTAATATAACTTTATTGTAATGTTCTCACTGTAGTCTAATTTCTTATGTTTACTAACTAGTTTCTTAACTTAAAGCCTATGGCCCATTGATTGAAAACCAGATCAGCTCTTTAGTCATTAGCCTTCTTTCAATGGAGTTAATTCAACACATTGACCAAACCCTGACTGTCAAATGAACCACAATCAAACTTTAATGGCCTGCTACAGTTTATAGACCGGGTTTTCACATTATAGTACTTATAGTTATTAACCATTCCCTTTTTGGCTTGTTGGTATGAAACCGCCCACACAGGGTCTCCAAGCAACACTTTTATCAAGTGACTAAAAATAAATCTGCCTTTTGATAACAGTGTGTGTGGGTGGAGCTCAAAGGTTATGTAAAAAAAAACTGTAAGGCCAGACTGATGTCATTTTTATGCACAAAAAAAATGCATTACAGTCATGCATGTTATTGTAATGTCTGTTTAGCAGAGTCAACAGCATTAAGCCTGCCTGCCAGGCTATTGCTCCCCTCAGGGAGTCCCCTTTACTAGAGAGCGGTTAGTTGTAGTGCATAGGGTCTGGTGGTGACAGAGAAGCAGATGGCTCTCCTTTAACTCTCTTGTCAATTAGCTGTCACTCAACCAGATTAATGCAGGCTTTGGTCATCATGGGGATGGGGGTGGAGTGGGTTGGGACAATCAGGGAACAGCCCTCTGGAAACAATAGAGCCACGTGCCACTGGGCTGGGGACTGTTGTTCGGGACACAAAAACTAATCATTATTCAATGGCCAGACCAACTGTTGCAGACAATTTGCACACAGTGTACCCGACCCTATGTGCACAGTGTCCCTGACCCTACTACACATTTTCAATACTGTGGGTGTGCCCCTGTGTATTGTGATTCAGCCAATGGAGCATTAGGAGCAGTGGTCACCTGATGTTACATCACCTTGTTTTTCAGTGTCTGGAAATGTCCTTTATGCAAATTAGGTCAGAAAAGTATACTGAACAAAAATATAAACGCAACATGTAAAGTGTTGGTCCAATGTTTCATGAGCTGAAAGAAAAGATCCCAGAAATGTGCCATAGGCACAAAAAGCTGATTTAGCTCAAATTCTGTACACAAATTTGTTTACATCCCTGTTAGTGAGCATTTTTCCTTTGCCAAGATAATCCATCCACCTGACAGGTGTGGCATATTAAGAAGCTGATTAAACAGCATGATCATTACACAGGTGCACCTTGTGCTGGGGACAATAAAAGGCCACTCTAAAATGTGCAGTTTTGTCACACAACACAATGCCACAGATGTCTCAAGTTTTTAGGGAGTGTGCAATTGGCATGCTGACTGCAGGAATGTCCACCAGAGCTGTTGCCAGAAAATTTAATGTACATTTCTCTACCATAATTTGCCTCCAACGTCATTTTAGAGAATTTGGCAGTACGTCCAGCCGACCTCACAACCGCAGACCACGTGTATTGCGTTGTGTGGGTGAGCAGTTTACTGATGTCAACATTGTGAACAGAGTGCCCCATGGTGGCGGTGGGGTTATGGTATGGGCAGGCATAATGAACAGAGATATCGTGACGAGATTGTCGTGCCATTAATCCGCTGCCATCACCTCATGTTTTAGCATGATAATGCATGGCCCCATGTCGCAAGGATCTGTAAACGATTGCTGGAAGCTTGAAAATGTCCCAGTTCTTCCATGTCCTGCATACTCACCAGACGTCACCCATTGAGCATGTTTGGGATGCTCTGGATCGACGTGTACGACAGTGTGTTCCAGTTCCCACCAACATTTAGCAACTTCACAGCCATTGAAGTGGGACAACATTCCAAAGGCCACAATCAACAGCCTAATCAACTCTATGTGAAGGAGAGGTGTCCCTCTGCATGAGGCAAATGGTGGTCTTTCCCAGATACTGAATGGTTTTCTGATCCACGCCCCACATTTTTTTTAAGGTATCTGTGACCAACAGATGCATATCTGTATTCCCAGTCACGTGAAATCCATAGATTAGGGCCTAATGAATGTATTTCAATTGACTAATTTCCTTATATGTACTGTAACGCAGTAAAATCTTACAAATTGTTGCATGTTTCGTTTATATTTTTGTTCAGTGTATTTTACATTTCAACTCAATGCAAGCAGAAAAAGAAGAGTTGCTAAAGTTTCAGTGACCTCTTGTCTTGATAAGCTGAGGGCAGTGGTAATATACATTATAAGGAATATGTTTATCCCGTAAGTCCCTTACAGTAGATATAATCAGCTCCTTGTGTGTGTATCTGTCAGGCTGCTGACCACTGAGCCGTCCCAGCAGAGTGAGGAGCTGGGGGACCTGCAGTCTCTGTCCTGGCTAACCACCGTGGATGTACCCAGGCTGCAGCAGATGGCCACAGGCAGACTGGCCTTCAACAACACAGGGCCCCAAAGCAGCATACTGGAACTACACACAGGTGAGACACAATACACACTCACACACACATACACACACACACAAACAAACCAAAAAACAATCTGGCCTGAAACATAAACTCTTTTTTTCAGACCAGCAAAGCAACATGAGTACAGCACTAGGACATAATACCATGGCCCCTCCACATAGCAACATGCAAAACACTTATATTGGAATGAACTACCTCAACAATCAAAATGGAAATGTAAGTATATTTTGAGGTCTTACTGTTGTAGTTATTTTTTAATCAACACTGTTCTTCCCCTCCTACTGTGTGTCTTTGTGTTTCAGATGGCAGGATTCCCAGGAAGTGGTGTGCCTGCCTCAGGATACCAGTCCTCCCCGGTCCACTGCTTCCATTCCCCCCAGCAGGCCTACAGCCCAGCTCAGGCTGTGCAACAGGTAACACATCCACCGACTGTTTCAGAAGTGTTTCTGAACTCTTATGAACGTAAGACTTTATAACAGAGAGATGCAGAGTATTTCTATCACTTGTAATTCATTCAAAGACAGCCTTATATGTGGCTTGGTTTGCTTTTTCCCAGCATTCCCCCAGCAGCCTGTACAACAGCACCTCCTACCATAACCATAACCTGTATGATCAGCAAGCAGCAGTCATGAGCATCACCAACCCCCACAGCAACCAGGATCTGCTACAACAACTCAAGGCCTTTCCTAAACCTATCTACTCCTACAGGTAGGGCACACTAACGCATTCAATTCTCCATTTTCCATTGACATTTCATCTGTACAGTTTTAACACATTTTGTAAAGCAGACTAGTGGTCAGAACAATTGGAACTGAGCAAAAATGAAAATGCATGATATTTTGACGGTTTTCGCCAGCTGCCTGATTGCTATGGCTCTGAAGAACAGCCGGACAGGCAGCCTTCCTGTCAGTGAGATCTACGGCTTCATGAAGGAGCACTTCCCTTACTTCAAGGTGAGGAGCAGGGAGATGCTGCTTTACACACATGAGATTCTCAGGGCTCGTGGAAGTTTGGGAACATCAGCAACATTGTATATGATCAGTATAATGTTTTTTACTGATGTATGGTTCTCCACCCTACAGACGGCACCTGACGGCTGGAAGAACTCTGTGAGACACAACCTGTCTCTGAACAAGTGCTTTGAGAAGGTGGAGAACAAGCAGGGAGGCTCCTCCTCCTCCACTCGTAAGGGCTGTCTATGGGCCCTCAACCCAGCCAAGATCAACAAGATGGAGGAGGAGATGCAGAAGTGGAAACGCAAGGACCTGACTGCCATCCGCCGCAGCATGGCCAACCCTGGTGAGACCTGGCAGGGGAGGATGGGAGAGGAAACAAGACAAGAATTGCGACATTCTGATTCATTATATAATATTGCTTGGTGAGTATTTATAGCTAATGCTCTTGTCTTGGCTCTCAGATGAGCTGGATAGGCTGATCACAGACCGACCGGACGGCTGCCGGAGAAAGCCCTGTGACCCTAGGATGACATGTGTCCCTTCCAGCCCCTGTGGTCCCCCGCTGTCCCTCCCCTTCCACCACCAGGCCCAGAATCACACCCTCCTAGGAGAACCCAGCTCCCCTGTACCCGCCCGGACCCCTCCCCTCCATGCTGTCCCAGACTACTCCCACAGCCCCTTCCCCCAGCAGCAGCCCTACAGACATCCCCACAGCCACAGCTTGTACAGCCTCCACCCAGACGTCACAGCCGAGGTGGACGCTCTGGACCCCAGTATCATGGAGTTTGCCGGTAGGTTCTGATGAGGATAGGAGGGATGTTACCATATGTTTAAAATGAAAATGACATATTTGTCTTCACCATAACTGTTTGTTTTAACCTATGGTGATTTGGTTAATGATCTGTTTTAACCTGTGATAACGTGTTTGTTTCTGTCTTTCAGGGAGCCTATGGGAGGAGATGAGGGAGGAAAGCTTCAGCCTGGAGACTCTGGGTACCTTTAACCACTCTCCTCTGTGCCTGTCTGACTGTGGGCTGACTGGCCCCAGCACTGGACAGCCCCTGGTGGACCTGTACACCAGCCACACCACCCCAGCTGTTCCCTCCCAGTACATCACCACCACAGAGGCCGGGGGCCAGGCCATCGCCCAGCTCTGACTTTGACTGTGAAACACTGATATACAGTGTATTAAACACTGATATACACTAGGACAGACTATGGGAAGACCACTACTGTTGAACCTGCAAGTCCCCGCACCAACTGTATGAGAATCCAGAACTTTTCCCCACCTGACAGGATGTCTCGCCCCTTTTATGTATGTTTTTAGTTTTTTACTGATTCCTGTTTCTACACCAAAGCACATAAGAAGCAGCCAAAATCAACAAGCGTAGGTATGTTTGATTGGGTCTGTCAGCTTTTTACAGTGATGAGGATAATGTGTTTGTGTGTGTGGATCTTTGGAGGTAAAATGCAATGCCACTTTATCTCTACAAGAGCCGGTGTCAATGTTGGTTTCTGTGAAGATACGTAGATGTTGTCGGTGAAACTCTTCTGTTATCTAGGCTATTCCTTGTGGAGGTAAAGTCTTATTGATTTACTATCTTGTGCAAACAATACTTTTTATTTTACTGGATTTGACTTTGGTACTGTAGCTTGATAGTCTGTTTGAAGTACTATAGTACTGCTAGGCAGGTATTATCTCTGCATTTTCTGTGTATTTATTTTGGTTCATTTGTATTTATTTACTATGCTCTGAGTAAACTCTTGATGTCATGCCTTACAACAATTATTTTTTATTGTAATATAGAGGACTTTTACATGTTCATGTATTTTAGAAAACTAAACATTTTTAACTAAAGATTATTAATGTGAAGGTATTAAAGCCTTAGCAGATTCACCTATTTTAAACTGAAAATAGACTCCTGTGGCTACTATGGATTTGTCTAACTGTAAATATTTACAGAAGAAATATTTGCAGATGCCATTTGCTATTGTTACTAAAGACTTCAATCTTGAGATGAATCTGACAGACAGCTATACCCCTCTGATGGCCATGACCCTGCTCTCTGAGGGTGTCTCAAGGGATGTGGGATATGCAAAAAACACATTTCCATTTCACATCTCACACTTGTACAGGTTACACACTTGTGTGAAACTGGACAAATATAAGTGCCCCCTATTTGACCTTTGACCTTGAGGTTTTTCAGCTTGTTCGCTTGAATGTCAATAGTGCACTGAGGTAGGCAATAGTGTGATGCAAGAGCACCGTCTATTGTCAGTCTAGAGTATTGCGACAAAGTGGTTATTTTAATATCCATACTGTACATATCCCAAGTATCATTTGTAAAAGTGGTTGTATAATCCTTATGTAAACATAATACATAGTAGTGACAATGGTACAATTAGGCAGTATGAGGCCAATGGTTTTAAGTTCATTGTCTTTTACATTCTTTTTCCTACCACTCCCAAAATGTTGTTTACAGTAGATTTAACTCCTCCCTCTCCCTTCCCTGAGGGCTTTATTCCTATTGGATGACTGACTGTAATTTGAGATAGAAGATACCCCAGCAGGTTTAACCAACTCAACAACACCTGAAACCAGGTGCTCTCAGTCCCTGTTCTTCAGCCTTATCGACATGAGCAACTGGGGGAAAACATCCAAGATAAGTTACCAGCAATGGAGGAATCCTGAAATCAGGTACAGTAAATATCAAACTCTCATAAATTGTAGCTTACTGGAGTTTTCTATGAAAGGAATCACACTTAATGATATGTTGAAGTGCAAGGTGAATGACCTAGTTTTCCATTAGATAATACCTGTAGGGGAATCATAGGGGGAAGGAAACCGGATAAGTTGCATAGGTGGGTCGTTCCATGAAATGAGTGCCTTTTATATTTTAAGTAGAAATTGTGCACCAATATTGAATTCTAAAAGCCTGTTATACACTGAACAAAAATATAAACGTAACATGTAAAGTGTTGGTCCCATGTTTCATGAGCTGAAATAAAAGATCCCAGAAATGTTCCATGCAAACAAAAAGCTTATTTCTCTAAAATGTTGTGCACACATTTGTTTACATCCATGTTAGTGAGCATTTATCATTTGCCAAGATAATCCATCCACCTGACAGGTGTGGCATATCAAGAAGCTGATTAAAGAGCATGATCATGACAAAGGGGTACTTTGTGCTGGGGACAATTAAGGCCACTCTAAAATGTGCAGCTTTGTCACACAACACAATGCCACAGGTGTCTAAAGTTTTGAGGGAATGTGCAATTGGCATGCTGACTGCAGGAATATCCACCAGAGCTGTTGCCAGCAAATGTAATGTTCATTTCTTTACCATAAGCCGCCTCCAACGTCGTTTTAGAGAATTTGGCAGTACGTCCAACCAGCCTCAAAACCGCAGACCATGTGTATGGCGTTGTGTGGGCAAGCGGTTTGCGGAGGTCAACATTGTGAACAGAGTGCCCCATAGTGGCGGTGGGGTTATAGTATGGGCAGATATATAAACTATGGACAACGAACACAATTGCATTTTATCTATTGGCAATTTGAATGCACAAAAATACTGCGACGAATTCCTGAGGCCCATTTTTTAAAAGGTATCTGTAACCAACAGACGCATATCTGTATTCCCAGTCATGTGAAATCCATAGATTAGGGCCTAATGAATTTATTTCAATTGACTGATTTCCTCATATGAACTGTAATTTAGTAAAATCGTTGAAATTGTTGCATGTTGCGTTTATATTGTTGTTCAGTATATTAAAGTGCCCTTTAATATAGATCAGATAGAGAATTTAATAAATCTGAATTTTATATAAATTCTGTATTTTGATGTGTCCCTTCATGCACCCTCTGTGACTTCTAGGAAGATTTTAACCCACTTAATCCCAACATTTCTCCAAGTTTTCACCACCATTGTAAAGTCCTAGTTATTAAATTGCTTTGACAAAGTCATTTCTAAAGATTATTATTTATTAAATGTGTGATTCATTAGTGATTTATTTACATCTGTCCTACATTTTAAGGTCAACCCTTTTACATGAACTGAACTCTTATTTTAATGTGGTGAAACTAGTCCTTTAAAAAAGATATAGAGCTGGTTCTACTGTTTTTTGAGCGGGTCAAAGATAACATGTCAACCCTGTTACCCATACATAGACAGGCTAGAAAGTTTTTAATATTAAAAAATTGTGAAGCTTACTTTGAATTGCCCCTCCGTGTTGCACACAATAAACGTCCATTCCCCTTGTCACAAGGGGATTTATGGCTGTTTTAAGATGAAATCTTCAACCTGTTACAGTCAACCTTGATACTTTCTTTGGCACTTTTTTTTTTTTTTCTCTAGAGATGGGAAGATTTGTTTTTTTAATGTAGAACATGTGCTCTTTATGACAGAATGTTAAAATGAGGTGAAATCAATTTTATTTTATTTTTTTACCAAGTTACACTACTCAAAAGGCACCCAATTGGTGGAACGACCCAGGTACACTGGGCTTGCCATGTTATCAGTAGATTGATTCCTGTTGCTGTTGTTGTCATTTGTATTTGTATTTATTAAGGATCCCCATTGCTGGACCCTACTCTTCCTGGGGTCCAGCAACATTAAGGCAGTTATATACAATTACAAATATGACATGACATTACATTTCATAACACTTTTCAAAACACATTAAGTGTGTTCCCTCAGTCCACTACTCTACTACCACATATCTACAATACAAAATTCATGTGTACGTGTGTGTAGAGTGCGTGTCTTATCATGTGTATGTGTAAGCGTGTATCTGTGCCTGTGTGTGTGTCTCTTCACAGTCCCTGCTGTTCCATAAGGTGTATTTTTATCTGTTTTTTAAATCTGATTCTACTGCTTGCATCAGTTACCTGATGTGGAATAGAGTTCCATGTAGCCATGGCTCTACGTAGTACTGTACGCCTCCCATAGTCTGTTCTTGACTTGGGGATTGTGAAGTGACCTCTAGTGGCATGTCTTGTGGGGTATGCATGGGTGTCCGAGCTGTGTGCTAGTAGTTTAAACGGACATCTCAGTGCATTCAGCATGTCAACACTTCTTACAAGAACAAGTAGTGATGAAGTCAATCTCTCCTCCACTTTGAGCCATGAGAGATTTACATGCATATTATTATGTAAGCTCTCCGTGTACATTTAAGTGCCAGCCGTGCTGCCCTGTTCTGAGCCAATCGTAATTTTCCGAGGTCCCTTTTGTGGCACCTGACCACACGACTGAACAGTAGTACAGGTGCGACAAAACTAGGGCCTGTAGGACCTGCTTTGTTGATAGTGTTGTTAAAAAGGCAGAGTAGCGCTTTATTATGGACAGACTTCTCCCCATCTTAACTACTGTTGTATCAAAATGTTTTGACCATGACAGTTTACAATCCAGGGTTACTCCAAGCAGTTTAGTCACATCAACTTGCTCAATTTCCATATTATTTATTACAAGATTTAGTTGAGGTTTAGGGTTTAGGGAATGATTTGTCCCAAATACAATGCTTACATAGACACACTGGCATGACATTAGTAAAGATTGAAAAAAGTAAGGGGCCTACACAGCTGCCCTGGGGAATTCCTAATTTTACCTGGATTATGTTGGAGAGGCTTCCATTAAAGAACACCCTCTGTGTTCTGTTATAGCAGACTTAACTGACTTAGCAGACTTATAAAGACTTAACACATAAGTTATTCCAGCAGCAGACTATGATCGATAATGTCAAAAGCTGCACTGAAGTCTAACAAAACAGCTCCCACAATCTTTTATTCCTCAATTTCTCTCAGCCAATCATCAGTCATTTGTGTAAGTGCCATGCTTGTTGAATGTCCTTCCCTATAAGTGTGCTGAAAGTCTGTTGTCAATTTGTTTACAGTAAAATAGCATTGTATCTGGTCAAACACAATTTTTTCCAAAAGTTTACTAAGGGTTGGTAACAGGCTGATTGGTCGGCTATTTGAGCCAGTAAAGGGGGCTTTACTATTCTTGGGTAGCATAATTACTTTTGCTTCCCTCCAGGCCTGAGGGCGCACACTTTCTAGTAGGCTTAGATTGAAGATATGGCAAATAGGAGTGGCAATGTTGTCTGCTATTATCCTCAGTAATTTTCCACCCAAGAGTTCAGACCCTGGTGGCTTGTCATTGTTGATAGACAACAATCATTTTTTCACCCCTTCCACACTCACTTTACATAATTCAAAATTACAATGCTTGTCTTTCATAATTTGATCAGTTATACTTGGATGTGTAGTGTCAGTGTTTGTTGCTGGCATGTCATGCCTAAGTTTGCTAATCTTGCCAATGAAAAAAATAATTAAAGTAGTTGGCAATATCAGTGGGTTTTGTGATAAATGAGCCATCTGATTCAATGAATGATGGAGCTGAGTTTACCTTTTTGCCCAAAATATAACTTAAGGTGCTCCAAAGCTTTTTACTTTCATTCTTTATATTATTTATCTTTGTTTCATAGTATAGTTTCTTCTTTTTATTCAGTTTAGTCACATAATTTCTCTATTTGGAGTAGTTTGAATAGCATATTGAATAGTCATCATGGACAATACAGTAGATTCAGTATGAAATAAACCTATGGCATTCATGAAGTCACATCAGGATGTTGTCATTCTCTTGATCTATTACTTTCTCTGTATTGTTTATTATGTGTATTGTTTGGTTTCAGTGTGGTGACGTTTCGAGGTACAGGGGGAGACAGTCTGTGTCACGATGATGAGGATCAGTGTGGAGACTATGAGGTCTACACCACGGGGATGCAGACTGTGGACCTTGGGGAGCGCAGTACAGGACCCCACGTATCACACAACAGCCCCACTGAAGGTTTCACTGATTTATATTTTGTTTCGTCTAGCATCTATTGACTGCTCATTTGTTGTTTAGAATTACCTGATGCTCTTGAACCCATGGATTTATGAAAATATGCTATTCAAACTAAATACTGAACCATACAACATTTCCCAAAGATTGAGCTTGATTAAACCACTGTCCACTCAATTCATCAACACTTTTTCTCAGTTTACCTTTACTTATTGATACGAGAACGCCTATGGCATTGTTATCTTGAACGTTACCCAACTCTTCATCCAATTAACACTAATTGGACACAAACGTCTATGCCAGTTAAACAACCAATCAATCTCTCTCAACTAGAATACTCTTCTGACATCATCATTCAGCGCCTAATATCATGTTAGCGCTTGTCCAATTGTTACATTGTTTTAGTAACCATTTCTGATCATGGTTCATAATATTAATTAAGTAGTTCCTGGTCTGTTGTAGAAAAAGCAGCATGTATGGGTAAGTTTGTGAACAACGGAAAATGTGATTGAATATATGTTGTTTTGGGATTTTATTATAACTTGCCACCTCTTTCTCTCTGCCCTGTCAGATACCTTTACGGTGGAGGATGCAGTGGAGGCCATTGGCTTTGGAAAGTTCCAGTGGAAGCTTTCTATCCTTACTGGACTGTCATGGGTTAGAGACTGGGATTGATTCCTAAGACAGACATGATCTTAAATATTTTCAATTTGTGGATCAACAACCCTTTCTAATCATGAGCTGCTCACTGACTCTCATGTTGTGTTTACTGTAGATGGCGGACGCCATGGAGATGATGATCCTGAGCATCATATCCCCTCAGTTGCACTGTGAGTGGAGGCTGCCCAGCTGGAAGGTGGCTATGCTAACAGCGGTCAGTCTCATTCTGTCACCTAAACATAATCTCTTAGGCTTTTAGACTGGGGTTATTCTCTCATAAGCTTTATCGCATTAGTTTGATTACGCCATGTATTCATCACATTTGTCCTAATCATATAGGCTTCATTAAGGCTTGTAAGGGTAGCCACCAGCTAGAGAGGAAATGCTTTAGGCATACAGCCAACATTTAAAAAGTATTTGTAGTAATCATTCATTTGATGTCAATGTTACAGTGATGTCATCAGGTCACTTCTTCTCTCTCAGGTGGTGTTCCTTGGGATGATGTTCAGCTCGACTCTATGGGGAAATATATCTGACAAGTATGGCAGAAAAGTAGTAAGTTTCAGTCTGCAATTGTTTAACATGTATAAAAGGTTGAGATCTTACAGCTATGATTTGGTCATGTGATCGTGAAATACACTGAGTGTACAAAACATTTGCTCTTTCCATGACAGACTGACCAGGTGAAAGCTATGATCCCTTATTAAAGCCACTTCAATCAGTATAGATGAAGGGGAGGAGTCACATTAAAGAAGGATTTTTAAGCCTTGAGACAATTAAGACATGGCTTGTGAGTGTAGGGTTAGTTTGAAGGGTGTTATTTTTTTTGTATTACGAAGTATAATGGATTTATCTTATAGTCCAGTTGGTGGATTGTGTATGTGTGCCATTCAGAGGGTGAATGGGCAAGACAAAAGATTTTAAGTGCCTTTGAACAGGGTATGGTAGTAGGTGCTTGGTGCACCGGTTTGGGTCAAGAATTGCAACACTGCTGGGTTTTTCACGCTCAACAGTTTCCCGTGTGTATCAAGAATGGTCTGCCACCCAAAGGACATCCAGCCAACTTGACAACTGTGGGAAGCATTGGAGTCAACATGGGCCAGCATCCCTGTGGAATGCTTTTGACACCTTGTAGAGTCCATGCCGCTACAAATTGAGGCTGTTCTGATGGCAAAAGGGGGTGCAACTCAATATTAGGAAGGTATGCCTAATGTTTTGTACACTGTATTTGTGTGCTGAACAGGGTCTGACGATGTGTATGGTGTGGCTCCTATACTACGGCTTCCTCAGTGCCTTTTCCCCGGCGTATGGCTGGGTCCTGGTGCTGCGTGGCCTGGTGGGCTTTGGCATCGGAGGAGCCCCACAGTCGTGAGTGATGTACTCTGTAAGGCACAGACAGCACACCTGACCTGGCTTCCTCAGTGCTGCACTCTGTTGCAATGCAGTGGAATAGAACACATCAGACTTTGTTGTACAACAATGTCACTGTCCAGATTTCCAAGATGACAGTCATGCATGAAAGATGATCATCATAAATTCATCCTAAATGCCACTTGTACAGTATCATCGAGATGCACTGTAAAATACTGTTGAAATTACTGATGTCTTTGAAATTACTGCGTTAGTCTCTCAGAGTTGAACATTTCCTAAATGTGGTTTATCTGCAGTGGCGCTGATCAGGCTGAATTAACAGAATACTGTTATTGTAGCACACCGGCATTCTCTCTTGGGACAGTTAGACCTGTGAAGATGGCAGAGCGACAATAACGCTCCAACCAGGAACAAAACAAGTGTATTTTTAGCCCTGAGTCTGAGTGATAGAACTGGTTCCAGACTCAATGATTCAGAACCAGAACATACTGCCTTTTGTTATGCTTTTGTTATTGAAATACTGACTGTTAAAGTAGTTTATTTTGTACTGAATGTAACTGATTCTGTTGAACCTGTTATTTTATAGCCAAGGTAACGGTTTAACTTTCTGACCAATACCGGGCCGCCCTATTACCTGTATAAGTTAATGTTGTATGCAATGCTTATTTGAATTCCCTATAGGTGTGCTCTGCATCAGGTAGATAAGTAATTTTTAGATTCATTAATGGACATTTTCTTTCAGGGTGACGTTGTACTCTGAGTTCCTCCCAAGGAAGTCAAGAGCCACCTGCATTATGCTGATTGAGGTACTTTCTGTCCACTGGCCTTTATCATATTTTTACTATTGCATTAGTTTTATCTCATAAGAAAATCAACCATTTCTGGAGTAGTGTTCCATCCTACAGTGACTAATCCTCTTGTCTTGGCGGCCATCAGATATTCTGGGCCCTTGGCGCTGTGTTTGAGGTCCTTCTGGCCATCTGGATCATGCCTACCATGGGCTGGCGCTGGCTGCTTGGCCTGTCTACTGCACCCCTGGTGGTCTTTGTTACCCTCTGTTTTGTAAGTAATACGACTGAACTGAGACCTGCAGTATGTATTGTTCTGAAACAATGGTTGACATGCATCACAAAGGTGGGTGATACTGAACACATAGGTAGTGGATGAAGTGTGTCATATGCATGTGTGTCTGATACAGTGGCTGCCGGAGAGTCCCCGCTTTGATGTGCTTTCGGGAAACAGGAAAAATGCTATGAAAACATTAAGACTCATCGCTGCCAACAACGGGAAGAGCATGCCAGTTGGGGAGCTTATTGACAATAAACATGTGAGACTGTATAATTGGTGTGGTGTGTGTGCATTCATGTGGTATGTGTTTATCTGAGACTATCTTAGCTTACAACATTTTGTGTATTCACGACAATTGCTTGGATGTGCTTTTTCCATATTTGTAAAGGAGGAGGATCGTGGTAGGATCCGAGATCTCTTAACTCCTCAATATCGCAGAACCACTCTTCTCCTGTGGTTTATATGGTAAGTCGATTTTGCTCTCATTTTCAGACCTCTCATTAGCTCACTATCTTGATTCAACCAGTGCACCCTGTCCTCCCAGTTCGGAGAACCTCAGAAACCCAGAGTTGGGCCCTTTGTGTGATCTGTGTTTGTATGGTTTCTGTCTCAGGTTTGTCAATGCCTTCTCCTACTATGGCCTGGTCCTCCTGACCACTGAGCTATTCCAGGCAGGAGACGCGTGTGGTGGTGAGTGACAGCTGGTCTGTATGTTACTCTAAAAGGTTGAAACTTTCCTTTTGATAGTCTTAAGCAGAAACTTCTGCACCGCCCTAACAATCAAACATGTTAAACAGTACTGCAAGCCTGCACTTCTAGTTGCTCTTTTAGAACCTTTGACTTAATGTTAAAAATTTTTTTACTAAAATTCCTCCAGTCATCACCCAAGGTGCCAAGACTGAGCCAAAGTGCGAGCTGGAATGCAAATACTTGACGTTAGATGACTACAAAGACCTACTCTGGACCACCTTAGCTGAATTTCCAGGTGAATAACATTTAAGGCATTTATGTACCGTAGATACTGTTCAGCAGTAATTCAACGGAACTGAATCTTGTGTTTTGTTGATGTGCTGAGTGGGACATTCTGTATGTGTGCGGCCATGTCAGTTGTTTTTATTTATCCTGTCTCTGCAGGACTTTTTTTGACATTGTTTGTGATCGATCGGATTGGCAGGAAGAAAAGCATGGCGATGTGTTTCCTGATGTTCTCTGTGTGCATTCTGCCCCTGTACGCTTGTGTTGGAAGGTAAGTGCTCTCTTCACCTTGGCCAGGTCTGAGATTGGAGAACCTTGGTAATCAAGGGCCTTCAATCTGAACTGGCCCAGTTAGTCACTGATTGGCTTCACCCATTCTCTTAACACTGTGTGGGGGTGACACAGCTGTGTTCATGCTCTGCTGATGTCTCATACTCTCGCTCTACAGGGTGGCTCTCACAGTCTTCATCTTCATCGCCAGAGCATTCATCACTGGGGGATTCCAAGTTGCTTATGTCTACACACCTGAGGTAAGCATTTTTTTTTTCTCCATTAGTAGATACAAAACCTCAACTTCTGCTGTTGAGGACTTTTTGTATAAATTATTATTTCTTTAGGTATACCCCACAGCCACCAGAGCTCTGGGCATCGGGACCTGCAGCGGGATGGCCAGGGTGGGTGCCCTCCTAACTCCCTTTGTGGCACAGGTAATCATAACCCTGTACTTAATTTGAATCTAAGACATCCTAACCCCTCAGAGGACTTACGGCCCTCTGGCTCCCCAGCACTGCTAACCTTCAGCTGTTTGGCCCTTACAGGTGCTGCTCAAGAAGTCTGTGTACCTGACACTGTCCGTGTACTGCATCTTCTGCCTGCTGGCCACAGGCGCGTCCATGCTGTTGCCCATTGAGACCACAGGCCTGGGCCTGCAGGAGTCTAGTCGAATCACAGCCGGTCAGGAGGAGATGAAAACAGGCCAGATGTCAAATAGCTCTGAGGATTCTCCAACGCACACCAGCTATGGATCATCCTATAACAGCTGATGAGGACAATAGGGTGGAGTAAGGCGTTGAGAGAAATGAAGAGGACTTGATTATTCCCACTTCAGTCTTTCCCACAGATGCCACACAAAAGCATAATAAAGATGGGACAGTTTACAAGCTGGAACGCCACGCAGACCTTATTAGATGGGAAGAGACCTCAAGTTACAGCACATTAGCAAGACTACACTTAAATTTGTACACCAGCATTTTTTTTTACAGGACTTTGATGACTGAGTATTTATAGATATTGTATAGCCTGAGAGACTGAGAACCCCTTCAAATTTCTCTATGAATTTTCCTATAATTATTTTGATAATTTAAGATAATATAGACATGCCAATAAAGAATACCTCCATATGCACCCATGTATTGCAATAATGAATATCTGTGCAGGTGCATAAGTTCTGAGATTTGTCTACTATTGTTCCTTGCTTGAATTTCCCACTTAAAATGTGCAAATAAGGGGGCCTGCCGAGTGGCGCAGCAGTCTAAGGCACTGCATCGCAGTGGTAGAGACGTTACTACAGGCCCGGGTTCATTCCCGGGCTGTGCCACAACCGGCCGTGGCCGGGAGTCCCATAGGATGGCGCACAATTGGCCCAGCGTCGTCCGGGTTAGGGGAGGGTTTGGCCTGGGCTTTACTTGGCTCATTGCACTCTAGCGACTCCTTGTGGTGGGCCGGGTGCCTGCAGGCTGACACCGGTCACCGGTTCAACAGTGTCTAAGGCACATTGGTGCGGCTGGCTTCCGGGTTAAGCTGGCGGGTGTTAAGGAGCGCGGTTAGGCATGTCATGTTTCGGCAGACGCACGACTCCACCTTCGCCTCTCCTGGGCCTGTTGGGAAGTTGCAGCGATGAGACCAGATCGAAAATTGGGGAGAAAAATACAAAATAAATATAAATTTGCAAATATTCACATCAATACATTTCATGATAAATAGCATTTGGTTTCTGGGTGGGGAGTGTGATAGGTTACTACAGACTAACGTAGCAGGCGTAAAAGAAACGCCTGAAACTAGATCCCTTACATACTGGTCTTGAGGAGAAATAAAAAAAACTGTTGGGAAGTTCTCTTCTGCACTGTTTAACTAATCCAGTAAATGTGGAGGAGGAGTTAAGCTGGAGTGTCGCCTTGTTAACGTCCAAAAGCGTTAACAAGGCACATTCCATTTCACCTGAAAACGTTGGGGAATGGGTGTAACCTTGGTTCTCGGAGTAGAGTAACGGGTCGACAAATGACCTATGGGAACTCCTCCCCCTTCACACGATGTGATTGATGCTTAATGTCAAAGATGTTTACATTCACGCCACACCCTTACTGTACCCACCAGTGGAGGCTGGTGGGAGGAGCTATAGGAGGACTGGCTCATTGTAATGGCTGGAATGGAATTAATGGAACAGTATCCAATTTGCGTTAGATACCGTTCCATTAATTCCATTCCAGCCATTATAATGAGCCCTTCCTCCTATAGCTCCTCCCACCAGCCTCCACTGGTACCCACGTGACCTGTCACTATAAAAGGGGGTGTGGTGTGACATACTGTCTTTCTATTTTTTACATACTGTCAATTACTTCACTCGAACCTCACGGAGGTGGAGGAACGACATGAAAGCTTGGCGACCCATTACTCTACTCAGAGAACCAAGGTTACATCCGTAATTCAACGTTCTCTTTTGTTTTCAGAACAGGTCTCCAAACGACCTATGGGAGACTCATCATTTAACTTAGTCCAGATGAGTCCCTGAGATGTCCTTTTATCCGCAACAGAATATAATTACCCAACAGAACACAACACAGAATTTCAACTGTTGTATACAACCGTATACACAAGCAAGCTGAAAGCTAGAACTTACAACATGAGGCTTCAATTGGGTGCAACAGCACAAAGAGGGAAGGCCTCTGTATAGAACATCCATCTCACTGATAGTTGGGAAGTATGTACAAGGTTCACGGTACACTCACTTATCTGGGTTGAGAGAGCATGCCGTGTCCAGAACCACAGACCCCACTGATGGTGTGGACATAACATTGAGTTCATAGTACCTCATGAAAGTCATGGGTGTTGCCCAACTTGCAGCAGCACAGATAGAGTCCAGGGAGGCCCCTCTGAACAGGGCCCATGAAGGGGCCATACCCCTGGTGGACGCGTATGATTTTGACACTGCATTGGTGTGCCAGTCTCTGTTTTGAGGTAGAGCGCTCTTTGGTGTTTTTCCCATAACACACAAATAGCTGTTCTATTTGATTAACAGTTCTTGTTGCAGCACGATATGCACTTTGCCCTAAACGGGCAAAGTGTATGCAACTCATGACTCTCCTGTGGGGAGGAGGGTGAAATGCCGCTATGATTTAAGGTCTGGTTAGCATGTGATGATGAAAGCACTTTATGTAAGAATGCTGGATTTGACCAAAACACTGCCTTGGATCCATCTTCTGCTAAAGTGAGGCATGAAGGATAGGTAGAAAGTGCATGCAATTCTCCAACACTCTTGGCTGAAACAATAGCCAATAGAAAGGCAGTCCTGACTGAGTGCTCACATAGCTCAAGTAAAGACAGGGGCTGAAATGGTGGGCTTATAAGTGATCGTAGGACAACATCTAACTCCCGTGAGGGTAATGAAGAAGCCTTGGGGGGCGCGTAGCCTGAGGGCACCTTTCATGAATTTCGATACTAAAGGGTGTGTCCCTGGTGATACACCCGCAATCTGGTTATGACCCATAGAGGTGGTTGCCATATACACTTTTAATGTAGATGGAGACTTTCCTGCGGCCATAAGCTCTTGGAGAAAAGTCAAAATGACAGAAATTGGACAGGAAGATGGCGATTCTGCATGGTCGACACACCACTTCCTGAACACATTCCACTTAAGACAGGCACGACACCATGGGTCAACAAGCGCCAACAACAGGTACAACAAGATAACTAGCTACAGTAGCTATCAATGGTGGAAAAAGTGCAAAATGATCATACTTGAGTGAAAGTAAAGATACCTTAATAGAAAATGACTGAAGTAAAAATGAAAGTCACCCAGTAAAATACTACTTGAGTAAAAGTCTAAAAGTATTTGGTTTTAAATATACTTAAGTATCAAAAGTAAATGTAATTGCTAAAATACACTTAAGTATCAAAAGTAAAAGTATAAATAATTTCAAATTCCTTGTATTAAGCAAACCAGACGGCCCCATATTTTCTAATACGGATAGCCAGTGGCACACTCCAACACTCAGACATAATTTACAAACTAAGCATGTGTAGGGATGACCAGGGATGTTCTCACCATTTTCCTGTCCTGCTAAGCATTCAAAATGTAACGAGTACTTTTGGGTGTCAGAGAAAATGTATGGAGTAAAAAGTAAAAGTAAAAGTAAAAGTAGTCAAAAATATTAATAGTAAAGTACATATATCCCCCAAAAAACGACTTAAGTAGTACTTTAAAGTATTTTTACTTTACTTTACACCACTGGTAGCTGGTAGCTACACTACATGACCAAAAGTATGTGGACACCTGCTCGTCGAACATCTCATTCCAAAATCATGAGCATTATTATGGAGTTGGTCCCCACTTTGCTGCTATAACAGCCTCCACTCTTCTGAGAAGGCTGCCCACTAGATGTTGGAACATTGCTGCGGGGACTTGCTTCCATTCAGCCATAAGAGCATTAGTGAGATCAGGCACTGATGTTGGGTGATTAGGCCTGGCTCGCAGTCAGCATTCCAATTCATCCTAAAAGTGTTCAATGGGGTTGAGGTCAGGACTCTGTGCAGGCCAGTCAAGTTCTTCTACACCGATCTCGACAAACCATTTCTGTATGGACCTCGCTTTGTGCACGGGGGCATTGTCATGCTGAAACAGGAAAGGGCCTTCCCCAAACTGTTGCCACAAAGTTGGAAGCACAGAATCGTCTAGAATGTCATTATATGCTGTAGCGATTTCCCTTCACTGGAACTAAGGGGCCTAGCCCGAACCATGAAAAACAGCCCCAGACCATTATTCCTCCTCCACCAAACTTAACAGTTGGCACTATGCATTGGGGGAGGTAGCGTTCTCCTGGCATACGCCAAATCCAGATTTGTCCGTTGGACTGCCAGATGGTGAAGCAGGATTAATCACTCCAGAGAATGCGTTTCCACTGCTCCAGAGTCCAATGGCGGCCAGCTTTACACCACTCCAGCCGACTCTTGGCATTGCGCATGGTGATCTTAGGCTTGTGTGCGGAAGAACAGTTATTGTGCTGAAGTTGCTTCCAGAGGCAGTTTGGAACTCGATAATGTGTTGCAACCGAGGACAGACGATTTTTACACGCTACGTGCTTCAGCACTCGGCAGTCCCATTCTGTGAGCTTGTGTGGCCTACCACTTAGTGGCTGAGCCGTTGTTGCTCCTAGACGTTTCCACTTCACAATAACAGCACTCACAGTTGACCGGGGCAGCTCTAGCAGGGCAGAATTTTGAAGAACTGACTTGTTGGAAAGGCGGCATCCTATGACAGTGCCAAATTCAAAGTCACTGAACTCTTCAGTGAGGCCATTCTACTGCCAATGTTTGTCTATGGAGATTGTATGGCTGTGTGCTCGATTTTATACACTTGTCAGCAACGGGTGTGACTGAAATAGCTGAATCCACTCATTTGAAGGGGTATCCACATGCATTTGTATGTATAGTGTATGTGTGGCTCTGAGGTAACGGGATAGACACGAAGCTAACTAGCTAATACACAAGGATGGAAATGCCCGACAAAAAGCAATAAAAGTTAGCTAGTATGGGCAGGCAATATAAGGAGAGAGAGGGGGAGTAGATTTGATCAAATTCAACTACTTCAACTAGTCATTGAAGAATTGTAATTCAGTAAGGACGTAATCCAAAGGGGATTAATAGCATTCTCATAATATAAAACACAAAAATGTGAGAGTGGGGGAAAAAACGACAGACCTATCTAGCCGCATCGCCATTTATAGTGACAGGTCACGTGGATACACTAAGGGTGTGGCGTGACTCACTGTAAACATATTTGTGATATTAAGCATCTCAATCACATCACGTGAAGGGGAAGGAGTTCCCATAGGTCGTTCGGCGACCAGTTACTAAAACGAAAGAGAACCGGAACATCCGGCTGATGGGGACTCGGCAGAGAATGGTCTGTGGTCTGTAGTCTCAAATTATAGTCTGGCCAGAATCACCTTGACGACATTTGCCCAATGACAGCACGCACGCAAATTGAAGCGGCCAATCATAGCATCCGGCAGTAAAACAGAAGCGCATGTAATTTCTGCTCCGCATGCAACCTGCGATGTTTTGTTTGTCTGCGTGATAAAGTGGCATATGACACAGATGGATGAAATGTTATACTTGCCTTTACAACTATAAATGACTGTTCTAAAGCGAATTGTGGAGGATGAGCGAGGCGGAAGCCGGTGATGGGTTTATCAGGATGGTGAAATCAGAGGCTAAAAATATTTAATGCGATCCTGAGCTTTTTCTCCTGTGCTGCACAGGGACAATTTCGGCGCATCTTGTCCCAGAGCAACGCGCCTTCCTTCTCCCATTCAAAGGACTCCCCTCTTCCGTAGCAGCAGCCCACAATGGCCCTGGTAACCCTGCAGCGCTCTCCCACCCCCAGCGCAGCATCCACCGCCAGTACCGCCACCACCAACGCGGGGGAGGTAAGTGGAAACTGTCTAGCGCGGGGGTTGTTCGCTATAGGCAGCGCCGTGGAGGAAACGCCGGGGATGCGCCCTATACCCACGTCCCTCATCCACTAGGCCCAGCATTGCAGAGAACGCGTTCAGCTGTCAATATAATTTTTGAAATTTAGTGACGTTTTATATAACACGGTAAAACAGTTTTGTATGGACATTGTTTAATAGTTGACTTAATGGAATCCATGGCGTTTAGAATGGTCAACTAGTCCAGCCCCGCGACGTTAGCTTGTAAACAAAATCTGAGCCGGGGATTAGTTACCAGAACAATGCATTCATTGCATGTGGCAGCATTTTATATCTGCCTTCAGCTTGTGTGGTTTTAAAGACAAATATGCGTTTATACAGTAGGTACTTTAATGAAAGCATTATCTCAGGCTTTTGCACATTTTGAAAGTAATTTGTTTAAATTCCTTTGCTTTGGCTTGCATATGGAATAGAGTGAGATTTATCAGAATTGTACAACTACGTACTTCCCTAGTAATATGCACCGTGACATCACTAGTGAGTCAGGGATGCTGCGGTTGGTACCCGCTCGTTTTAAGGGTTCAACTCACTGGCAAAATACTACGGTGGCAGTGGCAGGTGTGAGCTAATATTTCAAAACATATGAGATCATAGATAGTGACATGGTATGGCCAGTAGAGAGCGATGATACACTGTATTCAAAATTCAATGCAAGTGTATTGAACGTTTAAAACCTAAGTTCAGTTAAAACATACACAGTAGTACAGCACTCGGGCTTCTGATCTTCCTTATGAAGCATATGATGCATTTTTTTTAGACCATGACTTTCAAAGGCCAATGAACCCATCATGGCTTGAATTCCTATCGTGGCAGGCAATTGCGCACACACACATGGCTGACTGCTGCAGAAATGATGTCATACTAATTACATCATTAAAGATACTGCTGCAGAAATGATTTCATACTGATTTGGTGACCTACAGTATAATCCTGTGTATTCCTCTCTTCTATACCTGAAAGTATCTAGAGAATGTTGCTACAAGTGAGTGGATTAGTTTGAGCTGTTGGATTAAATAACCTCTTCGACATTACCACAGATCAAGCACAGAGTTTAGGCCTATGTCAGCGCTCTTTTGGGCACCATAACCTCTGTAACCTTTCATGGAACACAGAGAGAGCTTTATGCAGATCTCTTACTTAATGCAACAGACAACCACAATTACTCTGCCCTCTGTCCTCAGGGAGTTACAGCATTGCTCTAACTGTTACTGTACAGTAGGCCTTAGGACTTTATTTAGTTACTTGTTCACATAAATCAAAAACACCATAGTAATGGTCTATATACCCAAATCTTTAAAGAAAAGGATTCTCTGATGTCCCCCACCAGTCGAGGGGAATCCTCTGAGTCATTCTACTGTGACATTGTGATGAGGTATGATAGCAAGGTCAGTAAATGGAGCATATAAGGAAATAGCAGGTCATAATATGGTCATGTGCTGCTGTTGTGCAATCCATGCTATGACTGTACTGTCTGCACAGCCATGATGGAAGGGTTAATGTTTCTAGTGGGCCCTACAGTATATGTATCATTTATCTTTGTATTTGTCTTGCAGGATTTTGGAAGTGATGATGACCGGAGAGCAAATCAGAGGTAAGCCAGGGTTGGGAATTCCAGGGTTGAGTTACAGCAGGAGGCACACAGAAATGTCCTGGAGAAATAACATGGACGCTGGTGCTGAATTACACATATTGTAGGTCTATGTTGGTCTGGATGAAGAATTTATTATTCCTGCTTTAATGTTATATCCATTAAAAAGCATAGGCCCACACCTTGAATGCTTGCAAAAGGGATGGAACCATTGTAGTCCATTACAGTAGTACATCAGAGGACCCTTATACACCCAGATGTAGGCCTAGTTGTATCCACGGTAATAACAGTGATAATGGTTCAACCCTCAGTTACCATTCCCATCAACCACCATCATACATTCCATCAAACCAGAAACACTATCCAGCTGTATTGCAGAGCTGGGGGTGAGTAGCACAGATGGAATCCTCTGCTCGGCTACAGCAGGATGTGATGTCATGGTGTTGTGCCGGGGCTTGTTTTGTTCTAGATTAGACTGTCAGTGTTTCTTGGTAAGAGAGGTGATAAGACTTATTCAGCCATGTTGTTGTAGTAGGCCTAGTGTTGGCTGCACACTCAGTTCTCTAGTCCAACCTGGCTGGGCCAGGGGGGTTTCAGCCTTACACAACATATTCCCCCATCTGGTAGACAAGATACACACATTGACAAGGTAGAATACATTATTGGTGGTACCAGGCAGATAGAGGAATGTTTGAAAGTTGGGATGGAGTCAGATTTTGATGATGTAAAATGTTTCCTCAGAGCTGCTTCTGCCTGCTCTCTCAAATGATTGATATGAGTGGTTTTGCATCAAGCATCATTGCATGTAATTTTTTGGTTAAAAGGCTAAAGCAGGGGTTCGCAAAGTGGAGATGCTGCAGGGGATCCGCGGCCAGATCAAAAATAATCATAATTTATATTTCATATTTTTTTATATTATTAACAACAGATTAAATACATTTTGGCCAAGGGGTCTGGAATATGTTTAGAGTGTGCAGGATTGCAGAATATTAGCTTTTAAAGCTGCAACAACAAAACATCTCTGCCTATGATGATGTGTAGAATTGCAGGAAATTTGTTTGAAAACTGCAACATTTTCACTCTGATGTCAAGGGGCAGGCCTTTAAAATGTTCCTTCCCAGGACCCGAGACTTGGTTGGTCTGGGTGCTGAAGTCATAGTAAAACGCCTGGTATGCTCAAGTTGTGTTCTGATTATGAGGAGATCCCTGATGAATTTGCTATCACAAAAGGAGTCCCAGACCCCAAACAGTTTGAGAACCCCTGGGCTAAAGCAAAGACTTGAGTTGAAAGTGATAAAGAGTCACCAACACAGAGACACGCTGTAGGGCGGAATAGTCACACCATTGATTATTGAAAAGTCTGTTTTGGAAGCGGCCCTGCCCAATCCACATTAGACCTGCTCCTCTAGTCCTCTCTCAGTCCTGAGGACCAAGTGATGTCAGCGTGTCTGCCTCTCTGAGCAGGTTAGCGTTTTTCATCATGAATCTTGTTCTTTGTGTGGTCACTAGCTAGCACAGCCACAAAGTCATAAAATCTGATTTTAAACCTAACCTTAACCACATTGCTAACCCTAATGTCTAACCTTAATTTAAGACCAAAAAGCAAATTTTTGTTTTCATGAATATTTACAATATAGCCAATTTTCACTTTGCAGCTGGCATATCTAAGGGGAAATCGTTCAGGTCTGCCTGCAGGACAAGACTCATGACAATAAACGTCAACCTGCCCTCTCTGAAGGCCGTACTGTATCAGTCAGGCAGAAACCTGATCCACATTCTACCCTCCAGCAGCCCTTGGTTCTCACAGCACCATGCTTGCCTCAGCCAGAAACCCCAAGCACCAGACAGGGTTATGCAACAGCCAAAGAGAGCGCTCACCTCACGACTGGAAATGTATGTGTTCTTACGTGCAGGGACTTAGAAAGAGGAGATATCCTTGGTATGTGTGTTGTCTAATTAGCAGCATTCTTAAATTGCTTCACACTCTATGTTTGGAATGTTATGGCATTGGATGTGTTCTGTGAACGAGTTATGCTGCATACAAAGTTGAATATGCCACTCAGCGAGTAGTATGTTTCCTTTGGCTCAGTGTCTCATCAGAGATCCTCTGGGATCCTTCATGTCAAACAGCCTCAACTCTACAGACGCGTGCTTTGTAGACTGAAGCTGAGCCGAGCTAGATTCCCTGCCACCCAACCCAGCCAACGCAAAATATGCTTGAATAGAGCTTTTGTGAAGGAGTGTTGCGGAGGGAGTGCTGATTGCTCAAGCGCGCACTGTGAGGAGGAGATAAACAGCAGAGCTGAGCAGACACCGCAGAAGTCTGAAGACTAATCCTCACAACACAGACAGACAGGAGGGAGACACGGACACACCAGACCAAGACAGGATACATGATCAGACTAGTTGAACCCAATCTGCACCTTTTTACATGAAAAAAAGAAGAAACCCAGAGCAATCTTGGCTATTGTGCTTCAGAAGCCAAATGTAGTTTCTGAGGCACAAAATGGTTGTGAATGTAATTTTTGCACATGTATGTGCTATGAAGCTATAATTTGTGAGGAAGCCAGTAGACACCAGAGCGCTGCAGAGGGACTGAGGGAGAGATTCAGTAACCAGCATCAGGATGCATCTTGTGGTGGAGCCCTCGCAGGAAGCCATGCTTACCATGCTGCCTCACTTTGTGGAGAACGCAGTCCTGACTCAGAGAGAGATCTACCGAATGTAAGTCTTCAGCACACTCACTCCAGGATAGGCTATCCTAAGTGTATCTCTCACTGGCATTATTACCTTGATAAGTGGTAGCAAAGATGGTTTGAATGGTTGTAAGTGTATGTATTGTGCAACCTGAATTTTCTGTATTAGTCATTGGTATAAAAGTGTAACATACATTTTTATAGCTCTGTGCTTTTTTTCCAATGGTTGACAACTTATTTTTCTTAAGACATAAATACAAAGTGTACTTTAATCTTACATTTGATCGTACTTTTAGAATTGCTTACGGGTATTGTTTCAATGGCTGTTGAGATATCTTCTTGAGTGTCTACTGTTCCCAGCTGTCTTAGAGACATGGGGACAGACTCTGATTGTTCTCAGTAACAGTAGCTGGAGCCTATTCAATAATCTTTCACTCTTGTTTCTGGATTGTGATTATTGATACAGTACATCCCATTTCCAGTACATTGGACATTTTAAAGATGAGCTACATAATATTATGTATTATGTACCCAACTGATTTCCTGCGGTACCCTGCTCTCTGACATCTTGACCGAGGCCACCCTCATCATCCTCATCATCATCCTCATCTTTTCAGGACATTCTGAAAAGAAACTATACTACATAACAGTAACAGCTGAGCAGAAACAAAAGCTCTTGTGACGGACCCACTCTGTCATACCAGGCTTTGTGTGGTGGCAGAGCGAGAAGGCAGCCTGCCTGTTAACAAAGCCCAGCTCTGATCCTCCTGGTCAATGTTATGGCCAGCGAACACTTAGCTCTGTTTCTCCTGGACATTGCGGAGTCCAAGGAAAAACTAGCTTTAATCCGGGGGTGGTCAGTGCCTCCAGCACAGGGCAGTCAGGAGAGCCCATCCCTGGTCAGACAAGGGAGGGATGGTGCTGGCCGGAGAGAGGACATATTACAGTGGTGGGCACAATTTATCTGCCCCCCGAAAGGTCAGGGGACCTAATCATATTCTGTCAGTTCATTATCTGAGGGAAATTTTTCATCAAGGAAAGGTCTCTAAAGACTGCTGACATTCACTTACTGATGAGCTCAGAATGTCCTTTTCTGCTGGTCACTGAACCTTAGAAAAGCAATTAACAGCCTTCCCACCCTGTCTCTTTCTTCCACTGTAGCTCTGCTCCCTGATTCTTCCCTCTGTGTGTTTCTACATTTCCAGGCCATTTGTCTCTATTCCTGGCTCTAGAGAAAAACAGCCTCACTTATTGATAAGTGAGAAGAATACTGTGGGTTGGACAGTTAGTTGAACCACATCAACCTTAGGATAGTCTGCAGCAGAGCTTCCACATAACTTTCTATGGCTGTTTTACCTCACTGAAGTGAACTCACTGGTGTCTGTCAAAGACATGGAAAGTAAAGTAGGGAATGGCTGAGTAATTTTGCAACAACAGACATCCTGTTAATCTGTAGACCTACATAAATGGAACACAACAAAACGGGGAAGAGAGACCCAGCAGCTGTAGAATGGAGTGAATATTTCTAATGTCCTCTGGTCTAGAGTAGAACGCCGTAGAATTACAGTGTCCCACAGACACTGCTTAAGCTGTTTGAGCAGTACAATGATTTGCCCAAAATGCTATTTAGGCTTTCTGATGATCTGTTGCCTACTTACAGTACAATATGTACTCTTTCTTTCACTTCTCAAATGAATGCTTCCCCATTCTCTGTGTTACAATATCAAACCGCTAGATTCTGATGCTGTCTGAGACGTCTGTAAACCCTGTTTCCCTGTCTGTCTGTCTGTCTGTGTTTCTCTGTCTGTCTGTGTTTCTCTGTCTGTCTGTGTTTTCCTGTCTGTCTGTGTTTCTCTGTCTGTCTGTGTTTTCCTGTCTGTCTGTGTTTCAGCCTCAGCGAGAGCTTCTTCATGGTCAAAGGAGCTGCCCTCTTCCTGCAGCAGGGCACCAATGCACTGGGACCCAAGACACCCACTCACCACAAACTCGCAGGTAACTACAAACACTCTTGACACACACTGGGCCCATTGTTCAGTGAACTGTGACAATGCCACTGCTAAAGCTCTATTCAAAGAAAAATGTCATATTTGCTGAGGTTGGCTTGGCCTTTGTGGTGGAGCCTGTGTTTAACCCATGTTCACTGAATGATTACCTGGCCTTTGATTGAGTGCCCTCAAGGCAGGTATTGCTTTTAGCATTAAGGGGCTTTGTAGATCCGGTTTTCTAGATCCTGCTTGTTTGATTTTCCCATCAAGATATTACATAAGCTCACCAAGCTGGACTAACCGGCCCGCAGTGCAGCTGATGTTACCTGTAGGTCTATGTGTGTCTGATACAGCATGTCTCATAGCAGGGTTGTTGTTGAGATTTGTTAGATTGGGGGAGTGCTATCCCCTCATTTTGGAGTCCAAACACACCCCTCCCCTCTCCTCCCCTATGATACGCAGGTTAATCACAAGATCAATGTGAGGAGCACTCCGGATTCCTTGATTACATCACCAGACGTTCAAGTCAATGCTTAGCTCTGATAAACCTGGCATGCATTTGTCTGTGTGTTTACGCATATGACTGACTGTGTTTCTGCATGTTTGTATCAGTTTAGCTGAGGGTTGTACTTGAGATGAGATGTTCTGGTACACCATTCCCAATTATTTTCATGTCCTGTCATGAGATGTTCAGGCTTTGCTCTGCCATGTCTAACTTCAGTACAGACATGTGTTGCTGTGGTTGGAACTGGATCAACCTGCAGGTGGGTATAATCGGAGGTACTAATCAAAATAGGGGCCTGGATAGCAGAGCGGGACATAGTTATACAAGATATGGCTGATGGGTAGATAGGTTTGATTGATCAAGGCCACACCACCTGAAGCAGTAGAGTGGATTATGGTACAGTATGTGGTTCTCTTCTCTCCCAGGTGACTTACCTCAACACCTGCAGGTCATGATTAACACCCTCCGCTCTGAGGACCGCATTAAACTGGTGAGTCAAATCCCCATGAAGGACATCTCAAATGTACTTACCATTCCATTTTGATTGACACACAGATGCTGCACAGTGTAACCTATTCCTCCTGCTGTTCCCCAGGCTGTACGGTTAGAGAGTGGTTGGTCTGACCGTGTGCGGTACATGGTTGTGGTCTACACCAGCGGTCGCCAGGACACAGAGGAGAATATCCTGCTAGGGATGGACTTCACCGATAAGGACAGGTACCCACCCTTCTTTCCTCCTCAGCCAGCAGCAATACACTGCAATGTGGCTTGTTATCGTAGAGAAATAATGTATTCTGTTGTATTATTCCCAGTAAAAGCTGCTCTATCGGGATGGTGCTACCGCTATGGAGCGATACGAAGATCCATTTAGATGGAGATGGGTAAGTCATTTTAGTCATTTAGCAGACGCTCTTATCCAGAGCGACTTACAGTTAGTACATTCATCTTAAGATAGCTAGGTGGGACAACCACATATCACAGGCATAGAAAGTATATTTTTCCTCAAAAACATAGCTGTCAGTAGAGTTACCCCCCACATACGTATACATGAAACTTTCCACAAAGGTTTGGTATGTGTCACACACAGTACATCCCATAGACAATCAAGCTGCATTCACACCGTTAACCATGAAGTATCTATGATCGTTAAGCCCGTTCAAACGGCTCAGCCCTGTAAGTGACACAGAATGAGTTAATCTGCCCTCCAGTGGGCAGTACTGTCAACTACAGCCGTTTTCATCCCTCCATGTGGCAGATGAGTTCTTGCTGAGCTGTTAAAGTCATCCCTCTCTCTATGCTGGAGGAATGTTCCATTGGGTTGTTTCCTGAATAGTCCCCTGAGCCACTATAGCTCAGCCCCTGTTTGTGTTCCCAAACCACTCTCTCTCAATCTCCCTCTCTCTCTATCCATGAACCCAACCTTATCCTTCATCCTCCCATCTTCTCTCTCCTCAGAGGATTTAGTGTGACCACAGGAGGACGATCACATGTCTTCAAGCCTGTTTCTGTGCAGGCCATGTGGTAAGTGTCTGTTTTGTGTTTTTATTTGATACTGTGTTTGGGTACTTTAAAATATCATTGTCTGGTGACCTTATATTCCCTGAAACCATACAGTGACTCTGTCCATGGACTGTACTGTACCACCTTGAGCTTGTGGTGTTGGTTCCATCTTAATATCAACAATAAATGGAAGGAAAATCATAAACTACTAGTGGAATTATTCAGGCAGGTAACACTGTGTGATGCTAAAAAAACGCTGACAGTGTTGAGTCCATGCACCATCTACTGGTTAATAGACTGTTAGAATTTGTTTTCATTCTTAGCAGACTCATATTTTGCTCTGGATTTGACAAGCCGCCTTAATGTGCTCTGAATTTCCTGCCGTCATTAAAAATCAATGATCGAAAGACTTGACTCTCCATATCATTAGATCAGTGGAATAGCTGCTGAACAGTTGCTGTTCTGAACCTGTGCTATGACTGAGAGCTTCTTCTACCTGTGTCTTCAGGTCTGCCCTGCAGATCCTCCATAAGGCATGCGAAGTGTCTCGCAGGTACAACTACTTCCCAGGGGGCATGGCCCTCACCTGGATGGGCTACTATGAGAGCTGTATCACCTCAGAGCAGAGCTGCATCAACGAGTGGAACGCTATGACGGACCTGGAGACCACACGGCCTGACTCACCTGCCATGTTCGTTGACCGGTAAGACCTCAGTCATCCGATTTAGTGAAATTCAGTTCAATTATTTTAGGATGATTCATTTCCAGTTACAGTACCTTCTCAGATTGGTAATGTATGTCCATTATGGTATTAACCAGGCCTTTTTTTTGTTGAAATTAAATGTGATTAAATGTATTGGTTACATTCATAATTGTATTAATATATTGACGTATGTTGATCAGGCCAACGGAGAGCGAGAGAACCGAGTGTGCAATCAAAGCCAAACTACGCAGCATCATGATGTTCCGGGACTTGGAGAATGTCACTTCCAAGGAGGTACAGTGAGCTCCAAAAGTATTGGGACAGTGACAAATGTTTTGTTGTTTTGGCTCAGTATTCCAGCACTTTGGATTTGAAATTAAACAATGACTATGAAGTTAAAGTGCAGACTGTCAGCATTAATTTGAGGGTATTTTGATCCATATCGGGTGAATCGTTTAGAAATTACAGCACTTTTTGTACATAGTCCCCCCATTTTAGGGGACCAAAATTATTGGGACAACTTCACTTATGTTTATTAAAGTAGTCAAAGGTTTAGTATTTGGTCCCATATTCCTATAACACAATGATTACATCAAGCTTGTGACTCTACAAACTGTTGGATGCATTTGCTGTTTGTTTTGGTTGTGTTTCAGATTATTTTGTGCCCAATAGAAATGAATGGTAAATAATGTATTGTGTAATTTTGGAGTCACTTTTATTTTAAATAAGAATAGAATATGTTTCTAAACACTTCTATATTAATGTGGATGGTACCATGATTATGCATAATCCTGAATGAATCGTGAGTAATGATGAGTGAGAAAGTTAAGAGGCATAAATATCACACAGATGAGTTTGTTGTGACTAACTCTGGATGGTATAGTACAATGGTACAGCCTAATACCTGATATGCCCCCCCCCTCTCAGATCCGTGTGGAGCTGGAGCAGCATATGAGCTGTAACCTGAAGGAGTACAAAGAGTTCATCGACAACGAGATGCTGCTGATCCTGGGTCAGATGGATAAAGCCACACTCATCTTCGACCACCTCTACCTGGTGAAAACCTTTCCCTAACTTGACATCCTAATCGTCTCTTTCAAATCAAATCAAATGTTATTGGTCACATACACATTTTTTGCATATGTTTAGTGGCGGATGTACGCGTGTGTTCCTAGCACCAACATGCATTAGTACTAACAATTCACAACAATACACAACAAATCTAAAAGTAAATTAATGGGAATTAAGAAATATATAAATATTATGACGAGCAATGTCGGAGTGGCATGTCGGAGTGCATGACTAAATACAGTAGATAGAATACAGCATATGTTATTGCGGATGTAGCTGAAGCTACAATGCAGTAGTATCTTGGCCTTCCTATGACATCGGATGACACCGCCCCTGGTGATGCGTTGGGCAGACCACACCACCCTCTGGAGAGCCCTGCGGTTGCGGATGGTGCAGTTGCCGTACCAGGCGGTGATACAGCCCGACAGGATGCTCTCAATTGTGCATCTGTAAAAGTTTCCGAGGGTCTTAGGGGCCAAGCCGAATTTCTTCAGCCTCCTGAGGTTGAAGAGGCGCTGTTGCACCTTCTTCACCACACTGTCTGTGTGGGTGGACCATTTCAGATTGTCAGTGATATGTACGCCAAGGAACTTGAAGCTTTCCACCTTCTCCACTGTGGTCCCGTTGATGTGGATAGGGGGGTGCTCCCTCTGCTGTTTGCTGAAGTCCACGATCAGCTCCTTCATTTTGTTGATGTTGAGGGAGAGGTTACTTTCCTGACACCACACTCCGAGAGCCCTCACCTCCTCCCTGTAGGCTGTCTCGTCATTGTTGGTAATCAGGCCTACTACTGTTGTGTCGTCTGGAAACTTGATGATTGAGTTGGAGGCGTGCTTGCCCACGCAGTCATGGGTGAACAGGGAGTACAGGAGGGGGCTGAGCACGCATCCTTGTGGGGGCCCCTGTGTTGAGGATCAGTGAAGTGAAGGTGTTGTTTCCTACCTTCACCACCTCTGGGTGGCCCGTCAGGAAGTGCAAGACCCAGTTGCACAGGGCGGGGTTCAGACCCAGGGCCCCGAGCTTAATGAGAGCTTGGAGGGTACTATGGTGTTGAATGCTAAGCTATAGTCAATGAACAGCTTCTTACATAGATTCCTCTGCCAGATGGCTTGTGTTCCTAGCAACAATGAGTAGATCTAACAATTCACAACAATAAACAATCTAAAGTAAATTAAAGGAATTAAGAAATATATAAATATTAGGACGAGCAATGTCGGAGTGGCATTGACGAAATACAGTAGAATAGAATACAGTATATACAGTGGGGAAAAAAAGTATTTAGTCAGCCACCAATTGTGCAAGTTCTCCCAATTAAAAAGATGAGAGAGGCCTGTAATTTACATCATAGGTACATGTCAACTATGACAGACAAATCGAGGAAAAAAAATCCAGAAAATCACATTGTAGGATTTTTAATGAATTTATTTGCAAATTATGGTGGAAAATAAGTATTTGGTCACCTACAAACAAGCAAGATTTCTGGCTCTCACAGACCTTTAACTTCTTCTTTAAGAGACTCCTCTGTCCTCCACTCGTTACCTGTATTAATGGCACCTGTTTGAACTTGTTATCAGTATAAAAGACACCTGTCCACAACCTCAAACAGTCACACTCCAAACTCCACTATGGCCAAGACCAAAGAGCTGTTAAAGGACACCAGAAACAAAATTGTAGACCTGCACCAGGCTGGGAAGACTGAATCTGCAATAGGTAAGCAGCTTGGTTTGAAGAAATCAACTGTGGGAGCAATTATTAGGAAATGGAAGACATACAAGACCACTGATAATCTCCCTCGATCTGGGGCTCCACGCAAGATCTCACCCCGTGGAGTCAAAATGATCACAAGAACGGTGAGCAAAAATCCCACAACCACACGGGGGGACCTAGTGAATGACCTGCAGAGAGCTGGGACCAAAGTAACAAAGCCTACCATCAGTAACACACTACACCGCCAGGGACACAAATCCTGCAGTGCCAGACGTGTCCCCCTGCTTAAGCCAGTACATGTCCAGGCCCGTCTGAAGTTTGCTTTTGGATGATCCAGAAGAGGATTGGGAGAATGTCATATGGTCAGATGAAACCAAAATATAACTTTTTGGTAAAAACTCAACTCGTTGTGTTTGGAGGACAAAGAATGCTGAGTTGCATCCAAAGAACACCATACCTACTGTGAAGCATGGGGTTGGAAACATCATGCTTTGGGGCTGTTTTTCTGCAAAGGGACCAGGACGACTGATCCGTGTAAAGGAAAAAATGAATGGGGCCATGTATCGTGAGATTTTGAGTGAAAACCTCCTTCCATCAGCAAGGGCATTGAAGATGAAACGTGGCTGGGTCTTTCAGCATGACAATGATCCCAAACACACCGCCCGGGCAACGAAGGAGTGGCTTCGTAAGAAGCATTTCAAGGTCCTGGAGTGGCCTAGCCAGTCTCCAGATCTCAACCCCATAGAAAATCTTTGGAGGGAGTTGAAAGTCTGTGTTGCCCAGCGACAGCCCCAAAACATCACTGCTCTAGAGGAGATCTGCATGGAGGAATGGGCCAAAATACCAGCAACAGTGTGTGAAAACCTTGTGAAGACTTACAGAAAACGTTTGACCTGTGTCATTGCCAACAAAGGGTATATAGCAAAGTATTAAGAAACTTTTGTTATTGACCAAATACTTATTTTCCACCATAATTTGGAAATTAAAAATCCTACAATGTGATTTTCTGGATTTTTTTTTCTAATTTTGTCTGTCATAGTTGACATGTACCTATGATGAAAATTACAGGCCTCTCTCATCTTTTTAAGTGGGAGAACTTGCACAATTGGTGGCTGACTAAATACTTTTTTTCCCCACTGTACATATGTATGTAAACATTATTAAAGTGACCAGTGATTCCATGTCTATGTATATAGGGCAGCAGGGTTGAGTAACCGGGTGGTAGCTGGGTAGTGATGGCTATTTAACAGTATGATGGCCTTGAGATAGAAGCTGTTTTTCAGTCTCTCGGTCCCAGCTTTGATGCACCTGTACTGACCTCGCCTTCTGGATGATAGCGGGGAGAACAGGCCGTGGCTCGGGTGGTTGATGTCCTTGATGATCTTTTTGGCCTTCCTGTGACATCAGATGACACCGCCCCTGGTGATGCGTTGGGCAGACCACACCACCCTCTGGAGAGCCCTGCGGTTGCGGACGGTTTAGTTGCCGTACCAGGCGGTGATACAGCCCGACAGGATGCTCTCAATTGTGCATCTGTAAAAGTTTCAGAGGGTCTTAGGGGCCAAGCCGAATTTCTTCAGCCTCCTGAGGTTGAAGAGGCGCTGTTGCACCTTCTTCACCACACTCTCTGTGTGGGTGGACCATTTCAGATTGTCAGTGATATGTACGCCAAGGAACTTGAAGCTTTCCACCTTCTCCACTGTGGTCTCGTTGATGTGGATAGGGGGGTGCTCCCTCTGCTGTTTCCTGAAGTCCACGATCAGCTCCTTCATTTTGTTGATGTTGAGGGAGAGGTTACTTTCCTGACACCACACTCCGAGAGCCCTCACCTCCTCCCTGTAGGCTGTCTCGTCATTGTTGGTAATCAGGCCTACTACTGTTGTGTCGTCTGGAAACTTGATGATTGAGTTGGAGGCGTGCTTGCCCACGCAGTCATGGGTGAACAGGGAGTACAGGAGGGGGCTGAGCACGCATCCTTGTGGGGGCCCCTGTGTTGAGGATCAGTGAAGTGAAGGTGTTGTTTCCTACCTTCACCACCTCTGGGTGGCCCGTCAGGAAGTGCAAGACCCAGTTGCACAGGGCGGGGTTCAGACCCAGGGCCCCGAGCTTAATGATGAGCTTGGAGGGTACTATGGTGTTGAATGCTAAGCTATAGTCAATGAACAGCATTCTTACATAGGTATTCCTCTTGTCCAGATGGGATTGTGCAGTGTGATGGCGATTGCGTCGTCTGTGCATCTATTAGGGCGGTAAGCAAATTGAAGTGGATCTAGGGTTTTCAGGTAAGGTAGAGGTGATATGATCCTTAACCAGCCTCTCAAAGCACTTCATGATGACAGAAGTGAGTGCTACGGGGCGATAGTCATTTAGTTCAGTTACCTTTGCTTTCTTGGGTTCAGGAACAATGGTGGACATCTTGAAGCAAGTGGGGATAGGGAGAGATTGAATATGTCCATAAACACTCCAGCCAGCTGGTCTGTGCATGCTCTGAGGAGGCGGCTAGGGATGCCGTCTGGGACAGCAGCCTTGCGATGGTTCACGTCGGCCACGGAGAACGAGAGCCCACAGTCCTTGGGAGCGGGCCTCGTCGGGTGCACTGTGTTATCCTCAAAGCGGGCGAAGAAGGTGTTTTAGCTTGTCCGGGAGCAAGACGTCGGTGTCCGCGACGTGGCTGGTTTTCCGTTTGTAATCCGTGATTGTCTGTAGACCCTGCCACATACTTTTGTATCCCTAACACAGGGTGGCAGGTAGCCTAGCGGTTAAGAGCGTTGGGCCAGTAACCGAAAGGTCGCTGGTTCGAATTCCGAGCCGACTAGGTGAACAATCTGCTTATGTGCCCTTGAGCAAGGCACTTAACCCTAGTTGCTCTGGATAAGAGCGTCTGCTAAATGACTCAAATGTAAAATGTAAACTAACTTGTAACTACAGTCCTCCTCGCTAACCTCTGAACTCCTGCCACAACTCTCACTGTAACCCTGGTGTAGTTACAGTTAGTTTGACCCTTGTAACCTGACTAAGTTGTCTTGATGCGCATTCCTTTGTTTTGTCTTTTCTAGGGCTCTGAGTGGAATGCCTCCAATCTAGAGGAACTACGGGATTGTGGGTGAGTGGGTGTCTCACAAACACTAAAGCAATGTCTAGAACTGCTCCCTAACCACCAGCCCTGGCTCACAAACATAGTGTTGTATTATTCTGTATTCCCATGCCAAGGACAATACATGTATATCAGGTAATTGTTCCATCTCTCCTTCAAAAGGCCTACCAATACATAAAGGTATGTTGTTAGAACATTGATAGCACCACTGAACTAAATACTGACATGTTTTTTCTTCTTGATGCAGTGTGGGCTACATCCTCAACGTGACCAGGGAGATAGACAACTTCTTCCCGGGCACATTCACCTACCACAACATCCGGGTGTACGACGAGGAGGCCACAGACCTGCTGGCTCACTGGAACGAGACCTACAACTTCATCGTCAGAGCCAAGTGAGTGCCTACTTCTCAAACAAACTAAACCTTGTGCATGTGAAGCGTTTACCACAGAACATCAATAAAGATAATGTAGGCTATTAAATAGTGGGTAGTGTCTCGGTCTAAGTTATTCTATAAACTAAAACTATGTGGACAGCCTAGTAACTATGGATAAGACTTCTTCTAAATGAACAGGCTTTCAATGTAAAACACATTATTGCCCCACAGGAAGAACCACTCTAAGTGTCTGGTCCACTGTAAGATGGGTGTGAGCCGGTCAGCCTCCACGGTCATAGCGTATGCCATGAAGGAGTATGGCTGGACTCTGGAGAAGGCCTACAACTTTGTGAAGCAGAAGAGGAGCATCACTCGGCCCAACGCTGGCTTCATGAGGCAGCTGGCCGAGTACGAGGGCATCCTGGATGCTAGGTGAGTCAGTCAGGGTATACTGGGGTACTCTACAGGTATACCGTAAAACTTAGATTAATAGCCAGGGCATTTGTTTGCTTCAATCACACACAACCGGTGCTTATTTGAGCCAGGCGTGTATTTCCTTAATGCACACAGCTTTTGCTCAATACAATTTTGAAAAGACTACCACACTGTTTGTGACCAGTATAAACATTAGAATAACAAATCCATCACAGACTTGCAAAGACTAGGCTGCCTATCATACACCCCGATTTCGTGCTTCGGCACCATTCTCACTCGTTGCGCCTAGTTGCGCCTTGTATGTTGAGCCGACCATGTCAAACCACACTGCTGTCTCATCCATGGCAATGATGTTGCTCTCCTTTTATCTTATTTCGCATAATCTTTACGGTACTGAAGTTCACTCATAAACAGTTGACTTAGACCCTGCGTTTATTTGAAATAGCCGTTTATTTGCTGAAATGTGTGCAGATGCCCGGCTATTAAAAGGGACAGACGGCTATTTGCTAAGTTTTACTGTATATAGAAAGTGTTCACACCCCTTGACTTTTTCAACATTTTGTTGTGTTACAGGCTGAATTTGAAATTGATTTAATTGAGATTGTGTGCCACACAAGGGACTGCGGTTGAAAATTAGCCGGCTGGCTAAAACCGGCACTTTTACTGAAACGTTGATTAATGTGCACTGTCCCTGTAAAAAATAAACTCAAACTCAAACTCAAATAATGACAAAGTTGAATTATATTTGTAGACATTTTTACAAATTAATAAAACAAATGAAAAGATGAGATGTCTTGAGTCAATAAGTATTCAACCCCTTTGTTATGGCAAGCCTAAATAAGTTCAGGAGTAACAATGTGCTTAACAAGTCACATAAAGTTGCATGGACTCAGTGTGCAATAATAGTGTTTAACTTGATTTTTGAATGACTACCTCATCTCTGTACACCACACGTACAATTATCTGTAAGGTCCCTCGGTTGAGCAGTGAATTTCAAACACAGATTCAACCACAAAGACCAGGGAGGTTTTCCAATGCCTCGCAAAGAAGGGCACCTATTGGTAGATGGGTAAAAAAAAAAAAAAAAGCAGACATTGAATATCCCTTTGAGCATGGTGAGTTTATTCATTACACTTTGGATGGTGTATCAACACACCCAGTCACTACAAAGATAAAGGCGTCCTTCCTAACTCAGTTGCCGGAGAGGAAGGAAACCGCTCAGGGATTTCACCATGAGGCCAATGGTGACTTTAAAACAGTTACATAGTAAAGTGAGGATGGATCAACAACATTGTAGGGTTATGATCCACTGCACCACTCGGGAGACAATAACACATATGGAATCATGTAGTAAGTGTTAAACAAATCAAAATGTATTCTATATTTGAGATTCTTCAAATAGCCACCCTTTGCCTTGATGATAGCTTTGCACACTCTTGGCATTCTCTCAACCAGCTTCATGAGGTAGTCACCTGGAATGCATTTGAGCCAAGCAGTTGTGTTGTGGCAAGGTTTTATTTTTTATTTTATTTCACCTTTATTTAACCAGGTAAGCCAGTTGAGAACAAGTTCTCATTTACAACTGCGACCTGGCCAAGATAAAGCAAAGCAGTGCGATAAAAACAACAACACAGAGTTACATATGGGGTAAAAAAACAAAGTCAAAAAATACAACAGAAAATATATATACAGTGTGTGCAAATGTAGCAAGTTATGGAGGTAAGGCAATAAATAGGCTATAGTGCAAAATAATTACAATTAGTATTAACACTGGAATGCTAGATGTGCAAGAGATTATGTGCAAATAGAGATACTGGGGTGCAAAAGAGCAAAATAAATAACAATATAGGGATGAGGTAGTTGGGTGGGCTAATTTCAGATGGGCTGTGTACAGGAGCAGTGATTGGTAAGGTGCTCTGACAACTGATGCTTAAAGTTAGTGAGGGAGATTTTTGCAATTCGTTCCAGTCATTGGCAGCAGAGAACTGGAAGGAATGGCGGCCAAAGGAGGTGTTGGCTTTGGGGATGACCAGTGAGATATACCTGCTGGAGCGCAGACTACGGTTGGGTGCTGCTATGGTGACCAATGAGCTAAGATAAGGCGGGGATTTGCCTAGCAGTGATTTATAGATGGCCTGGAGCTAGTGGGTTTGACGACGAACGTAGTGAGGACCAGCCAACAAGAGCGTACAGGTCACAGTGGTGGGTAGTGTATGGGGCTTTGGAGACAAAACGGATGGCACTGTGATAGACTACATCCAATTTGCTGAGTAGAGTGTTGGAGGCTATTTTGTAAATGACATCGCCGAAGTCAATGATCGGTAGGATAGTCAGTTTTACGAGGGCATGTTTGGCAGCATGAGTGAAGGAGGCTTTGTTGCGAAATAGGAAGCCGATTCTAGATTTAACTTTGGATTGGAGATTCTTAATGTGAGTCTGGAAGGAGAGTTTACAGTCTAACCAGACACCTAGGTATTTGAGGTAGGGGTGGTATACAGAATATAGCCCTATTTGGTAAAGACCAAGTCCAGTCCATATTATGGCAAGAACAGCTCAAATAAGCAAAGAGAAACGACAGTCCATCATTACTTTAAGACATGAAGGTCAGTCAATACTGAACATTTCAAGAGCTTTGAAAGTTTCTTCAAGTGCAGTCGCAAAAACCATCAAGCGCTATGATGAAACTGGCTCTCATGAGGAACTCCACAGGAATGGAAGACCCAGAGTTACCTCTGTTGCGAGAGGATGTTACTATGAGTTGACAGCTCGGAATTGCAGCCAAATAAATGCTCCAGTTAAGTAACACAATGTCAACATAACTGTTCGAGAGGGACTGTGTGAAACAGGCCTTCATGGTCGAATTACTGCAAAGATACACTAACCAAACACGCAATAATGAGTAGGGTGCTTGGGCAGAACCAGGTAATGGACAATTCGACCGGTATAATGTGTCCTTGACTAGAGCCAAATAGAGATTTTTTTCAAACCGCTGGTGTCTTTGAATGCAAGTTGGGAACTTCCCACCGTAAAAACAGGAGGGTATGTTAATGGCTTGGTGCTCAGGGGAATGGTCCGATTATTTGAATTCAAGGCAAATTACATAGGTACCACCAAGCATTGCAGCACCCAATCCCTCACGGTTTGGGCTAGTGGACTATCATTGTTTTCAACAGGGCAATGACCCTACACACCTCCAGGCTGTGTAAGGGCTATTTGACCAAGAAGGAGAGTGATGGAGTGCTGCATCAGATGACCTGGCCTCCACAATCCCCGACCTCAACCCAATTGAGATGGTTTGGGATGAGTCGGACAGCAGAGTGAAGGAAAAGCAGCCAACAAGTGCTCAGCATATGTGGGAACTCCGTCAAGACTGTTGGAAAAGCATTCCAGGTGAAGCTGGTTGAGAGAATGCCAAGAGTGTGCAAAGCTGTCATCAAGGCAAAGGGTGGCTATTTGAAGAATCTCAAATATAAAATATATTTTGATTTGTTTAACACTTTTTGGGTTACTACATGATTCCATATGTGTTATTTCATAGTTTTGATGTCTTCACTATTATTGTACAATGTAAAAAATAGTAAAAATGAAGAAAAACCCTTGAATGAGTAGGTGTGTCCAAACTTCAGTACATTTGAAAAAGATTCTAAAAACATGTTTTCACTTTGTCATTATGAGGTATTGTGTGTAAATGTGTGCGAAAGAAAATATATTTAATCAATTTTAAATTCAGATTGTAACACAACAAAATGTGGAAGAAGTCAAGGGGTATGAATACTTTTTCTCACGAGGAGTATCTGCCATTCATTTACATTCTCACTCCACTGCAGTCATGAGGTATTCAACCGAATTATGCTCAACCTAACTCGCTGCCTAGAGGTCAGATCAAATGTGACCGTTAAATTACCACATTAGCTGTCTAGACGGGGTCAGCGAAGGTAAGCAGTCTGTAAGGTTATTAGTGTATTGCTAGAGAGACTACAGACTGCAGATCATGGGGACTGAATGATCCTTCTAAAAACGTTATTAGTGGCTAAGCATCACATTATGTCTATGATGTCTGTCTGTATACTGTACAATGCATATGCTCTGTACCTATGGTCATTCTAACCCCGTCCCCCAGTAAGCAGCGCCACAACAAGCTGTGGAGGCCCGAGGGAGGGGAGGACAACCCTGATGAGGCGTCTGGCCAGTGTTGTGGTGGAGAGGAGACCCCCGTGGAGGGTGAGGCCTGGGGGGGAGAGGGCTGCGGCGCCTCCCCCTGCCGGGGCTTGGGCCTGGAGGTGGAGCCCTTGGACCCCCTCAACTACAACTACTACTTCAGACGGCTGTCGGACACGGCCCTAGACAGCGAGCCCTCCACCCCAGTGCGCGGTCCTCCCCTGCTGGGCATGGAGAGGGTGTTTATTGAGATCGAGGATGTGGAGAGGGACGCCCTTCTGGAGGACGAGGGCTTCCCCATGGCCCAGCTGGCTCTGCCCGGGGAGGGCACCGCTGCCCAGACCTGTGGGGGCCGCCTGGAGCCCTTGGAGGACATGAGGCTGAGGCTAGAGTTCAGCACGGTGGAGGAGGAGGATGAGGAGGAGGCACAGAAGGAGGAGGCAGAGATGGCCGCCCTGGCTTGGACTCCTGCAGGAGGAGAGGGAGCGAGGGAGGACGAAGAGAGGAAGGAGCAGGTCAACATTAACCGCTTTAACAACGAGAACGCCAACAACAGTAACCGCCTGGCTGCCAAGCGCAGCTGCCCCGCTACCTTCGACGTGAGTGGGGCAGTCAATAGCTACCTGTATCTATAAAAAATGATGATGTAAAAGTTGGGTTAATTTTGACTTGAACTGGCTTGGGGTTAGGGTGAAGATATTAAGCTTATATGAGGGTAATTGTAATGCCTTGTAATGCCTAATGTTTCTGTCATTGTTTGATCCCATCCATTTCAGGGTTCATCATCTTATAGGTGTCATAATATCTGTGTTTTATTAGCTTCGAGACCTTAATCAGGTCCCTCTGCCTGACCATGCATTCCCTCCCTCGCTCTCTTTCTTCTGTTTAGGACAGTGCTAGCACAGGAAACCCTTACAAAGTGAAGCCCTCCTACCAGTCGTGTAAAGACTGCCTGCGTCTGCCACCAGGGCGGCGCTGTGAGCGCCCGGCAGGAGGCCGCACCCACCGCCTTAACCCCACACGCCACTGCGGGGTGGTCCCCACCATCTCCATAGACCCCCCTGACACCCACTTCACCAACACCCCTGCCCCCCACTCCCCTTGCACCCTCCCTGCCACCATCGCCCGCCTGGAGGCCTACCGCCAGCGGCTGGTGTCGCCCATGAGCTGCGAGGAGCTGCCTCGAGACAGACACTGCTCCCTGGAGACAGAGGACATGGACGAGCTGCAGGAGGATGAGGAGGAGGAGGAGGAAGAGCAGGAGCCAAGGCCAGGCAGGGAGGCTGGGACCGGAGCCATCACGGAGCTCACATTTATGAAGCTCAGCCTGGAGGGGGAGAGGCCAGTGGGTCAGCCTCCTAGTGAGGGTGTGGAGTTGCAGCCTGCTGGGGTGGAGTTGGAGCCTCCTGGTGGTGATGGAGTGGAGCTACAGAGGACAGGGCTGGAGCTGGGGATGGGGCTGGTGAGGCAGAGAGCAGAGCAGCTGGAGAGGCTCTCAGGCCTGGCCATGGAGGGTCTACTCTCAGGGGCTGGGCTGGCTGAGCAGATGGACCTGAACTTGGCGGGGGAGGAAATGGAGGTGGAGGGGGGTGTAGGGGTGCATTCTGAAATCCCCATTCCATCTACCAGCTGCACAGTCACAGCCGCAGACCCCCAGATAAACACCACTCCGGTGTCGTACCCCCAGGGGTCCGCCCAGACCTGGACCCCCGTGTCCTCCCCCCACGGCTCCACCCTCACCCGGAGCTCCAGCAGCGACAGCCTCCACAGCAACCGCGGGGGACACCAAGGCCTGGTCCAGCAGCGCACCCAGGAGATAGAGACCCGCATGAGGCTCGCCGGCCTGACTGTCCCCTCCCTACTCAAACGCTCCAGCTCCCTGGCCAAGCTGGGAGGCCTCACCTTCTCTACCGAGGACCTCTCAGACCTGGCTGACGATCAGGCCCAGCTGTTCTCCACCGAGCCCCCAGCCTGCCCCTCCACACCAGGGGGAGGGGAGCCCTCTGAGCCCCCATCCACCCCCAGGAGCTGACTGTGTTTCCAGTGTGTCTACTCCAGACAGGTTCCTTGTGTCTAAACCACCAGACAGTGTCAGAGCAGAGGGAGCAGGTTTGAAGGAGCAGGGAGAGGTTTGCCAGGTTTGCTAGAGGTGTCCTGGAGACATGCCTGGAGATTCCTTTCGGTCTCTCGAGACATATTAGCAGCACATTAGCTGGAAGAAAGAAAAATAACAAAATAATTCCTATTATACATACATGTACTCTGTTTATCAATCCAAATAAGAGATACTATTTGAGAAGGTACTCTCAAAGGAGCTCCAATGAATGTGTGCAACTGAGCCTCTGTTTTGATTCATTCAACATCTCCTCATGTGCCCCTGAACAGACTGACTGTTGAATATTGAATCCTCACTCACTGTATTTTCCTCTCCCGTTTTTGTGTCGCAGAATAACAACTTCATCATATGAGCATCTTCCTGCCTCTTCAAGCAAAGCAGTGTACCTCAGTCGGAACACAAGCATCTCAATAATATTTTGGTCCATGACTGTTTTTGTTGACTTGCCTCTCTTCTCAATGACTGGCTCAACCAGCCCTCCTCCATTGAGGTACTTCATGGAATAATGTCTTGAAAAGTGGTCAATATTCTATTCATGACAGTCTAGTGTTACACAACGTGTCCTCGTCGTCGCGGCTACAGCCTCTTGAGCATGCTAGGGATGATGGGAAGAAATATTGACGAAATCCTTTTTTCCATTCTCTCCTGGATTCCTTTGTTTCTTTTGAGGCAGTTTAGAGGGAGCATATAAACGTTGGATTTGTTTCACCACTGCTGTGCAATGGCAATAGGTACAGTAGTTCAATGATCTGATTGAGAACTCATCATCATCCTTGTATGGTTTGAGAGGATTTGTGGGCAACTGAAAGAGTTGAAATTGTTTTGGGATTGGATTTCACAACGCTGTATTACTCTACTTTACCACTGATAGTCCACTGTCCTCTCCTCTCCAGACCAGCTGTAGTCAAAGCCATACTATGTCTGACACCATGCTTTTCTTCCTCCATCTCTGCATCAATCTCAAAAGGCAATCACATACAGTAGGTTCAAGTTTTTTCTGACAACATTGATCTTTTATTTATTCTCCTCCCCTCCCTATTCACACACGTTTGTGCTACTGCACAGTAGATGTAGGAGCTTTGTGAAACCGGCTTTAATCAACTGTCATTGTGCCAGAGCAACATTGGACTACCTTTATTTGTACTGTAAAAAAAAAAAACGGAATCGTTGCCATACATTGAAGCAGAACTACTGTCACATATTTGTTTGAACAGCTTGTTTTTGCTTTCCCAGACCTGGGAGTTCCAAATGTGACCCAGCAGTTTTTGTGATGTTAGCAGCACAGACTAATGGGCTTTAGCTGGATATGTTTGGGGCACAAGAAAGAACCAGCTTTTCTCAGCCTTTTGCATTAGCAGAGCAACGCTAACAGCCAAACAAGGAAGTTAGGACAAAAACAAGCTGAGGCATTGGAAGGAACAGACTATTATCTACCGTCATAGTTGCTCAGAAAGGGGTAACAATTCTACTTTCTGTTGCAGTCAGTCGAATATCACTAGCTAGCTACTAGGATCTTTGTTCGTTTAGAGCAGACATGAGAAACTTCCAAAGCTGTCTGTTAAGCAGTAGTACAGTACAACAGGCCAAGTCTGACTGGGGGCACTGCCATCCCGCATGCTGTTTGACCAATGTTCCCTTAACTTATCCTTTATTTATCAGTTAGTTAGAGTATTTATTTTGTACATGTTCTAATTTGATAAATTGGCACATATTATGCAGGTAGTTGAGTTATTTGTGGCCAGCCTAAACTTACTTTGCCACAAGGGTATTATTATGCTTTGGAAGATGTTTGGCTGTTTATAACTACTGTATTTGGCATGTTGAGTGTGCAAGGATAAAATGTGTGATGATTGGCAGTGTGTGTGCAGGCGCTTGCATATATCAGGAGTAAATTACCATGGTTGTAATATGAGTGCTATGGGAAGATGGAAAAGCTGGCTGTGTATGAGTGCAAAACAACTGTTACTCTTTTAAAGTAGGGGATCAATCAACATTTTTCAATTGAACGGTACATATTGCCACTGATGCAACGGCCTATACTATATGTAGACAACATTGCGCTTGATTTGTGATAACTGAACAAAGAAAATGAAAATCGCTCTTAAAGGGATAGTTCACCCAAATTACAAAATTACATATTGGTTTCCTTACCCTGTAAGCAGTATATGGACAAGGTATGGCAAGGTTATCTCCTGAGTGACGCAGTGGTCTAAGGCACTGCATCGCAGTGCTAACTGTGCCACTAGAGATCCTGGTTCGAATCCAGGCTCTGTCGCAGCCGGCCGCGACCAGGAGACTCATGGGCGGCGCACAATTGGCCCAGCGTCGTCCAGGGTAGGGGAGGGAATGGCCGGCAGGGATGTAGCTCAGTTGATAGAGCATGGCGTTTGCAACGCCAGGGTTGTGGGTTCAATTCCCACGGGGGGCTAGTATAAAAAAAAAAAATGTATTCACTAACTGTAAGTCGCTCTGGATAAGAGCGTCTGCTAAATGACTAAAATGTAATGTAAATGTATGACAGCAATCCATGCTATGGTTTAGTTTCCCTGGCACTGTTTCAACGTCATGGGAGCGATATTAGCATTTTTTGAGTTTCACAATCAATTTTGGATACTTTCAGATGATTTGGTCATGATGTGCAGAAAATGCTAATATCGGTCCCATGACTTGAGTTTGTGCCACAAATGCTAAAACATTAGCATGTGGAAACCGTGCCATGGTAACTAAACCAAAGCATGGATTGCTGTCATACCTTGTCTGTATACTGTATACTGTTTACAGGGTAAGGAAACCAATGTGTCATTTTGTAATTTGGGTGAACTATCCCTTTAATCAGCTGAGTGTCTCTGGATTTGTTATATTAGTAACTATTGTCAGTGTTTGTTACTCAGAGGTACTGGTCAAAGCAAATTTGCATTTAATTTGGGTTCAAGCCACATAATGGGTTGGGTTCTGTGGTCAGTGAACACTTTGTGGCTTTTGAGTTACTGCACTTATGGCACTGGATGAATTTGCCTGTGTTCAACGGTAGGTATTCAATTATTAAAGAGGTTGCCTCACAGAAAATACAGTTAATAGAATGAAATAGGAATTAGTAGGGTTTAAATTGAGATTTGTCTCAAACTGTCCCCTGTCGCTTTTTAATTGAATCCAGTTCAGCCAATCAGATGTCTAGCACTTGAGGTCACTATTTATATAATTTGGGTTTGCGCTTTGTTCCAACCCACTGTTATAATGCCTTCATGTGGCTGTTATAAGCATGATGTAACTTCTGACATAGCAGGTTATAAAAGTTAACAGAATACCCTATAATATTATAAAGAGTGGAATTAGATCCCGAAAGATCAACTATTTATTTCATGATGTTGTGATGATGACATTATTATAGAATTTGTTTGGTTGGCCAGTGGTGCTCAGTGTTACGTCATGCTCGTAGCAGTGAACAGTAGGCCATATGATGGAGGATTGAAGTGCTGTCAAAAGGAGTGTCTTGAACTAGTCCATCACAACTGATGCTATGTTTAAAGCTACTGCACTATGTTAGATTTTTTGGCATCATTGTTTTGATTTAGTGTTTTTATATTTCTACATAAGTGCCTTAACCCTGGCCTTAGCTCTGGCTGTCCTAACCTCGTCGCAGGCTTTGCAGACTCATTGTAAATGAGTGTATCCATGGAAAGGCCACTTGCCCTCTGCCCCCAAAATAATTATCCTGATGCCCCTCGTTAGCTACATCTTGACACACAAACACACAAGCTGTCTCACTCCCACACGAGCATTTGCTTGACAGGCTCATCAGTTGCTAGTATTTTGTTTGCTATTATTGAGACCAAAGTCTGAGGGGTTTATTTGGACAAATGGACACAGAACAGAGTTTTATATATACATTCCCAGGCATCTTAGGGTTCACACGCCCTTACTGACAATCCTTAAACTGGTCAATGCTTTGAGTGTGAGACAGAAAGCTGGATATAGAGACACTGAGACATAGGAAGAGGAGGAACTTCTAGTAGTTAATGTCAAGAGTATGTCAAGTGTACAAGTTGCCATCTTTCCCTGATCTTAATTCCTCACCATAAACAAGTGTTAAGGAGATGTTTTTGCATATAAGGCATAAATGAATGAAAACTCCTAAAACATACATAATCATGTTGAGAGTAAGTTTTGTTACATTGATTGTTTTTGTTAATATTATATATTTTTTAAATTTTAAGCTGTAACTTATTGTTTGCACTATGTTAATGTATAATGCACTTTTTTACATTTTATTTTACATTTTGTTAAAAGGATGTCAAGTGGATGTGTATCATGGGAATAAACCATTTCCTCTTTGCATAACCTATCTGCTGGCCTGTAGTGGATCATACTACACACTGCACATAGACCATTGGTTCCCAATCTTTTCTGAATCACACCACACAAGAAAATAAGTTCCAAGGCTCACCTTAATCTGACATTCCTGCATCAAACGAAATTATGTCTCAAGGAAAGCCAATCTAATAGGCTATATTAAGCAGCCAGGTTGAAGTTTCCACCGTTTCCTCCTACACACTGCGTGAAGCAAACATTTTATAAAATACAAGCCATTTATTTATAGTTTTAAATATGGTTCACTGGAATCTTAATGTTATGGTACCCATATAATGACTGATTTGTGTTTACCCGTTTATAGACCTTGCAGAGTTTCAGCTTTATATTAACTAGAAGAAAGGACTGATAGTCTACTGCTGTGCGTCAAATAAAGGGGATGTTATTGAGATCTGCTTTTGTTTTGCAGGGATTTGCAAGGAGGGTTTGGTCTCTTGTGAACAGCAGTATCTGTTTGCGTTAGCCCTTTTGCATGGGCTTGGTTAAATCCACAAGGCAGAGAACTCTTATTGAGTTAGTCAAATTAAGTCATTCTGACATCACGGGAT